ATGAATATCTGCAAGACCCCTGGCCTCGGCGTCCTCCTTCCCGAGACGGGCTGGTACCCCGTTGGGACCGATCCTGAGACTCTACCAATTGATGATGGTGAATGTATCGAACTGGGTCTCGACTCGCCTATTCACGTTGACAAATACCGAGAGTCCGTCCCCGTCCGAAATAACTCCTTGTCTCATTTGATTCAATGCCTTCGCCCAGATGTGGACAGTCTGCAGATCGAGTTGCTGGTCACTATTTTCAAGGCCGCCCCTGAGTTGATCGCCGACTTCTTTACTAAGAAGACCATGTTTACGGCGGACCCCAAAGCCACCCCGTCATGGATGGCCGAGTCTGCTTTCCTCTTCTCAACGGTGCAGCTACCTGTTCCCACCAACTGCGGCTGGAAGGACAAGCAGCCGGCCCTGCCGCCTCCCGCATCTATTGTCATTGAGAATGTGCTTCCTCGTCCTCTCAGCCAGAAAATCATGACCCGGTGCCTGAATCAAAATGCCGAGATCATTACCCTTTTCGCCGTGCGAATCTTGACTCTTGCATTCACGAAATTGCGGGCTGTTCTGAAGATTTTCCGAGCTGATCATGGACAAGCTCAGTTGTTCTGGAACCAGGCTTCTTCGAAGTTGCTTGCTGAGTTCTCTCGTCGGATTCCCGCCGTCAAGGATGCGATCTTATTGTTCCGCCGCACTGCAAAGGAGGACCTGCAGCAGCAAGAGGCTGTTGCTGAACTCTTAGCGTGTTACTACGAAGTCATGCCCGATATCGCACTGGAGGAAAATTTCGATGTCTCATTGGTGTTGGTTGATGTTTTGAAGCGTCTCGAAGAGCCTAAGCTCAGTGCTGACGACTCTGAGATGCTTCTGAGCCAGTTGCAGAGTGTTCTTCAGATTGCGCAGCAGTCTGCCTCAATGAGGTGGTGGCAAAAGCCGGGTATGCAGGCTCCTCTAAACCGATGGATGATTATACATAAGCTAACACGTCCTGCAGCATCCATGCAATATTCCCCATTCACCTCAATCCTCAAAGTCCTGGTTGAAACCTCAGACAAGGACTCTGCACGTCGTATTTCAGCCCTGCTACGGTCAGTCCTAGCGGAAAACTCTGTGTTGCAGAACCTCCCGCAGTCCTTCAATGCCCTTCTGTCCAGTCTTGAAGATTCAGAATCGGAGACTCTGCACAAACAGTTGATGTTTATTGACAACTGCGTGTCTCGAGTGGCGAAGAAGCCTGTGCACTACCTGGATTTGATCGGATCCAATTCTCAAGATGAAGCCGCAACGAGTCCTCTCGTCGCAGCTATCGTCGAACAATGGCCGTTCATCGTTAAAGGTGGTGATGAATCTGCTGAAACAGCTACTGGAGCATGGATTGCCAAGTTGCTTGCGCACTTGAACCAGGCTGGAGAAAACTCAACTGCCCTGAAGGCTGCTCGTGATGCTCTAGTCGAAGCTACCAATACGAAGAAAACCCGCTCTTTGATCAAGAAATGCTTCAAGGGACAAGAAGATGTTGATGAAGAAGACAAGATGGATGTGGACTCTGGACTGACCCCCCCGACGTCGTCCGACAAGTCCTCAACTGTGGATCTCGACGAGATCTTCGGCTTCCTGCCTACTGAAGGTACCACACATAACGCCCTGCACAGATGGGAGCGAGAGGATCTAGAGCAAGCAGTCGAGCAAGGTCGTATTGCCGAGTTGATGCTTTGTTTGTGCTCAGAGCACGAGGAAGTTCGGAGACAGGCATTTGCTAAAATCACTCGGTTTTTGGTCCAGCTGAAGGTGAAACATAATATCCCTTACTGGATTTGGGTCTTTGCTGACAATATTCCCAGGAATCTAAATATGTGGAGTGGCGTACTGTTTATACTCTGACGGGTGAGCTTCTCGAGACTGTCAACAACATCGGTCTTGAGGAGCCCATTCCCTGGATCATCGGTGAATGTGCTGCCAACTGCTTGAATATCCTTACCAGTCCCTTGCACAAGGTCTACGGAAAGGTCAACAAGTTTTTGCAAAAATCTCCCGTATGGGAAGTCGAGAAAATCCCATCGTACTGGATCGACAAAATCTTCCTCAATGAGCCCGAGTTGGATGATGGCTACTTTGACGAGATTGACTGGCTACTGGGACTTTTCGTAAAGGGTCTGCGCACTAAGGCTGTATGTGTCCAAGTTATTAACTTTTCTTTTCACGGTTACTGATTATCCTATAGGATATGGAGATCTACAGACGTGCGAATGTTTTCGAACGTATTCTCTCCCTCTACCAGTCCCCGACTCTTGGCGAGGCGGCGCGACGAAAGATTCTGCACATCATTTACCGAGCCGCACAGGTGGGCGGCAGTACTACACTGATCACCCGAGCAGCCGTCATAAGCTGGATTCAAGTTCAGGTTGCTGAGGCTGATGGAAAGGAAGTGGCATTGCTCGCGGCCTTGGCGCGAAAACTGTACGAGACGTCTGACCATGAGCGGGTCGATGCGTGGAGCGCTGGAACTGTCCAGCATGCCCTGAAGGAGATCTCTCAGGCTTGAGATTGAAACCTTTTTTGTACAATAATTCCAATACTGTTATCACCGGGCAGAATATGACTCAACCACGTATGTCCAGGTCGGGAATGGTTCTTTGCCAAATTGGTGTCCGATGACGAATTGGGGCATCTAGTGTATGGATCTTTCCCCGACTTTCCCTAATATGGCTGAAATATACCTTTTTGAATCATAGACATTCCATTATTCCGAGTGGGTATGGCTGATTCCTTCCCTAGACCCATTCACACATTCACATACTTTACTTATAGTATCAATCTCGATTTCTGAGTACTAACTCGCCATGGCCGATCAGCCTTCTAGCGACGAGACATTTACCATTGACGGGGTTCTCACAGATGATGACATCGCACGTCTTGAGATGGCCACAATAATCGAGCCAATCCCACCCGAATCAAAACACAGTGGCACCTGCACTGTCACGATGTCCCACCTTCAGTTGAAGCCAAAGTTCCTAACGTCTTTCCCATTTACAAACCAAGACTCGAACATCGACGGGGAAAAACCCTACCAAGTGAAAGTCCCATTGGCAACAGAGAGTATTGCGGTCCTTGAATTCCTTGGTTTCACACCAGCGACTGGAAGAGAGCTATGGGAGGGGTTCATTCGCCCAAAAACCAATTCGAAACCACTGGAATTGATGGAGCATGTATATGAACATATCAGCCTTCTGCAGACCCCGATATTTCAAGAGATGGCTATCACCAAAGCCTTGATATTGATTGGTCTTGACAGGAGCTTTATGCAGACTTTGTTCAACCCTACCTATTCTACGGTATTGAAATCAAACCACACCCTGCATTCTTGGGTGAGGTGTGCTCTTGGGGACAGGTACGCGAGGATTCTTAGGTTTCATAAAGACCTTAAAGGACGTGCTCTCTGGCTTCGTACTTGGAGAGACTCTTAGTCTCATTGTGGTCTCACTATTTGCTTCTCACTGCAGTATGTTTGGTTTCAAAATGTTTCTTCAATTCGAGAATTTGACTTCCAAACTCAATCCCGAGTCTCCAGGCGCAGGTTGAACAACACCAAAGGAATAACATGATCAACTTGTAGTCTTCATGGAGGAGAATTGACACTAGTGTGTCATCCACTCCGGCTAAGTGATACAAACAAAAGTTAGTCATTAGCCCCTCTTTGTTGTGTGGCTTCTTTCATTAGGTTTTGGGGAACCAGGCTCCGGGAATTAGCTGTCTGGGATCAGCTACCCATTTACCTACATTTTTATAGACCAACCAAATATGAATCATTGTATTCACACGTCATTCTTTGTCCTCGACCGTTTGTAAAGACTCACATCAAGTTTTCCCCTTTAGATCATTTCGATGTTATAGAATCCATTTGAATCTTCAACGAGAAGCCCGTCTACTACCAATCAATCACCAAGCAATGCAATACGCACGCACAAGTGAATCCCGGTTCCCACTAGAACTGATAGAAGTGCTCAGCAGAGCATGTGAAGAGACCGCTGAAGAAGACACCTCTTTACAAGATTCCGAGCTTCATGTTTATATTGTTGTCCACGAGAAGCAGCGAAGCCGTGATGAATTGGAATTTATAATTGAGGGCGTCTTTCACAGACTCAGTTCAGCCACTGATCAGACGATGGAGATATTCGACACCCAATATCCTGATTACCCACGGTCTTGTTTCTATGCGCAGGGTACTTGGCAATTGATTGGAGAGAATTCGGTTGGCTGGTACGTCTCCAGGAATGGGACATTGTCTTTGGAAATCCATGACCATCAGGGTAATACTTCTCGGGTTTATGCTGAAAAGCATTACATTGAGTGATGTTTTGAGAAGGAATTTATTTCGCTTGATATCGTGCGCTGGTTAGATTTGCTTTGAGCTTGCTATGAGAGCTGCCTTGCTGGGGCCAGATTGTTTTTTAATTGCACATCGGCGATCTGCATTATGGCCCAGAACTCAATAGCAGCTGTGATTGCCCAGAGTGTCTCAGTACGGGAAATAGAGAAATGAAAATTACCGAATTTAGAGGAGGTCTCTCAATCATGAAAGAGCTCCAAGCGTCTGTTGCACAGGAGGTCATAAAAAAGCCATTGGGGTATGCTTCAACTTCTTCTCGATTAGAAATCCAGTCGCTATAGAAATCCTCTATCTTTCTGGACAGCTCATATATGACTGGCGAAATGGTTTCCAGACTTTGTTGGCTTAGAAGTCGTATGAACACGTAGTATACTGTCTACGGTACTAAGTGCAGGTAGCTATATCCATGCATCGCAGCACTCTAAAGACGAGATGATAGAATTACAATGAAAACACATCCACTAGAAAGATAGAGTTGTTATATTCAATTTCCTGTCAACCGACTTGAATGAGCGCATGTCTAGAGGTAACAACCGCCAACTGGTGGACTTCCCCTATCAGCACTCGCATATCAGAGGAGGTCACGAGTGATGCCGCACACCCCTCTCTCCCTCTTCGCCCTTACAATACCTCGCTTCGCGCCAGCCCCAGACATTGTCCTTTTCATTCATCTTCTGATGATATCAATTTTAACACACCAAGCCTCATTATCCTGATTGTGTATTCCTTCGTACAATCTCCTGATCCAAACTAGCGATCCCCCCTCCATCCTCACCGATCCCGACTCCGCCTTGAGCCTCGCCACAAAGTGGCTTACTGCTGCTTCTCCTCACTCAACCTCAAATATCCCGACTTCCGCGCTGTCCTCCCTACTGCCGTCACCACTTCGATTATTCCTCCTCACACCGACCCTCGAACTTTTGACACAATTCCCACCGGCATTCTCAATCGCACTCTACAAGTTTGAATCCCCGCCGCCTTATGAGACGACCCTAATCGTCTGTGGATAAAGATCGCACACACCATTCCCTGACCAGGCCGTCATGGCGCGACGGTACGAGATTGATGAGCTGCTATGGTTGCGCTCATCACCTCTTGTCGCAAAACCTCCTGGCCTGCCTCCCATTGAAGAATGGATGTATGTTAAAAACCTTCCTTTAACCTCGGCCACTCCGCATCTCCACAGCAAAGACTGACCTTATTACCCCCTCTCCAGGCCTCAACCTGACCCAACGACCCAAACCAAGCCACGAAACTCTCGTGATGCCAATAACCCATCTGAGACAACTACAAACAGAAGACCGAGCTTCTTCGAAGCTCGTCACATCTCCCGTGGCTCCAATTCAGGTAGGCCTTGCTCTTGCGTCCTTCGCTAACCGATCATGGGCCAATTTTGTTCGTGCGATCGATCTTACTTACCCGCTTTTGAATCAATATAGAAGACATCATTCTTGGCCCTCCAAAAATTGCCTTTGCGTCATCACGGATTGGTGGGGTCGGTAAAGGGTCATTCGATCTGACGGACCGGTCCGTGCGACCAGCCGACTCGGAGGAGAAGGGTGACCGCTTCAATTTCCGTGACAAATTTTTCAAAGATAAAGACGCCCCGGAGAGAGACTTGGAGCGCCGAGACGGAAAGTCTACTGGCCTGAACGGCCGACGCGGGGAGAGGGAGGACTGGAATGCTGGCCGCCCTCGTCGTGGGCTCGGACCAGACGAGCAGGACCGCAAGCCACGCCGTAATGGCGACTTTGACAGATGGGAGAACAGAGAAAGTGCTCGAGATCCAAACAATGATCGAGGAATCCGGGATCGAGACGGCCGCCCTACAACGAAGAAGGATGGCCAGCCGGGACGAGCCAAATTCGAAGGAAGCTGGTTCCGTGATGAGAACACCCAGGAGGTCGCCGAAACCGATGAGGATAAATCACAGCTACGAAACCGAGAATGGCGCCGTGATCGACACGGTGCAGACCGCGACTGGACCCGCGGTGCTAAACTCGAGCAAGAGCCCGAGTGGCTTGATAGCAATGACCGAGATGAGCCACGACGTGCACATACGCAGGAAGACTTTGAGCGGTGGAAGGAGAGAATGAAGGCTGGATCTGGTGCTGGTCAGCAGGCTCCGGCTCAGGAGGAGAAGAGAGAGTTCCCCGCAGAATCGCAATCGCACATTGCTGCACAGCAGCCAGAGTCTCACGCTACCGACGGGGAGGTTTTCAGCAGCTCTGGTACCCAATTTATGCAAAACACCTCGATGGATCGCTTCTTTGGCATGCTGGGAGACACGAAACCACACGTCCCCGAAATCAGCTCTCCAGTTGCTACTGAACAAACTCCCAAGAAAGACCTTCTAGCTGCCGGCATGAGCGCCAAACCTGGCAAATCCTCTCGTTTTGCTGGGCTATTTAGTCCGCCGCCGGAGAGCCCTGCGAAGGAAGCTGAGCCTCAAGGACCTTCCATGGCCATGCTCTTTGGTGGTGGTAGCCCAGCCAACGCACATGATGCTGACCAGGAAGGGTTCCAGCGTATTTTGAAGATGCTAGGAGGCGGAGTCAACCGGTCTAACAATGGGACTCCTCAACAAGGCGAGCCGCTTCAGCAGTCGCGATCATCCTCGATGGCACACTCTGAGCACCAACCACCACGTGTCATGGCCAACATGTCGTCTCCGAGAGATTCTCTCCCGCAGTCGGAGTACATGGGCCCTCATGAGAATCCCATGGGCCCCGCAGCGGGCAAGGATCCGCAGGCTCGCGAGAGAGAACATCTGCTTCGGTTGATGCAGCAAGTCCGTGTTGGCCCTCCCTCGGGGCTTCCATCCCAGCAATCCCCTCCGAACGTAGGCGTGGCTCCTCCCCCTGGCCTGATGCCCGAAATGATGCCTCGCCCCCCCCCTGGACTGGGTGCTCAAAAGACACCAGCCTTCCTCGATGACCCGGCCATCGCGAATATGCAGCGACCGGACAGTGAGCAGCTTCGTCGACGAGCACCCAACGGACCCCCGCCCATGGGGTACTTTGATGATGTGCCCTTCCCTCCCCAGGTCGCCCAGGGACCTATGACTCCCGGTGGTACCCGTCCTATTCAGGGCTTGAACCAACCCCCCATGCCACTTCAGCGGCCTCCAGGACTGGAGCACATGCCACCCCCGGGCTGGGCCGGCCAACACCCTCCTCAAGGAAACGGACCCAGCCCCATGGGCCCTCCTCCTGGCATCCCAGCGCCTAACCGCGGCTTCCCGCCTGGCATGATGCCGATGCCCCCCCGTGGCCCCCCACCCGGCATGATCCCACCGCCAGGATACATGGGTGGGCCGCCGCCTCCCGGTTTCCCTCATATGCCCCATAACCCGGAGGCTATGATGGGAGTTGGCCCGGGTGGTCAGGGGCCCTTTGGCCCCGGTGTTCCCGGTCCCCAGGGCCCGCCTCCCTCATCCCGCCACCTCCTAGAGATGTTCGGCCAGCCCAATGGTGGTGACGGCCGCGGTGGTATGATCGGCCCCGGTCAGTTCAGGTAAATCGAAACATGGCTCGATAATCTTGATAGCTGCATTCAATCTACCCGTGTTCTTATTGCTCAATGAGAATATGTGACGATCTGGGCAAATACGTGGTGGACAGCATACGGTGCAAGATTTTCGTTTGTTTTCACCCGGCCTGGGTACACAGCAAGGTTGCATCTTATCGAGAGATCAAAGTATATCTATTCTTATTTTTTTTCCCCCTTGATGTATTCGGTCATGCCGATTTTCGGTATCATGATGCCTCTGCTTGGTGCCGCTTCTCGATAACCCTCAGCTCTGGCTCGTTCTGTGTTTCCTTCTCGCTGCATACTATCTTTTGTGGCAGTTTTATTCATTGTCATTATCCGATGTTCTTTATTCTCGAACGGAAGTGACGTTGCTGTGTATCTAGGTCTGGCTGAAAACGAGTACATTGTTGAGATGCAGTGATATGGTTGATAGGTCATGTGGTGGATCAATTGTGAATCTATGACCTAGAGGAAGCTCGGAGTCTGCAGTATTGTAGACTCCCTCTCTTATTGTGGATGGCTGGATAAATACAATATGCCCACTACTTGATACAGAATCACCTAGCGGTATTCACTTACTGTAATTCCATGTAGAGATAGGCCTAATAATTCGATACTCCGTCCGGACTGCTCGGTTACATTGCTTTATCAAGGACAATTTGCCCTGTTCTTTCCACAACAAGGTTTTCAGTCTTTGACGACGACTGATAGAATTAACAACAATTTGTGTAGACATACTGAGATGGCACTTTCTTTAGGCATTCTTCTCTTCTAGTTGCTGTATATGTACGAAATACAGGGCTGAAGGCGTTTGACACTATCTAGATGCCATAAGTAGCCAGTCCGCGGTCCGTATTACCTAAAAGATAATACATGTCCTCTCTCGTGCAGTGAACTCTGTCCATTCAAGTGCATATCCACACTCAATCAAGGTTTGGTTTTCCTATACATAGTAATCTTATCATCAGTCATGCGACGGGCCTCGTTAAAGTACCTTCTGAGGAGGCAACTCGACAGGACATAAAAGTATTGCCATGCAACAAGGAGGGTCATATGTGTTATACCAATTCTTTTCGTCTCAAGATCAAAGTATTTAGACATGAACATAGGGTTCCTACTCTGGCTTGAATTGTTGGGCAGGATAGAGGGAACACTACTTGGTTAAGGAACTGTTAATAACTGGCGCATCCTCGCTTGGAGTACTAAATCGATCCCATTAATTAGACTGCTGTCTAAAATTCCTATTACTATTATTTATATGTCTTAGATTGAATACCTTTGATATGGCTAGGGAAGTTCAATATACGATCAAGAGAAGGAAACCTGAGCGGCTATGCTAGGATGTTCCATTTCGAGATATCCTAAATAAATAATAGTATCAATTTTTGATAGAGTCTCAATAAGACAAATGGAACAGCGTCTACTTCTACCACGAGCTTCACACTCTCACTTAAGTGTGATCAGAATCAGGATGTTCTTTAGTCTCCACAGCTTGAATACTACCTGCTCTAGAGCATGCAGCATTTTGTAAGTCTGAAGAGGAAACTTTCCGAATCATTGTTAATGATCTCCTGGATATAAGCTATCTAATAACTTTGCATAAGGCTCGATTAACATTCAATTTCTGATTCGAAACGAGATCGGGCGTCCTCACAGGTGCTTTAGAACACGGGATATCAACCACCTCCGAAAGGGACAGTCGTCGTCGCACGAGATAGATTTCAGCTAGAATGAGAGCAAAGGTTTTGCAAGATTTGACGTACGCATCATGATATGATTCAGAGCCTTACGGGAGCGCTGTAGGCATTTCTCTTTATGGGCGTCGAATCAACAAACACGATGGATGGCACGTCTCGTCACCTCACTTGCACAATATCAACTCCCTTCTCCCTACCGTCATGTCTGATAAAATTCTCGGATTTATCATCCAAACTTGACTTTTTGATACCCATATTGAAAATGGAACCAGGACAGCAGCCAAGCAGTGGCGGCGCTGGAGGGGTGAGTACAACTATCATCAACATAGAGAAATTGGATTTTGATACTGAAGCGAAATACAGACTGGCATTATCCGTGACTTGTCATCGAGTCCGGAGCTAATTCGACAGCCAGCCGGTCACGTACGCCGTCGTCTGCCCCAGACTCGCCGTTGGTCATGGAGATTCCGGATGCCCTCGACTCATTCCATGATCACACGCTCACGAGCCCGCCGTGGACAGTCCAGTTCCCTACCTGCTCGCTTGTATTCCTTCATTTCCCGAGTACCAGGTCCCTCGGCCGCAGTCGAGTCGTCTCAGGGTAAGTTCATGAACATTGATATCCTTGCCCATCACCTAACGGCGAGAGAGACTCCTCTTGATGGAATATTCGAGCACCATACACGGCATCTGCTAGAAATGTCACTGTGAATAACGAACTTACCAAAATCTTGAAGAATAAGAGGCTAACAGTGAGGCAGATGACAGCGACATAGTCGATAGCGTGGCAGAGGCTGACATGATCTCTTCCCACGGGTTTCTGCCCACCCCTCGTTGCCATGAAGGTCGAGGATGGTCCCCATGCCACCCACAGACACAACACTTCGCCATCTACGAAGATCCCTCAGACCAGCCAACACCCCAGATTCGCACGCCAATCCCATATTCCGACTCAGATGAGGAGAAGGAGAACTCATATGGCCCTTCCGAATCTGACGAGGAAGCAGCGAATACCGACGCTGTTGCCAACCCTGATGTGGCGGATAGGCTTGTTCGACCTGATATCCAAACCATGCTGTGGGGTTCTGACAATAATGAGCTGGAACAAGACCGAGATCAAACCGCGTCCGAGATCATGCTCCATGATCTCCAGGAACTTGGCTTGTTGGATCGGTTTGGTGGAAGCGGACAAGACGAGAACCCGGATATTGCCTGGTGAAGGAGACACGTTCGGGACCAAGCAAACATTCTTCTCGAGTTGGATTTTCGATGTTCCCATGATGAATATCACTTTGTAACTAGTTAACTAACTTTTTCTCTATCTAATGACTAATGATTGATTAATGTACGAGCATCATCAAGTTCATTCAAAAACTGGTTGCGCTTTATTGCGTTTGAAACATATCGCGTGGTATACCATAAAAGTACATCATTAGGAAAAAACGTCCATTCCGAATACAAAAATCCTTGACTAACGCCTCCAATGGAATGTGTTTCGGGTATCATGATAATGCAGAACAAAGTACAAAGTCGGTCATCAAAGTAGATATCAGGCAGTAATGGCCGACGGGGAGCCAAGCTCTTCGGTGGAGATGTGGGTGTCGTTGTTCACCTCATTGAAAGACTTGGAAACCATGGATTCAGAGCAGAGACCTTCCGCAGGTAGTGCGGTCCGATCAGGAGTTGAGACACTTGTTGCACGAGACGTGGTGGAACCGGCGTCTGTTACCGTGGACGTAGTTGACATGTTCTCAGAGACGGTGAAGTTTGACACCGACTCGGAGAGCTCGGAACGGACTGATTCCGGTTTCGCAGTTCCATCCAAGGGTGCCGAAGTATGAGTATCGACTGCCTCATAAAAGAGCATAAACGCACCACCCTGGGACATGACATGGCCTTCGCTGACCATCTGCACGTCATCGTCACTGAGTCGATACCAGCGCTCTGGCTTCTCCTTGTCTCCCTCCGCCTGCAGGACCTCGTCAGGGACCGGTGCAGGAAAGACGGAGGTTGGGTATTTACGATAACAGATATAATGACCGTTCTCGTGGCGGCCATAATGTGTAATGACGGCACGGAGTTCATATTGACGGCTGGGCATGCGGATTGCTTCGCCAGGTCGTGGGAGCATCGATTCCGAAGGGTCGGTAACCCAGCGTTCGGGGGTACCTTCGGACTCACTAGTCGGCAGGGTACCAAGACACCAGTCATTCAAATCAAGGTTCTTAGGAAATTTGACGGCTGCATAGTTTTTCTTCAACATCCCCGTCACCTCATCGAACAGACTGCGATTGATGTGAATGATGAGGCATTGGGGTGCCCGAGCGATTACAGCCTGGCGAGACTTGGTAGTAGTCATTCGGTTCTTAGAGGGTATGTGGCAATTATTTGCCAGCGTCTTCTCGGCGAAATCGTCCTCCTCAAGAGCATGTTGTACGGCCTCTAGACGTGTTTGAGCGGATGTCTTCACAGCATCGGAAAGGCCGGGCGACTGTAGGCTGTCGGCTTCGTCTTCTTCAGACATGCTCCCAAGAAGGCTTTTCAGTTGGTCTCGTGCTCGGAGCAGAGTACATTTAGCACATTCCACGCCCTCAATGGGCTCTAGTGTCATATACTGGTCCAGACATTCGTGAATGTCGTACTCATATCTAGGTCCGAGAGGAACAGTAAGGCAGTTAAATGGGATGAGCGACAGCCCCTCTGTCCATCCACACTTCATGCACCCGACCCGCTGAGCAAGCAAGCCCTCGAGCGGGTTGCGAAAAGCTGCCTTCTCGATCGTTGATAGCACGTTCTCATCGACTGCCGTGGTATCCACGCAAACTTCTTTCAGAATATTCTCTTCCGGCCCGGCCATTTTCAAGCCCATGTTCCTCGTATTCCCTCGCGACGCTCGTTGAATTTCGATGTCGATCTGATCCACCAGCTTGGAGAAGTATTCCTGCGCATCTTGCTGTTGCCAGCTACTCATCGATTTCAGGCCCGAAGGAATCCAAAGCTTATGTCCATGATTCGATGCACTGTTCAAGAGGTCGATGATGTCTTTTAGCGCCTGGTGTGTCGAGACCGAGCTCTTCTCTCCCAGAAGATGGACGTTGCGCCCCAAGAATGCAGAGAGTGACTTAAGCGATGCCAGACCCTGGATTATACTGTTTTGGTAGCAGGAGTTATCCCAGTTACCGAGACCTGAAGGGATGGCGTCTTTGTTGTTACCCAGGAGAGCGCTGCCAATTCCGGACAGGGATCGCGGTCGCGGGAAGAAAGGGAAAGAGTTGTTATCCAGGCCTAATATCCGTTGCATAGACTCGCTCTTTGCGTGGAAGGATAATCCCGAGGGGCTCGAGGGGGAGGAGTCGGACGGTGACATGCGGGAATCCAATGCAACGAGGACCCAGGACGGAGTAAGATAGACAAAACCGTTCCAGAGCAACTGTATAAGCGAGACCGGAACGAGGCCAAAATGGTCGAGAAGTATGTAAGTACAGAAAAGGGCGATGATCGTGTATGCTAATTCTTGGTGGTTCCGCCAGGCCGTTAATGGTGTCTCATCGTGGCTGCTTTGGCTTGCGTAAGGATGAATTGGGCGGCTCGAGAGGATGTCAGCTCCCGGTCTATGAGCATTCATGGCGGAATGAGATATCAGGCGAGCCGCAGGCAACAGGAGATAGACCTGTGTAGCATGGGCTGAGTGAGTATGATGGCGAAATTGCGGAGAGCGCAGTTGAGGAAAGGGAAGGTGGAGAAAGAGGATTAAGCCTCCGATTGTATACAGTCGGTCATGATTAATTTCCAGCACGCGCCGAAGCTGCGCTTTGGGTTTATCCCGCCCGCTGCAAAAACTTTTATCGATTGCAGGACGATCTCCACACACAACTTTACTTATCTCTTCCATCTCATTTCAAAACACATTCCACAATGGCCAAGAACAAGCGTGAGTTTGAGACATGTCCCACGGTTTATTGATTAAAGTTCTATCAACTAAATTCTTTCAGCAAAGAACACTCGTGCAGCCCGGCGGGGCGTCTCTCCAAGCCTCGACTTGGATAAGTCTTTGACCTCTTTACCTCGAGCCGAGTCTTCAACCACCCAGCGTCCCTCCCTCTTAGTCGATCGCGCAACTTCTGGTGTTCAAAAGAAGAAGAACCAGGGCAAAAAAATGACAAAAGCCCAGCGCTTGCGTCAGCAGAAGGGTATGGACAGGGCCGAGGCGGTCCTTGACCAGTTGGAAATCAAAAAGGCCAAGAGTTTCGACCGGGTGAAGACCATAAAAGAACGAAGGGTATGCCACCCAAAAAAGGAACAGCTTATGAACTGTGATTTAACTATCGTATTGAACATATGCTGACGAAACTTCTCTTTTTTTCAGGGTGATTGGGAAGAATTGAATAAGAAATCATTAGCGCTCGTCGCTCTCCAACAACCCCAGGAAGTCGACGAAGAAGAAGAAGTTGATGATGATGAAGACGACGATGCCATGACAACTGAGCAACTAGACCCCAGCAATCCTATGATGGCCAGTGTTTTCGCGCCTCAGCCCACGAATGCGGTGTCCAACCCCGTCGTAGCCGCCTCTGCGCCCACTGACGAGTACGACGAAATTACCTGAACGCAAAAATACATCACAAAAGACTGCACCCATTCTGGGAAGACTATTTCTTCGGCCTGAGCTGGTTGATCATGCGCTCGATTTCGGTACTTGCTGGACCGGACGCTTTAGTCCGAAGGTGTTCAAGGGTGTTCACGTCCTTGGCCTTGTGCGCCTCCTCTCCCGCTTTGACTATCATTCCGCACTTGACCCACATTTCTATCCGGTCGGCGACAGGAAGATGTGTGCACTTCGGGACGAAGATCGAGGCAAGCTTTGTGTTTCCGGCGCCAAGGATCTCGTTGTAGAAAGGCTATACCCGATCGCATTAGCGCGCATCCAAAAAATTAGAGGAATATCTCAAAATCTTACCTCCCATCCGATTGGAGATTTCTTGACTTTGCCAATCTCCTCCAGCTCTCCCCAGTCGCGCTTAGCCACCAATGCGCGGAGCCTTAACCACCAGAATGCCTTTTCGGGCATTTTAAATTCACTTTGCAGCTTCTGTGCTCTTTTGCCGTAGCCGGCTCGGATCAATCTGTAGATAGTCTCGTTCAAGCTAAGACCAAAATATTCACTGTGATCAGCGAGATCTTTGTCGAGGGACTCCTGAACTTTCAGAAGCTGAGAAGCCTCGGAGACCAGTTTCTGTTGCAACATCACGTTCGGGTCCTTGGAGTCTGACAGTAGCCGCGATGCCTGGTGAAGTTTCTCGGTTTTGCGTGGCGGGTCTGTCTCTCGTAGAGCCTCCGATATAAGGACGTTGGATCCTTCCATTGGCCGGTCATCTTGGTAGTAGAGATCCTTCAGTAGCTCTGTGTCTTCTCCTCGTGCTGTAGTCTCGACCAATGCTGACGCCATAGGGCGAGTGTTAATCATTCTGAAGAAGCTTGCAAGGGGAAGCTTGCTCTTCAGGTGAAGGAGAACATAATTCACCAAGTCATCATCACCACTCTCGATTGCTTTGTCGAGAGCGAGTTCATCTTCTTCCATATTCAGCAGGAGAGGGACTTGTTTACCTGCCCGCGGCTCGTGGTTCAGTAATTGAGTGGCCAAGTGCGATCGACCTTCGTCATACGCCGTCTGGGCAATGATTTCGAAAGAAATCCCTGGCTTCCCTTCTAGCCTTTGAACGATCAGTTTGCACACAGCTTCATCATCGACCGTTGAAACCCGGACCTTTTGGCTAGCCCAGTGAACATAGATTCGGTCTGCCGGTATTTGAAGATACTCAGAAACCCGAATGGCAAGAAGGTACTGGTGACGGCTGATTAGTCTTTCAATGAGTCCTTCTGGGGTTAAACGGAGGTATTGCTCATATGAGATTGGCAGACCGATCTGGTAATCTCTGGCTGCAGTGAGAACCCTCAGTTTCTCAGTCATCTCGACAAATTCATCACTGTTGTAAAGCTCCAGGACCGATTTGCCAAAGGATGCAGCTTTTAGAAGCCGCTTTTGCCAGTAGGTATCAAATTCTTGACCTGCAGCTTTGATGCAGGCATCGACTGCACCAGGGAGACTAGAACGAATACGCTGGATATTCTCGTCGGCCTTGGGCGACTTCTTTTCTAGCTGCTCGACGGAATCAAGAAGAACCGAGGCAGGCGATGAGGAGCCCAGTCGGAAAATCTCTGCCGTTACATCTGCATTCTGTAAGTATGGTTTCATGGATTGGAGATGGCGTTTCTCACCGGAAACCTTGTGCAAGAACTCGCAAGTATCATTGGTGAGGAGACGCACGCCGTCAAATTCAGGGATTACATGCACCCGTCCATCATAGTAATACCTATTTGCAGAGTCCCAATTAGTGATTGGCCGAAACTGTACGAGGCGTAATACCTACTTTGATGCTGCACCGTTGGGCCCAACGAGATGAATTTCATCCTCCCATGCAAGAAGAACGGCATCATCACCGCACCAGTTCACGCTACTAGGCGCCACGCGAGATTTGGAGTCATATTCACTGAGTTTGTTCTGGAAGTCGTTACTGACAACCCACAACTTTCCTTCCCCGGTAAACAATGCCACAAAGCGACCGGTGGGCGAAACAGTGACATGCTTGAATGGGCCATCTTGCAAGATCTTGTCTTCCGCTTCGGTGGAATCGACCAAGTAAACGGTCTTATCGACTGCGAGCAGTACCTCCACAGACCGGGAAAGTGTATGGGCTGGAGGGATCAACAACCAAGATGACACCTCACCCTCGGGACACGGTGCTAGTAGCCTCGGTCTTGGCTCGTCATACTTGGAAACAGCAATAAGCTGATTGTTAGCCAGGAGTGCCACAAGACCCGAGGCCCAAAACTGGCAGGCTCGCACGCCGTATTCTTCCGCGCCCTGAATATCGTCAGTCAAGCGTACTTAGAAAGAGGGTAAAGCCAACATCGCCTTACGTTTCCCAAGGAGAACGAGGTGAATTCACCGTCAAGGCCAAAGTAACGGCGGACAGTGCCATCCTCGGCCACCACTAGAAGCTCCTCTTTGTCGGACCAGCCGAGCCCACGCACAGTAGCTTGCTCCCACTAAGTTACAATCAGTACATACACTCAAGATTCATCCCTTCAGGAGATGCACAAACATTGATGCGGTTGATCTGCTTTCCTGAGCAGGAATAAATGTCGATACTGGACCGGGAGGCCTGGCTGTCCCGCAACTGAAATGGTTTGCTCTCATCGCGATAAAGCGCTGCACGAATCTTCAGCCAGAGTTTCAATTTGCGATCAAAATTAGGTCATACCTATGGCTCCTCCATAAGGGGCACCCGCAACAATGTAGTTCTCTAGTTCGACGTCTTCATCAAAGACAGCGTCATACACGGGGATTCTGCGGTAGAAGCTGTCGCCAACCTTCTCCCAGTTGGCGAGAGGATTTGAGGGCGCCATTTCTGGGCAATATTTGTCATGGACGAGGGTCTTGGACCGATCATCAACCCATGCCCCGTGTTGTTACGGTGGTTGGGTGTCGGCTGGTGAAGCTCCGCGGCTCTCCCACGGGGAAACCATGCTAGTCTCATTTTGGTAGTTTACTGCCCTGAAACTCAGGCTGCAATTCTCCATCTCATGCCCGCATCCCCCCTCGGAACAACCAGTGACGCCATCCGACTTCGCCCATAGAAACTCGGGAGAGGCTCTGTAGCCCATGGAGTTTCAAAATGGATGATACCAGACTTGAGGAATTTGTGCGACAGCTGTCTGATCTTGAAGTCGCGCTTTTCCTCTCTCTGGTCGCGCGAGAACATTGCCTCATTGAGACTACTGGTGACCTTATTGACGACCTTGCCAAAGAATTAGCCTTGGTATTCCAGCTTCCTCTCGATGGACGTTGAATTTCGGCTAACCCAATCTTAGATAACCTCACGCACCTTTGATCTATCATATTCCATTTTTGATTGTTCCACGGAAACCTCCATTGAGGACTTCTATGATGAGATTCTCACAGCGGATGCCCGCAAGGGACAGGAACGGCCGTCTTATTTCAGATTGAAGACTGGATCTGTGTGTATCCTCTACTCTAAGCTATATTCTCTAATTATGGGCTAATCATTACAGTCGAGTAATCTTTCGACATCCATGACACCACGGGTGCGCGATCAGAGCAGGTCTCCAGCCCCGAGAAGCACAGCCGACGGAATCAATGTTGTCAACATTGTCATTGCCAAGAGCTTCAATCTCGTCGATGATGACATTCAGGTTCAAGCTCTACAGGTCAGTCTCTGGTCGTCGATGATGGAACGGTACTCACCATCTTCACAGTTAATGCGTACCCGAAAGTTAGCCACTGGGCCGGGAATGTTAAACGCACCCACAGACTTCCTTTTCATACCAGTAGTGGTACGAGAGACCGATCAACTTGATCCACCATTGAATACTCATTTAGTAGGTTTTTGCTCGCTTTTACCCATCGTGTTCCGTTCTAATCTCACGTCTGCAGAATGAGCATCTTCTCGTCTCTCATTTCTACAGCTGGGTAGATGGCTTTGTGTATCTCGAGGAAGATGAATGGCTATCCGACAGCCAACTGTCGGCTTCATCGGTAATCCACAAGCCAAAGCATCGGCAGAAGAAAACCGTAAATGTCGATGAAACGGTAAGTTCATAGTTCTCTTGGGAATACCGCGAACCGTGTCTCAACATCACCCAGATGATGGATAAGCTACGAGAAGCCAGTGAAGCCGTCACTACAAGCGCAGAAGTAGTGCGATACATGCAAGACATCGTTGTGTTCTTACGTCTGAGCCGCGCCGTTGGTGGTGGGATTTCTGCCAAGGCAAATTTCCAGCTCGCACGGTTTGCAAAGTTAGTCGAGCTTATTCCTACCAAGTGCTTGCCTCACTAACCGCCAGCTCATAGATTTCTTGCGCCATTACACGGCATCGATTATCTTACACCGTCTATCGTCGCTCTCGCCGCAAGAAAGGTATTCCGACACCGTATTACCGTCACGGCTCCTGGTCAAGATCGAAGTTTACAGTATGGGAGTGATATGCTGGCTGTTTCCCATGTTCTGGCAGATGTCACACCGGATTCAATCTTGGATGGCATTTTGGAGCTGGAGCCTCCCATTTGATGAACACGCCATGCGAGCGTTCTCGTTCTTGAGTTTCATTGTATTATTTAAAATTGGCATTCAAAATACCCCTGTAGCTAATAGATACTTTTTCTCACCGAAAAAATTGTGAATTGGAGATAATTGAAGATTAGTCTGTCCCAAAAAGAATGTTCAGGACCAATGACCACCAAAAGACGACAAGGATAAATCGTCTCTGACTATTATTGAGAGGATCCAATTACTGCAGGACAACAAGTCAAGCGGCCCGACAAACTGTATGTAACTAGCCTGGATTCCACTCTTTCCAGAAATTTGAATACAACGATCCAAAAGACAAACTCTAGCTAGATACGCCTTAGCGATCACTCTTTTGAAAAAATCTTTCGAAGGGTCTCTTGAACCGTCTCCCTAAATATCCTCAGAATCATGTCTCAGACTATCCTTCGCTTACGATCAGTAGAGTCCTTTTGGAATCTAGTCAGGGAATACCAAAAGAAAGTAGAGCAGGATGTATCTTAATGAGTGCTAGTTTCTCGTGCGAGCTGCCTTTCTGCCGTGCCAGTAACACGAGCCTTCAGAAATTTCCTGGCGGTCTACAGGGTATTACATGTCTTGTGTGGCGGAAAGCAAAATCGTTTAAAAGAGCTCAGGGAAGAACTTTCAGAAGTGTTTCGACAGTGGTAGGTGATACACGAGATTGTTTCTCATAGCCCGCCGAGGGGATAGAGAGCATGCTTATGCGGTATCTCGGTGTCCGGTATCGCCCACGGTACGTGGTCTCAGCCTCAAAAACAGATCAGGAGGTGTGTACTTCTCTTTCTTTTGCTGATCTCCGTTTGCGCCTGGTTGAGCGCCAGCATCCAAGCATCGCTCTCCATGACCGTGGGCCCCATCATTCCCATTCCAGGAACTCTCCATGGCCTTGGAGTATGTCCGCCACTCCGAGAGGACAACGTCAATCTCGATCTTGGTATCGCCAACAAGCGCGTCCATTTTGATGTCATTCCTATCATAGCCGAAAGGATCTTCCAGCTGGGAGCCGATGCCCTCGATACCGTACAGTGTGAATATCACCAGGCAGACGATCGGGATAGCCCACCAACCCATCTCGTCGACCATTGCAAAGGGCAAGACACACCCGAAGAGGGCGAGCACCTGTTTCTGGTGAATGCTTCACGATATAATTTAGCATTTGCAAGCTCCTAAACTTAACTTGGAAACTTACAGATGGGCCACTGGCATTGGAGTCAGCTTGATGGTCTCCATTCTCCCATATGCGTCCAAAAGCGTATTCAGCTGTGCTTGCATTTGACTCGCACCAGGCGCGTTGAACCAGCCGCGATCCTCGCCGCGCTTGATAAACCCATCGACGAAGAAGGTGAGTTGATACGGGAGCCCCAGTCCCTCATCCTCATGACCCTCCAGTCCAGCTGGAAGCAAGCCCGCGTAGTCGGGGTTATACGCCGCACCCCCGCGCGCATCCACGTCATTTCCAAACGCACCACCAATAGCCCAGGCTGCTCCCCATTCGGCGCGCAGATGATTCTTGACTGCGAAGGGGATGGCCATCAGGATGCGGATGGTACGTTCGATATCTTCGCGCTCGGCGAGGGTGGGAGGGCCACGGGTTGAGCTGTAGCTGTTGGTCATGATGGTGCGGGTCAAGTTTCTCAAGCAGGTGTTCATCGTGCTCATTGCATTGCGACCATCCCAGAACCTGTTGTACGAGGTTTGGTTGCGGAAGACGAGCATCAAACCCACAACGATAGAGAGTGACGGGATCTAGAGATGTCTTAACAAAGGGCCTCCTTCGCGGGGATTTTGGGTAAACGTCATACGATGGTGGTCGGAAGTCCAACGGTTTCAAAAACATAAGTGTCAAGGTAGACAACGAACGCCGTGAATATGGCATGCAGAAAGACCGGTAGCAAGATATGCGCGTGGATAGCGCCCTTGATGAAGCGGAAGACCAGCGGCCATCTGCATCGAGTGGTGAGTAACGCTTCCCGGACTCGAAGATTCGATAATCTACCTTCTTGGCTTCTTTCGCGACGACAACAAATGCGGATGTGTCAATCGCCGTTGGTGGTGTCGCCCCTGCAGAGAGGTGTTCTGGCGGCTCAGCGTCGGGGTTGGCGGCTCACTGAAGACCAAGCGCATCTTGTCTCCGGGTGGATCAATCGATCAGCGATGTTCAAGGGTTTATTGTGGAGCTGGCACCGTCGATCGGCGCAGTCAGTCTTACGACCAACACGGTTGCTAGAGGCCGGATTGTTGGGTCTAACAGGATTCGAGGAAGGTTGAAGATCTGTCGCGTTTTGAGGTGGGGAAGGCGCTATGATCACAATGTCGCTAGGTCGTCGACCCCAATGCCCAGCGGCTTTGTTGATTAGGCGCCATTGGTGGACTCCTTGGCCAGTGATACACCGCTATTTTCTCCATGATAAGATTTGAGTACGGAGTACCTATGTCCAAGATATGCAATCCAGAACATGCAAACAAATTAAATATAGTCTCAATTATTGGGTGCGTTAGATTCAGACGGACTCTATACTTTAGCACACAGTCAAGTTCAGCCTAGTGGCAACAAAGACAATTATCGGGCCGGCCTAAATTGCGACGCCATAGCGAGCCGATGATAATTTCAAATCGACGTGAAATAAACGGGGCCTTCACCACATTCGCTCCCAGAATCGGCGCGCCCAATTCATCTGCGCCAACTCGGCCTTCCGACGCTCCTCCCATCCGCCATCTTCCCATTCCTTGCATTCCTCGTCCACCTCGGCTTTGCCAGAGTATAAGTCCGCATGAGCAGGATCCACAAATGTGGTTCGATGGTACACTTTCCAGAACACAAACATAACAGCCCAGAAGGCAAGGCCGAAGTAGGATGTTATAAAGCCCTGCACGCTGAAGGGCTTGAACACCGAAAAGCCGTTAAAGATAGCTGTCAAGGCGCCAATGCCGATCGCGAAACTGGCAAAGTAGGGCTGGAAGGGTGATGCCCAGGGAACGAAGGATTTGCGATCGATACCCTGCGCCTTTAGGGCGCGATACCAGCCAATGAAGACGACGAGCATGCCCGTGTAAGTAAGCACAAAGGCGATGGTCGTCAGATCGACGAACCAGTAGAAGACGGTCACTGAAGAGGAACCGGCGACGAGGAAAGTGATGCAGGAGAGGAGTGAAACGGTAAGCACACAGTAGACCGGAATGCCGGATGCCGTGCACTTGAGAAGGAATTTCGGGGCCTGGCCATCGCGAGCCAAGGAGTAAAGAGTTCGGCTGGAACTGTAGAGATACGCATTTCCGCATGACCAGCCGGACAGAAGGATGAGGAAATTGATCAGATCAGGAAGGCCGGTGATGCCCAGGTTTTGAATGCCAATAACCCAGGGTGAAGCAGCAGATCCAGCGGCACCAGCGTCAATGGCGGACATAAGACGAGGATCGCTTGGGTTGCAGATAATGCCAACGGCTAACACGCCGACAACGTAGAAGCCAACGATACGCCAGAAGGTCATCTTGACAACGCGAGGAATAGTGTATCGTGGGTTCTGGATCTCTCCGGCCGCCAAAGCCGGCAGGTCGGGACCGGCCACGGAGAAAGCAGCATATACCATCACGGAGAAAAACCCTAGGAAGCGACCGGTCGCGCCGTCCGTATAGTATTCAAACATCACGCCATCGGACCAATTGCGGAATCCATATACATCATGCTTGGGATTACCCCCAACCATCGTGATAAAGGTAAGGAGCACGAGGCCGACGAGGAGTAAGATCTTTGTCGATGCCATGATGAACTCGGCTTCTCCGTAGTATTTGACGGCGACAAAGTTGAGTAGCGAGCAGACTACTAGAGCCATGGCTACCCAGACTGCCGGATTAACGCTCGTTGTCCAGTACTGCATGACCGTTGCGACAGCGGCATATTCGGTACAGACTAGCATGACACCTCCATAGAAGTATACCCATCCCCTACAATCATGACAATTAGCCTCAAAGTCAAGAAGGGGTGCTTCTTGTAGGGATCTGGACTTACATAGCAAAACCAAATGCAGGATCAACAAATCGAGCAGCCAATTCGAAGATAGACCCTCGGATAGGCAGGTATGCACACATCTCTCCGACACTCAGGTTAGTAGGCAGAATAAAGAGTATGCCCCAAACCAGATATCCCAAGAACAACGACAGTGGACCGGCATCCCGAAGGTAAGACCCGATACCGACGAAGAGTCCCGTTCCAATAGACCCTCCAATGGCCATCAATTGCACATGGCGCGACGCAAGACCACGTTTAGTCTGGCCATATGGCTCGACAACGCCCGAACTGGCATCTTCGCTGGCAGTAGGGTGGTCTTCTGCGGAGATTTTCTTCTCCATGGTGGTCAATGATCAATTGCTTGAGTGCCGTGAGGGGACATCCAGCAAGCGAGCGGGGAACATAATTTCTTATATATACATGGCGTGGGGTCCAGGGAGAATAGACTCGGGACACGATGCGGAGACAGGTTGCCAAGTATGATACTGGCTGATAGTGACCCCGCGTCCCTATCGGGCGATGGAAGCGATGTAGCGCATCGGAAGCCTTCCTTTAGCTAAGATACATCTCGGGCGTGAAGCTTAGAAAGTATGACAGGGAGACAAGAGCGATAGCAAAGATAGTGGTGTTATCAGTGCTGTCTGAGAGGACCTCAAAAGGGGAAGAGATGGCGACGCTAGAGGAAGCTGCCAAGTGATAGGCTTATCAGCGACTGGGTACCGCGTGGTTACCCCAGACTTTTGGCCTTTCCACTGGTCCAGTGCAACCTTACTGCACATCATTACTCCAAATAGTCTCGGATTTGGTGATTGGGCCGATATTCGGAGAAGATTAATTTACAAATTTAATCGGGGATCTTTAGCCATTCGAGGCAAAGTGGCAACTTTCTAAATACAAAAGTACAGCTCTGGTCAGACGGCTTCACGGAGAAAGACCGAGAGTCACGGGAAGAATACAGCGAAGGGGTCCAAGCCCTTCAACGACCCCTTATCTAAACCTAGCATTTCCGGCCTGACATGGCATTGGTCTGAACGTTAAAGTTTCCATGCAGGCTTAGATCCCTTTACTAGAACCAGCATATACTATGTACATTCCAGTTGCGGCAGCCCACTTCTGGGCATTGGCATCCCAGTATGAGATATCGCGACGACGGAGTTCAAACTTGCTGTGCATGCTGTGACCGGCCTTGATATCCACGTTCTCAAATCTACTCAAGTGGCGTACAGACTGTTTCGTGGACTTGGGGTACTCGATGTACAGCTGGACTCGCTGGCACCGTCGACAAATCCGATGTTTTGGACGGTCACACTGGCACTGGCGACGGTATCCCAAGAATGCTCGTAGCCTCCAACGGACAGCTCTCTGGTAGGGTGGGTCGAATGCTTAGAGGGTAAGTTGATCGATCTTCAGGTTCGATAGGCAAAGTTGATAAGACCTGGACTCGAAGCGCTTTTAGGCCAGCCAGAGCCCGAAAAGAGGTGAGGAATAGACCTTTACTAAGTGACTCGTAGGTTTGATCTAACCTAACGGTCTGTGTAACATCATCACTCACATTTGTTCTGGTATTCACTTGTCAAATTGAATTCTAGCTCATTGTTAGATTGTGTATATGACCAGAAGACTCCGAAGTATACACCGCTTCGGTTGAGACGTACGAGGCCTTATTTATTGACGTGGGAAAACCATTTGATCTTTGAACTCTACATATCACTGGTAGTATTTCCATTGAATCCTGCAACGATCTTCTTACCGGACTCGAGGGTATCTACAGACGGGACTCAAATACTGAGCAGGTGAATTATTAAGCAATTTTGTGATTAATTCTTGTGTTACAAACTGGGTATCAACGTCAATCTTAGGTCTTCTTCTCCGCATCCCTCGGCACCTGTGAATTAAGTAGCCGACGCTGCTTACACGTCCTCGAAGTCGGAGCGCACTGATAATTCTGCAACATTCGTGGTGACATCTCACAATCTTTATCATCACTGCAAGGATCGCCAGGACAGCTTTTCCCGAATTTTGATGAAGCAGAGGTACTCCTCCACTTATGTCCTTCTCTGTTGGTGACCTGCATTCGACACTTGACACTCGCGGCCCGTCGACCGATGGCTTTTTCTCGTGGCTTGTCCCCAAAGGTAAATAGATTATAATGGGGTCGATCGAATGAGATGATCTCATCTTGGCACTGTGTATCCCTGTGAGCTATTAGTATAGCTGCACCTTGTCAATTGTTAGAAACTTAGTGGTTTGATTGCGTACTCGTAGATCGTGCAAATATTATCCAGTCCAGGTTCAAGGGGACATGGGATATCTATGGATCCGAGGGTCTTGCATCTGTTTGGGATGTTAAGAGTCTTTCCATGAACAAAATTGATGTGAAGTCAAAATACTTACATCAAGCCTTTGAGCTCAACGCATTCGCCCCATTCCACGCGTTGCTGGAAGCCAGTCGTAAACCGCATTGACGTTGATAGCACAGACTTTATAGCTCCAGATTAGCGACACAAATCTTTCAAAGCCTATGACTGACATAACACGCATCATCTTACCAGAGGCTCACCCGTGCCATTGAAGCCTGCAGATACCAACCCCGCTAGCAAAGCACAAGCTGTAATCGAAAGTCGGTACATAGCCTCACAATGCGTCGTGAATGAAATCGGTCGGCTTTGGCCCCTCGCCTCGAAATACAAGCAGAAAGCAAAATTATATAACCAACGAACAAGACCTCGACCATCAAGCAGTGGAGTGACACATGAACGAAAGAACCCTTCACACACCTACATGGCCGAAGCCAAACACTATAAATGGGCCAAATCCCAAGATGCCAAGCCCATGCAGAGAAAGACCCCTCGGCTTCAACCCCCCCAAACCCCAATTCCCACGGCCTCAAGCGCCTCAAAAGAGCCGTCCGCTGCTGCGGGCGCTATTTTTCGCATACTCGAAGCCGCTCAGTGGTTCTTGTGGCGGTATATGCCCCGCCCGCTTTTCCTGTTCTAGAAAGGTGGGAGGTTACTGGCAGAGGCACGGGATTCTGGGTCCTCTTTGATGCTTGCTTCCAATAGCGGGCATGGATCAGTGTGATGTGCTGACATTAGTTGCTAGGGTAGTTAATTAAACTAGTCAACTAACGTGAGTTGGAGTTGAAGGGTAGGGTCCGTTGCGATTTGAGCTAGTCTGTGCTGTAAGACCGCCACGACGAAGCATTCAACCTCGAATAAGATAGATGAATGATAATATTGAACTGGGTATATCCTAGATATTTGATATCTAAATTCTAAATTAAAGTGATTACTGAAAGCGCCATTTAATGCAAAACATGGTCAAAATGCATTGGCGCTTACCTATCAATAGCTTCTTGTGCGGATCCGTGAACCGGTGCTTTTTACCCGCCAAGGAAGGATCAAGAATGAGCCATTTGCGGCTGGACCGACATTTCTTGAGATAATGGGCCCCCAATCTCTGAAGCCTCTAGAACTTTGGGGCTGTTCATGAGTTCTATTCATACATTAGCAAATTCTAAACTTGCATACTGGTGGTGTCAATCCTTGCACGCTCGGCGGGTAGCGAGATAGACTTCTGCATCAGAGCATGCTGACAACCCGGGAATTTCCATGTCGAGTATCCTCTTCCTTTACGCAACAATATACTAACGACTTATTTCGTGAATGAAAATCAGAACAAAGAGATGGAAGGTTGTCGCGAGTGTCAGGAGACACCCTCTGATTCCCGGTGCTATCTCTCGAGTTATAGCATTTACGGCGCATGAACGTCCAGGACGGCTACAGCCCTTCACATACAAGGGAATAAATCCAGTGCTACTTTGACAGCACTTGCCGTTTCGTATTCGGCGGCGACACGCAAAAAAATTGGAGAATGAAAAAATTCATAGATACCCAGGCTATCGAGACAGAAAATGCGGAATCAAACGCCAAACCCAAGACAAAAAGTTTTGCGAGGTATTCGGTATCTTGATAGAAAATGGGGGAAACGACGAGATTCCGACCAAGCAGAAGGATCCTAGTCGCCCCAAAGATCACCAAGTTCATACAGAAAAGCCTGGGTTTGCTGAAAATGGGGTATATCGAAAATGACGGAGGGTGGGATGCATCGCGGATAGAACGAGACAGATAGGGGAGGAATGACAGTAGAGATTGACATCAACTCGGAAGAAAGAGAGAAAATGGAGGCTGTTGGTAATGAAAAGAGGAAACGCCGAAGTGCCATGAGCAGGTCCGGTTTAATCGCGAAACGCTATTACAAGATGCGGCGGGAAGATGAGCTGGAAATTCCAAAGCATTTCAAGATCAAGAGGATTATCCCAGAAAGGACCACCAGGTAACGCAAGAAATGACGCAAAGGGAAATGATAAATGCCCTCAAATAGCACACGGTGAATTCAATGAATAATAGTCCGAGAGGTCGTCAATTAAGATTATTGCGGGTGTGCGATGCTCCGATTACCGCACACCGGCACGCCCGTCAAAGGCTAGAGGGCCCGAGTCGTTACGTGGGGTCAGAGGGTTGTCATCGGATGTCTCTGAGCGACCGGGTGTGTCTGCACGAAGATGTGGTCGTCGAGCCGCGGGAACGTTGAGAGGCTGCGAGGGTTGGAATTCGGGAATACTGATGGTAGCGCTGCGAGTAAGGTCGTCGTTACTGGCGTTCGGAGCTGGGGAGTCCGAGCTGCGGCCATCCTCCATATCGATTGCAGAACCGGATGCCTCATCATTATCGTCTTGCAAGTGTAAATTCTCAACGTCGGTGACAAAGTCCGGTTCTTCGGTGTGCGGCTCCAACGGAGTCGGTTGCTGCTCCCCCACACCATTTGTCGTAGCTTGTGCAGTTACGGCAGGTTGCGTTATAGATGCAGAGTCAGCAGAGTCATTTGCCGATGTAGCTTCGGCTGGCGCGTTGGCTTCGTCATTTTCAACGACATCGTTGGTGTCGTCGACTTCCGCGCTGAGATCGGTGAATGCACGACAGTTGGGACATTGGAACATGGGATAGTCCGGAGAGTGCAGTAATCGACTGATACATTTGTAATGCCAGACGTGGGCGCAGGCTGCCATGAAAAGACATTGATATGGGCGCTGGATCGCGGGGAAAAGTTAGCCACAAGTACGACTGTAGACAGGACGCAAAGGACGAACCAAAACAGAGCCGAGGCAGATCGAACACTCTCGACAACCAGAGTAGTCAGCTCCATCTCCTTTGCCCAGGTTTTTGATGAGACTCTCGGTATTTTTACTGTCCAATATGTTAGCCGCGTACAAGATACGCCAGTGTGAAAGAACATCCTTACTTAAACTCGTTCTGCTGCTGCTGCCAGGAGCGATTGCACTCGATTCGAATCCGAACACAACGGAAAATCATCTCTTCGCCGCCACGGAAATCAATTCCCAGCTGCACGATGTCGCCGTCTTTAATCGAGTATAGGCGAGACACCATATTCGGCTGACTCAATCGCATATGGTTCAAAAACGTGCCAGAAGAACTTCCCACGTCCTTGATGTGCCACTGGCCATTACTATAGATGAACTCGCAGTGTTTCCGACTGACCACCTTCGATTTAAAGCCTACGGGGGCGTCTGAGGGCTCGGTGGGGTTGGGGATTGGGATGCCATCTCGTTCAGAGTACCGACCAACTCGAATGACGGAGCTCTCAGAGGGCAACGTGCGTGCAATGGGGACGAACGGGAGGGACGGTCTCGAGCTCTGGAAAGTGTCCTGGTACGGGAAAAATCGAATGGTTGCCTTCTTCGAGGTCACGGCGGTGACCTGGGCAGTGTCCGCTGGAATCGCGCCCGTCGAGTCGGGTGCATCGGTGGCCGCAGAGGTCGGTTCTGGGGGAGAGGGGGGAGCCTCCGGGGCGGTGGTTCTTGCGAGCGCGATCGTACGAGGCGGGCGACCTTGCACGGCCGAAGCACTCCTTAATCGCGCCATGACATTGGGGGGAGGTTGAGCTGACTCGCCTGGAGGAGTTGACCTAGAAGACTCGGCCGATGACGTTTGTGTGTCGACGCCGAGACCGTGGGAGCCCGCAGTGGGTGCAGAAGTGTAGCGAGACAGGGCTGGGTGGTCACTTTCGGGGCCTGGAGCAGTGGAGTTCCCCACCTGTTGCGTTGGAGACTCCGGACCCGACGAGGATGGGGATAGCCAAGGCACTCGACTACTCAGACTGTTACGCGACCGATGCCCACCGGGAGAAGAGTGAGATAGGTTTTGTGTATAGGCACGAAGCTGGCTGAAGCGACGGAGTCGCCCTGGGCGCGGACAGTCGGAGAGCGAGGCGGAGGCGGTGGCGGTTGAGGCAGACATGGGGCTATTATGTGCGACGGACTTTGGGTGGGGGGCAAAACGTGTTGGCTGTTGGCCGTTGGCTGCTTTGGCTTGGCTGACTATGGGGTGTGTTTCGGTGGTGCGCTTTCAATCTCTGTCTTGCCTTCTGCTGGTCGCCTGCATGCGACGGGGATTGCCTTGTCCAGCCGATCGAAGGGGGACTGGCAATGGCACTGTCTCAAGGAGGAGCGGGCGCAAGACGAGGTTGAGGATCAAAGGGCCCGTTCTACCTGGGATCGGCAACTGGACTAGAGCGGCTCAAAGGGCGGGTGGACAGTCTCTAGGCATGGAGTCGAGGAACAAAGAAACGCGAGCACGAGGGAGAGCAGAATGAGAATTGCGAGAGAATAGAAAGGAGAGAGAGAGGAGAGGAGCAGAGGGAGGAGGAATGGGAAGTACGTGTTTCGCGCCAGACAAAATGGGGGAGGAGGGCGTAGGCTTGGTATGATGTGGAAGCGTCGAGATTTCACGGAACCAGACCCAGTCGTTCCACGTTTTATGAGTTGGTCTCGATGGGACGATACTCAGACACTAGACACGAGTAGGCAATACACTAATTTACCTTTATCGCGCGAACAGGCTCTAAAAGAGGAGGCTAGTCCCCTTCCACCGACTCGTAGTATCGTGGTCAGCATCGATGCGATCTACGGAGTACTTTGTACACCTCGACAAAGACCTCTGGATCTATGGACGAGATCGAAGAAACCCGTCGCAAGATCACACTCCATCTTGTCCATACCGGCATACCATCCTCCCCAGACTCCGAACTCGTTGCCCCTCCTCTCTCATCCTAAATCTTTTGCGGGGAAATAGCCTCCAATCCGGCCCGACTTTGCCTCTTGTAGTTTTAGCCGACGGCCCTGGCTCTGGCTCTACTCCTATGGATATGCTCACCTGCCAATAATATCGATGGCTCCCTGCCCTCGGTCAGCGTACTTAGTCCTGACGGTACACTAAAGAGCTCTCCAGACGGGACTAGGACTAGCTTCGCACCTACTTTCCTTGGGACCTAGGATCCCAGATGATAGATCCCGCCTCTTGAGCTTGGCCCACTTCTTGCATTTCTGTGCATTGGGGTCTACTATCTTCCATGTGATGCTGCAAATATTCGCAAATATTCTAGATAGGCGCAGTCCAAGGCCTCGTCAACTCTCCGTCTTCGTCCTTCACGCGGGCGGATCATCCGTCCGGTGATCATCTGCGTCACTGGGAAGGAATCACAAGGGCGATGAGAAAAGATGGAACCTCATTGGGTCTGTGCTGCACGGACCCTACCTACGAGAAGCGGAAAAGAGGCAAAGCGGAAAGGGAGAGGGCAACGAAGATTTAAGAGAGAGGCGGGGGTGGGGGGTGGGGGGCAAAGGAGGGAAAAGAAGAAGGCTGGCTTGTTTTATGACAGAATGGAGGAATGAGATGGAGAAGAATGGAGATGCTAGGGAATGATGGCGAATATGATCGATAGAGAGAGAGAGAGAGAGAGAGAGAGAGAGAGAGAGAGAGAGAGATACGGGTACAATTGTAAGTGCAATGCTATAAAGCACAACAATACCGAGTGCAGCAGTTACACCTTGTCAACCTGCCTTTCCTATGAACTGGACAGTTTCTAAAAAGGATCTCGCGGTTGCAAGATCTTGCTATCAGCTTGTACAGTCCATTTCAATACATCCGAATAAGGTCCTTCAAGTCTTGATCGAATGTTGATCTCAAAATATAGTACATCAATAATAATAGTTCTATGTACCCTGCGTCCTCTGATCTCCTCCGTCAGTCGACACGCCGCTCTATGCGGATTGGTCGCCGCTCTCGGGAGGATGTATGATGTTATGCGGGAGCTTGACAGGTCTAAGGGTATAGAATACTCCGTACAGACATTCAAATCACAGAAATGATAAAGGAAAAGAAAAAAGCAAAAGCTTGAGTAGCTCAATGTCCATGGTCATTCATCAATGTATCAAGTGTCAAATTTCGAAAAATCGGGTGCATCGCAGACAAGACCGTTCCAACCCGAGTCTACACTACGTGAGCTAGTTGCTAGTTACCAGTTAGTGAGCTCCCGCGCCTGCAACCTCGTTTCACCTCCCTCCACTTCCTTCCCTTCCCCCCTCCTTGCGGATCGGCTTTCCCCTTTTCTTTTTTTTTTTCTTCTTCTCTATCTTCGCCCTCAGACTCGGAACCCGACTCTGCTCCCTCGGGGCTCTCCTTTCGATCACGCGCTGCTCCCTTGTGTTCCCCATCCCGAAGCTTGACCCGGGTTGATGCAACTGCCTCCAGCCTCTACCGCCCAGCCTTCTCCTCATCTCGACCAACCCGACTGTCTCCCCGCAGAAATCTGAATCGAACCTCCCTCCTTTATCTTTTCCTCCAGCTTCGATCCAATCGCCTTCGCGGCCCTGATGCGGGCCTGTTGAGGACGGCATGAGTGGAATCGTCACCACCTGTCTGTCGTGCCTGTCGGCGGTCGACCAATGGTGTCATATCACGGCCTGCCTGGGTGGAGGGCGTTCTCGGGATGGCATCTACGAAACCACCCTTGCCGATAATGAACGAGAAGCCGTGTCGGATTTGTTGGGTTATCTTGAGAATGTACGCCGCAACTCTTGTTTTCTGTCGCTCGGGGTCCCAGATGCCGTTAACCCCCCCCCCCCCCGATCGGTGATGCCCGTGTGTGACCCGCGCCAGCCGATCAACGTTGCTAACCACAGCCCCTGTCTTCCATTTTCACAGCGCGCCGAAACTGATTTCTTCGCCGGAGAACCCCTGCGCGCCCTGAGTACTCTAGTATATTCGGACAACGTCGATCTTCAGCGAAGCGCTAGCTTGACCTTTGCTGAAATCACCGAACGAGGTGCGTTGGATAGCGCTTGTTGCCTATGGCGATTTCAGACCTGACCCCATACCTGCAGATGTGCGCGAAGTCGATCGGGATACTCTCGAACCCATCCTGTTCCTACTCCAGAGCTCGGATATTGAAGTGCAGCGAGCTGCGAGTGCGGCGCTGGGAAATCTTGCCGTCAATGGTAAGCATCAGCTCTGATCTCAGGACCTCCATGTTGATCTTGATCGCTGACCCCAATCCTTAGCTGAGAACAAAGTCTTGATCGTCGCCCTCGGAGGGCTGGCCCCTCTGATCCGTCAAATGATGTCGCCCAACGTCGAAGTCCAGTGCAATGCCGTCGGTTGTATCACCAACCTGGCCACCCACGAAGAGAACAAGGCCAAGATCGCTCGCTCAGGGGCGTTGGGCCCTCTGATCCGTCTCGCCAAGTCGAAGGATATGCGTGTGCAGCGCAATGCGACCGGCGCATTGCTTAACATGACCCATTCTGGTACATACCAAATGCCTTGAGATTCGAGTGTGCCTTGGAGAAGGAGGTGAAGCTAACTCGAGACCACAGATGATAATCGCCAACAGCTCGTGAACGCCGGTGCCATCCCTGTCTTGGTTCATCTCCTTTCATCACCCGATGTCGACGTGCAATACTACTGCACCACGGCTCTCAGCAACATCGCCGTAGACTCGACCAACCGCAAGCGTTTGGCCCAAACCGAGTCGCGCCTGGTTCAGTCTTTGGTTCATCTCATGGACTCCTCCACCCCCAAAGTCCAATGTCAAGCGGCACTCGCTCTTCGCAATCTCGCTTCCGATGAGAAGTATCAACTGGAGATTGTTCGCGCCAAGGGCCTCTCTCCATTACTACGACTTCTGCAATCCTCTTACCTCCCTCTCATTCTCTCCGCCGTGGCATGTATCCGCAATATCTCCATCCATCCGCTCAATGAGTCTCCCATCATTGAAGCCGGCTTCCTGAAGCCGCTAGTCGACCTTCTGGGTTCGACCGACAATGAAGAAATCCAATGCCATGCCATCTCCACCCTTCGCAACCTTGCCGCTAGCTCCGATCGCAACAAGGAGCTGGTTTTGCAGGCTGGGGCAGTTCAGAAATGCAAGGATCTCGTTCTTCGCGTCCCACTGACCGTCCAATCCGAAATGACCGCTGCGATCGCTGTGCTGGCCCTCAGCGATGATCTCAAGCCTCATCTTCTCAACCTCGGCGTATTCGACGTCTTGATTCCACTGACAAACTCGGAAAGTATTGAAGTACAAGGGAACAGCGCGGCTGCTCTTGGTAATCTGTCCTCTAAGGGTAAGGGTCCTCTCGCTTCCGGGTCTTAACATTGCCACATAGAGAGAGCTAACAATTCACTAGTCGGCGATTACTCAATCTTTGTCCGTGACTGGGCTGATCCCAATGGAGGAATCCACGGCTACCTTCATCGATTCCTCGCCAGTGGTGATCCTACATTCCAACACATCGCGATTTGGACTCTGCTACAGCTCCTCGAATCTGAAGATCAGAAACTAATTGGATACATATCCAAGTCCGAGGATGTGGTGCAGATGGTCAAGTCCATCTCCGACAAGAATATTGAGTCTGACGAGGAGGATGCGGATGACGGTGAAGGGGAAGTAATTGCCCTTGCCCGGCGCTGCCTGGAGTTGCTCGGGACCGGTCCTAAGCAGACCTTGGTTGAGGCATAAGCCCGCCATTAGTTCGTTTTTTTCTCACGTGTGCGACAATTTACCCTTTTCGGACCTTTGGCTTCTCCAAATTCCTTCGTCTAGTTCCTCACTTTACCGTTCCTTGGGTGTTCATCTGGGCATTGGATTCACCGAATTCTGCTTTTTTTTTGTCAGCGGGCATTTGGCGTGTCTAGGGCCGTTTCTATTTTCTTTCTTTACGTGATACTTTTCTTCAGTACGAGTTTTCTTCCATGACCATGGCCATGGATTTTTGGGCCGGTGCCGCTGTGTCTTCCTTGTTTTTACGCATACACCGTGTATTCATGCTAGATATGGGGCCTTTGTCATAATTAATCAGTCCGCTGTGCATAGCGAGTCCGGAATTCAATTAGCTAGAATAGTCGTAGTTTATTATGTCCAGGTTCTACAGGAGCTCGGTGCTGCCCTGTACCTCGGATAATAGTACCGCCGGTCCAGATGGATCCAGAGGGAGCTCCTCGAACAAAAAAAAACCTCCTCCGCTTCAACCATTTCTACATCACAAACAGCCCTGCAATTGCATATACTCCTGGGGTTACACCATGACCACGTCTCTTCCACCCGTTGCTATTCCCGGGCAACGCCTAGGTTCCATTGCCACATACTCTGCCGGACCTGGCACCCATGTCCAACAATCCAATATCTACGCCTCCATCGCCGGCCCCGTCATCGTCGATCCCGCACAGCCCAAGACACAAACCAAGTCAACACTTCGTGTCTCAAGAGGCCTCCCGGGCACATCTCCAGCGGCTCCATCTCCAGCTTCAGCAGTCCCCGCCAACCAAAGGCCACGCTACAATACCCTCCCGGCCGTCGACTCCATCGTCCTCGCCCGAGTAACCCGCGTACAAAGGCGCCAGGCAACCGTCTCCATCCTCGTCGTCCTAGACGAAACCTCGTCCTCAACTACCGACCCTTCAAAATTCGCCTCCGACAACGACAATGTCGCCTCTATCCTCACCACGGCCGCGAACCCAGAGAACCACAGCAGCACGGACGAACTGCGGTTCCAAGCGCTGATTCGGAAAGAGGATGTGCGGGCCGTGGAGAAGGATCGTGTCGTTATGGATGAGATGTTCCGTGTTGGTGATATCGTCCGCGGATCGGTACTTTCGCTCGGTGACCAGAGCTTTTATTATCTGACGACGGCAAGGAATGATCTTGGCGTCGTTATGGCGCGGAGTGAGGCAGGGAATATGATGTTCCCTGTTAGTTGGAAGGAGATGAGAGACCCCGTCACCGGGGCTGGGGAGCAGCGGAAGGTCGCGAGACCTTATTGAATGCTTCCCGTTCCTGCTATTTTTCGACAAAGATTCGGCCATGAGTGAAAGTGTTGAGATAATGTCTCGAATGCCGACTCGAGCAATTCATAGCTCGTGAACCTCATTGCTGGCCTGGCTTCGCAGAAACCCGACTTGCTATCTGAGACACGCTGCACATCTATTGCATCACAAGTCTTGTTGACGGGCGTGTTCAGAGCCCACCGACTTCGATCGTCACGTCTCCTCCAGGTGACTCGCTCCAGGTCCTCCCAGACGGACCACATCATGCCCGAGGAGCCATTACCTCCCTCCGACAGTGCCGCACCGGCTGGCATACAATGCAGCAAGCATGATACCTGCATCTACAGCACCGCTACTGCAACATTGGGATCAAGGTCCCTACCCACAGCAATTATGATACCCACTAAACGAATGAAAAGGACATGATTAACTTCTTCACCCCCAGTCTCTCAGCTGCGGTCTATTTTCCCATAGAGCTATTTATTATCTAGTGAACCTCCTTAGTATACACGGTCGAGACTTTTTCCATGTCGGATTGTGTTTGTCATTGGAGGCAGATTGATGGATTCTTCGGAATCACGCGGGGAACTCTCATTCTTTGCGAAACCCTGGGACTCGACTTTTTCTGTCTTAACTATTTATGACAGGATGGAGATTTGAGGGTTACATTCATACATCTAACATTTTACGTGTGTTCTCAGGTACTAGACTTGCAACTAAAGTCCCTGTTCAACAGAAGATACCTCTCACAGAGGAAGAGAAATCAAACCAGATCACTTTTGTATATTCACTTTACCAATGTATAATCCAGATAAAGAAAACCAAAGAGACTAGAAATCATACCTAAACACCCCCAAATCAAGGATCACCCTATTTCTTCAGCGTCTTTTGCTTCTCAGCATCAATCAACTTCCGCCCCTGCACGACAAGACCCTTCCGAGTTCTCACGGCATCCATATACCGCTTCGCCACATTCTCCCGATCTGCCAACTCGCCCAGATCCTCCAATTCCTCCTCCGTAGCGGGCACCCAGAATGGATCCTCGTCCAGAGCCTCGAAGCCCGCAAAGATAAGCTGGGGCTGTGCGGCGCCGGACGTGCGCTTGCGGATCTCCTCGGCGAATCCGAAGGACTCGGCAACGGGAAGGAGGGCGAGGATGGTGAAGAAGGGGGTTCCTTCTTTCATCACCTCCGTGAGAATACGGCCTCTGCGGCGGGTTATCACACCGTAGACACGGCCGAGGACTTCGGCTGTGTGGGGGAAGAGGGATGTTAGTCTGTGGGACAGGTTTTGCAGAAGAAGGGGAAAGGGAAGACGTACTTGTTGCTTGGATTTCGCAGGAGTACATTGCGAGCATGATACGGGGACTCCAGTCCAGGAAGCCTTGGGTGATACCCTCGCGGACGAGCTTGATAGAATCGCCGGTCAGACGGCCCATGTCTAGCTCGTCGCTGGAACTGGCTTCCACAGAAAGATCCTCAAGGAAGACGGCGACACCTTGCATTGGTTCTTGGCAGAGGGGTCCCTGGCCTGTTGCCAGTTGGAAGGCATATGCAATCTTATCGCAAAGGTCGCGTGTAAGCAGGGCCTTCAGATCATCGGAAGAAACCACGTTTTGCTTGGAGTCCTCAAGCAAGCTAGAAGTTACAGGTTAGCATTAGTAAAAAGGCATGTCGTCGCATCTTGGTAGTTGATAGACTCACAATTTCTCGCAAGTGTTGACTGCAGTAGCATCCACCAAGATGTTAGGGCCGATTCTCCGAGGCCCGAATGCAGTAATGCGGTCAACGACGTTCTTCCAAAGCTCTACTTCTTCCTTGACCTCTTCGTTGAACACTTTGTCCAGCTCATCGCGGAATTCCTTCAAAGATAGAACTTTACCCTCGCCTACCTCACCAGCGGCATCAACTTGCGGGGCACCGTCTGCAACTACAGACTCAACCTCTGACTTTGACTCGGCAGCCGTACGCTTTTCTGCCTGAAGGCGCTTAATAGTACCGACTTGTTTAGTCAAGAATTCGGTGACAGCAGCAGGCATTGGCATGACTCGCAGACGGACTGTCATCTGCTTAGACGCGGAGACGGAAATAACACTTCCGCGGCCCAGTTCTGGGTTCTTGGGAGGCGCCATCTCGGCAGCATCGACGATAGTCTCACGGTAGGGAACGATAGCTTCACCGGTCTGGATTTCACAGCGGGCAAAACGCTCACGGAGATCCTTGACGCACCGCTCCAAGTGCAATTCACCTGCTGTCAAGATAACGTGTTCGCCGCTTGGAAGAACCTCGTACAGTGCACAAGGGTCACTCTGTTCAAGAAGACGCAGGCCAGTAATCATTTTACCGAGATCTGCTGGATTGACGGGCTCAAGGGCAACGCGGACAATGGGCGGGGTGCTCAGAGAAACACCTGCCAAGTTGATACCACCTTCGAGTTGGCTGCAAAGAGTACCGGTCTTGAGTACATAACCTGCAAGGCCACCGATACCAAATACCACACCGGCTGGAACAGACTGGAGAGGCTCCAAGCTCCTACCCATGAGCAGGTACAAGTCTGTGACCGTAACCTTCTTCGGCTCCGGGCTTGCATGGGGGTTGGCGGGAGAGAACTTGGGTGGCAGCACATAGATTGAGTCTCCGACTGACAGCGTGCCGGAGTAGAGTCGAGCAAAGCCGATGAGATGCTCTGGGTCTTCCTTCTCTACCGGCTCTTCGGGCTCCTCGGTCTCAGTAATCAGAGTTGTGTTCTCGAATGCGGATGTCATTCTCTCAAAGGTATCGTTCTGTCCCGCACCAGCCTCTGCCTGCATCTTCGCAATCTCTTCTCTCTTGCGACGAGCAATTTCTCTGGCCTCATCCGCAGTCATGGTACCTCCACAGCGCTTTTTGCTTGAGCTCAATTCGCTTTCGGGGACAGCCACCATCTTGCTAACATAAGCAACTACTGGCTCCTCGGGGCCGGTCTTGAAAGTCACCATAGCGTCCTTGATAGACTCGGAGATTTGGTCCGAGCCAGGGGAAGCTTCAATCAGATCGGGAAGACGAGTAGCTTGCGCGACTTGGGGACTTGGAAGATATTCGATGATGGAAACGAGAACAGCAGTGGACAGAGGCAACCATTGAGAGAACAGTGTTGTCATGATATTCTTCGGGTCACGCGAACGGAGAATATAAGGAGGAATCGAAATGTTCAGGGACTTGGTGATTTTCTCCAGCAAAACGGGATCACTATGCAAAGTCAGTAGCGGATTCCCATCAACACCGTCTATGCACAAAATCACTCACCCTTTACCCGTACCACCGCCAGTGGTTGCTTCATATGCAGCCCAAATGCTGTCCAAGACCAACTGCACGAACATGGGCTTCAGTGCCCTGCCCTTCAAATGCTTCTGTCCTAGCACACGCTTCGTCTTTGGGTCCAAATAGAAATCACCCCAAAGAACTTTCTCCAAAATTGTTCGCTTAATGCCAAGCTTCTTCTCGTAGATGGCAGCGAATTGCCTGATGGTAAAGGCCCATCCATCCACGGCACTGCAGAAGATGACGTTGTTCTTCTCAGGCGCGAAGTAAAGGTCCTCATCATCACGCTCCTCGAACTCGGCAAAATCACTGACACTTTGGACGGACTCGTCGTCCAAAGTCTTAGTTTTGGTCTTATCCTTGTCCCGTGCAGCAGAGGCGTTGACACGGTCTTCCATGCGCTCTCGCCACTGTAGATCCTCTTCCATACGCTCACCCTGATAGAAACTACCAATAACTGCGTTGATTTGTTCCAGGAGTCGACTGAGATGTGAGTAGGCTTCACTAGGACTCATCATGAGCTCAGTCACCAGTCGATCCATCTTGTTGATGACGAGGATGGGCTTCAGCTGCTCGACCCAAGTCTGGCGCAGGACGGTCACGGTTTGACTGCAGACACCCTCGACTGCGTCGACAAGCACGACGGCACCATCGCAGAGGCGAGATGCCGTAGAGACCTCACTGCTAAAGTCGATATGACCCGGTGAATCGATCAGATTGATCAGGTACTCCTTGGGTACGGGCGCAGCGTCTGGGCTAGAACGACGAAGCATGGAGAAAAACAGCGAGATAGCCGAAGACTCCATGGTAATACCTCGGAGCTGTTCGTCTGGCCGCGAGTCCAGGTAGCGGATCTTGCCCGCCAGTTTGGGCGAGATGATGCCATTGGTGGCTATGAGACTATCGGTCAACGAAGTTTTTCCATGGTCCTACAAAAGCGAAAGTCAAAAGAGGTAGTTGATTAGTGCAAATTCATGGGCTAAGAACGAGATTATTCAGTTGCCGTGTGAACTTACGACGTGGGCGAGAATGCAGATCTAGCGCGCGGGTTAGTATATCGCGAGACTGACATCACAGGTGGGATGGAGGGGCAGAGACTCACATTGCGAATATCTTCGGGCTTTCGCTGCAGGCGAACAAGATCGTCTACGTTGACCACGGGCATCTTGGCTAGCACTGGTGGCTCTCACTATATTCAGCAAGTCCAGTGGGCGCAACGTTGTGGGGAGAAAGAAGTATTTCAGTCGGATGGCCGCCGGAGAAAAAAGTTGCTGAGAAATGGAAATACAAGCGCGACTCTTTGGGCCCGTCAACTAGAATGTTGGAGCCGCGCAAAGAACCCACGAGCTCAATTTTTTAATTAATTTTTGATGCAGTAAAACTGAAATATAGATCATCAAATTTGGATATATTCGCTATTTATTTCTCAAGGGCTAGAGCGTGATTCTAGTGCTATGCAGTTTCGTCATTACAGTTGACTCATTATGAATCAACCAGGTCCATTGATGTACCTCGAGTCAAGAGCAGGCTTCCACTCTGCTTTCCGTATGACTATTGCAGCAGAATACACCTATCACGAAATCATTCCTCGTCAAAGGAAAGTTTGATTTTCTTGGCCTTTTTGGGCTTCCGAGGCGCTGGTGCCTTTGGCTGAGCCTCGTCGGCCTCTTGCTTTTCTCCAGATTTCTCTGGCTCATCATCACCCACAACCTTGACCTGTTTCCGCTTTCTTGGAGCCCCGACTTCGGTCAGATTGCTCTGTTTAGCCGTAGAGGTCTCGGTTTGAGGCGGCGCATTGTCCTGACCATTTTCCGTGGGTTCGTCCCTCGCAGAGGCCTCGTCGTCTTTTTGATCTGAACCACCACCAACGAGGGCCTCATATTCTGCTTTGGAGATCACCTCGTTACTCTCTTCATCGACGTATACGGGCGCATCATCGTCCTCGTCGTTCTTGTCTTTGATTTTTCGAGGGCGCGCAGCGGGTCGCTCGAGGCGACCGGAAGTATCGCCATAGTGGCCACGAAGCTTCTGGAGAAATGCGGGCTCTTTCGCCTCTATAATAATTGTGAGTCGAGTCCATCAGGTAGACAAGGCGTGACATACCGTAGGCAAGCTTCGGGTTCTTCGACATGGTCGCGCGACACAGTGGGGTTGTAGCTCGCTGCTGTCAGGTCAAGATCATGCCGGATACACACACCCTCATGAAATGATCGTAGATAATCAGTCAGTCAGAGTCATCCATTAAAGCAATTGACTCTGGTATTTACCCTCGAGTCACAAAGTGAGGTAATGAGGTTGGAGGTGTCCCAAGAACAGGAAGCAAGTCGGGGCCGTGAACAGCTCGACTCGGCGCTAAACCGCAACGGGACACATCGAAAAGTCCAAAGGAGCCGCTCTTCGCGTCTGGTCCTCTCCATCCATCTACCTCCAACCAACCCCCAATTAATCATGCTCTGCGCAAGTGAGTCCTTCATAACTGAATTTACTCAAATAGCCACTATGGAAGCTTGTTCTTTCTAACCATTTTGCCGCAACAGTCTCCGGAGAGGCCCCTCAAGTGCCGGTCGTCTCTTCCAAGAGCGGTAGGTCTTCCCAGCCTCTATTCGCCAATCGCGCCTTTCTAACACCTCAACAGGCAGTGTCTTCGAGAAGCGCCTCATCGAAGCTTATATTGCCGAGAACGGCAAGGATCCCGTGAATGGCGAAGAGCTCACCACCGACGATCTGATCGATGTCAAGTCGCAGCGCGTTGTTCGACCCCGACCTCCCACCCTGACCTCCATTCCCTCTCTACTCAGTGTATTCCAAGAGGAATGGGATGCGCTGGCTCTGGAAACATATACCCTACAGCAGAACTTGTCACAAACGCGGCGCGAGCTGAGCGCCGCGCTCTATCAGCATGATGCCGCCGTGCGAGTCATTGCGCGCCTGACGAAGGAGAGGGATGAGGCCCGCGATGCGCTTTCAAAGGTCACCGTTGGTGCTACTCGTGCGGCAGCTGATGGAGAGGCTATGCAGGTAGACTCTGCAGCCTTACCCCAGGCAGTGCTGGAGCTGGTTGAGAACACACAAGCAAGGTACGAAATCTCGGGAGTCATTTTAGCCGACTATCACGTAAAAAACACTGACAATGATGCCTTGTTTAAAGCCTCTCGAAGACTCGCCGCAAGCGTCCGATCCCCGAAGGCTGGGCTACCACTGACTCCATCTCGACATACAAGCCCGCTGAGAGCTCTGAGCCTCTCTACCCTGGAAGCCGCACCATTGCAGTCAACTCGACTGGCGAGCTGGCACTCATTGGCGGTGCTGATGGGGTTGTGGGCGTTTACTCTCTTCCCCAAAAGACCGTCTTGCAGACTCTGAAGACAGATGGCCCGGTGACGGATGCTACGTGGGCCGGTGACAAGGCAGTCATTGGATCAGCCACTGGATCTGTCAAGGTCTTTGAGAATGGCAGCGAAGTGGCCAGCTTTAGAGCTCATGGTGGTGAGGTAACTGCTGTTGCAGTTCATCCCAGTGGTAGCATTGTCGCCTCTGTTGGTGTGGACAAGAGCTATGTCCTCTACGATCTGACTTCCAATACTGCGGTTACTCAAATCTGGAGTGATGCCGGTGAGAAGCATCCCTCGATATTCTGATACTTTGCATTTGATACTAACTTTCTTCATCTAGCGTTCTTGTCTGTTGCTTTCCACCCCGATGGCCACATTCTGGCTGCTGGCAATGCCAACGGGCAAGTCAAGGTCTTTGATGTCCGCACTGGTACTGAAGCTGCCGACTTTGCGATGTCTGGTCCTGTGAAATGTCTTTTCTTCTCTGAGAACGGTACCTCTTTGGCAGCAGTGGCAGCGCAGTCCACTACCGTCTCTATCTGGGACCTACGAAGCTTCAAGGAAATCAAGGTGCTGGACACCGGCAGCCAGGTCAACTCGATCCACTGGGATTACTCTGGTCAGTTCCTTGTGACTGGTGGCCCTAGTGGAGTGACTGTCCAGCAATGCAACAAGTCGGCCAAGGAATGGTCGGAGCCTCTCCGCAGTGCTGTCCCAGCTGTGTCTGTTGCATGGGGATCTGCTGCTCAAAGCATTGTCACCATCAATGACGCCGGTGCAGTCACTGTTCTGGCAGCATAGTTATGAATTTTTCGAGCAAAATATGTAATTTTAGAGCTGGATATCTGAGTTTCAATGGTGTTTCGTGCGTTTGCGACAGCTCTTGATGCAGGAAAAATTCACAGTTTTTTCCTTACGATCTGAATAACTCATACCCATAAGCACCTAGTTCTCTGGATCTAATCTCTTTGAGCAAATTTGCTTCCCAATTTCTTGCCTTTAAATTGGCTAGTCCCCTTCGCGATAACTACTTCATCTACTGAGCTTCAAGTACTCCGTACACGGTCTACGTAATTCAACCAAGCATTGTCTCACCGCCTAGCATTTAATTGCCGGTGACCGCCTTAAGTATCCGGCAGAATTGTACCGCCTCCGGGGACTCGGGCCTGGTCATCATGTCCACTCAGAACCACCCTCTTGCATCGACTCCCTTATGGTCGTCTTATATGCCAATTCAAGTTGCATTCCCGCTATATCCGCATATATTGGGCTTTGGTATTGCTATGAGTGAAGATCCTGGCGTCCAGTTCATGGGCGCCAGGTCCAAGGTGAGCAATGAAACCTCAAGATGGCGCGCGGGGCAAGTGGAAAATGGAATGACGGATTTATTGACCATGCTTGCCTTTTCTGTTTAGCCAACTCAGCGTCACATGTCAGAAGAATCTAGTGAAGGGGGGCAATCGTCCTGGCACCATCACTTTCATCCGCCGCGCCTGGAAATGTCAAGGTCTCGGCCTGCCCGATTGCCACCCATAAGAACCCCTCGAGACGGCTTTGACTATCGACGACCCGCCCAGACCAGAGCTCAGGATGACGATGTGATTGATTTGACGAACGAACCCGAGACTCCTCCACAACGAACTCAGCATCGCAACGATAACCGTCTCTCACACTCCTCGCGACTCCCGCGCTTTGGAAGGAATATCATGGCCGAGGCAGATATCGTCGATCTGGAAGACGAGCCGGACAACGCTGGAGAAGGACCTTCCAGTAGCCCAGAGGTTCAGTTTGTCCGGGCCACAGTACGCCAACAACCACCACCTCGAAGATGGGACCCTGGCAGCTTGCTCCCGACCAACTTCCCGTTAACTCGCAGTCGAAGACCAGATGAGACATCACGATGGCCATCTCTTCCAAGACTTCCGAGACCTCACAATATTACAGCTAGCCAGATAGACGCACTATTCCTCGGCTCTAGAGACTCCATTCCCAGCATGAGCTCCCCAGGAGTTTTCCTTGACTACGCCCTTTCCTCATTCTCTATGGAGCCAGCCCCAGGACGACAAGAAGAGAGACGCCGACGTGATGCCTACAAACCACCTAGCCCAGCCCCGGAAGGGTTTTCACGCACATTAGGTGAAGAAGACGTTGCAATTTGCCCTAACTGTGAGTGGGAGTTAGGAACGGGGGAGGGAAAGAAGCAGGAGATTTGGGTTGCGAAGCAGTGTGGTCACGTTCGTATCTCCCTACTTGAGCTAATTATCATATTCGCCAGCTAAAATTCTATGTTTTAGGTCTACTGCGGTGAATGTGCAGAGAACAGATCTCTCTCCAAAGCCAAAAAGGCACAAGCAGCTCCCAAAACCAAGCCTTTCTCCAAGTGCCAGGTTGAGGGCTGCGGTAAGCCAGTGAGCGCACCGACAGCCATGCTTCATCTTTACCTATGATGCCTTTCCATGACGTCCCAGTTTTTTCATTTGCATGACGGGTGGTGTTTTTTGGTTGCCTCTTCATTATTCCTTTTTCTTGTCGATACCCAACTTGCATGGAAATACGGGGCGTTGATTCTCTAACCTCTCGTTTTACTGATTGTCCTTATTTACGATCTCCGAATTATTTTCTGCATCGCCACTTGTAGTCCTTTCCTTTTGAATTCAAATCTTCCATGGGTAGTTGCAACGCGTAAGTACATAAATAAGGAACAGATGACCACATCAGATGAAAGATTACTTTGGTAGCCAAGGACTGACTTCATTTGAAAGCATATGGTAACTCGCCATTGCGATGCATAGCGTATGTGGGAGGCCCTGCACCTCCCAGGGCATAGGGAAATGGACAAAGAAATGGAGAAAGGCGAAAAAACGAAGAACCCAGTTCTAATAGTACATAATGATGCGACGGCAGAACTACAGCCACGGCCAAAATCAAACGCCAAATAAAGACTCAAAATTTATACACCACGCAGGTCACCGTGGTATGGCGACCAGATACCACGCACACTCTCGTTCAGACTCGTGACGGGCTTCTTCTGCAGCTTCAACTTCTCGCCGCTGGCATCCTTAAGAATCATGGCCTTTGCCAGGATATCAGTGGGTTCGAGGTTGCGCACACAGATTGACTTCTCACGGCCGTTAATGTAGTGGCCCTTGATGATGGGGTGCTTGGAATGTCGGGGAGAAACACGGATCTCAATCTGGGGGTTTTCGCGGGCGAAGTTGGGGAGAGTTTGGGTGAGGAAGGCGCTGGGGAGGTAGCCGGTCAGTCTCAAACTCAAAGAGGGCATATTATGGAGACTCAAGCAAGCTCTACTTACAGCATGCCCCGAGAGCTGCCGCCGTAGTTGCAGTAATGGAAGTCAAGGCGTTTGCATTGTAGGATAAAGGCGCCGACGCCGTTCTGAGGATTCACTTCGTCAGTTGCTGGCTTCAATTCTCTTCCCCTCATCCGTGACCCATTCTCAAATAACATACTCTGGCAGACGTGACCGTCTTAATTCCCTTGACCGGCATTGCTGTGTATTGCTGCGGTTTCAATTCGTTTGGTTGCCAATCTCTCCAGTCCTCTCCCCGGCATATTTTCTGGTGCACGTGAAGGCGGTGAGCCAGCGCCAACCACGGCTACAGCGTTAGCCGCGCTTACCGCCCTTGATCCAACCACTGCAGAACGCGACCACTCCTGAAGAGTTGGTCAGCTTCGTAGGCCTCATCTGATTTCCGCATCACGAGCCACGGCCGAGGAGTCAAAATGACTGACAAGCTCCCACCGCCTTTGCTGGCCCTCTTCCAGCCCCGACCGCCTCTTCGCTACATTGCCCCTACAGACCGCGCCCCAGAGGACTGCCCGAAAAGTACCATCTCTGGCGTCGCCCAATATCTCGCTGCTGCAAAGGAGTTCAAGGAAGAGTCACCATACAATGCAACTGAATGCTGGTTGCAGCGCAAATTGCGCGAGAAGGTTGAGAAGCAGGAGGCTTTGGCTTCCCAGTTGACTGATGGCATGCAGAGCTGTATGCCCGCCCCATCCATAAGGTCTTTACATCTTGACTCGTGTCGCTGACGTTTCTCTACCATAACAGTCAACCCCAAGGAAGACCCACAAGCCCGAGGTGATCCATTTAGAACACTCTTCATTGCACGACTCAGCTACGAGGTTAAAGAAGCAGACCTGGAGCGAGAGTTTGGCCGCTTTGGTCCGATTGAGCGTGTAAGACTGCCATGATCGACAAGACCTTTTTATCTTCAAGATAGCTAATCATCATCACATATAGATTCGCATTGTCAAGGACACTGTTTCGCCAAAAGCAGAGAAGAAGGCTCACCGAGGATATGCCTTCATCGTCTACGAACGTGAGAAGGACATGAAAGGTATAATCTCCAAATCTTGCACATCGCATGCGCCCATTGTGAGCTTTTCATTATGGTAAGAAAGCATTGCTAACACAGTGACCCCGATATCAGCGGCATACAAGGAAACAGATGGTATTCGCATCAAAGACCGACGAGTCCTGGTGGATGTGGAGCGTGGTCGCACAACCAAGGGCTGGAAGCCACGTCGCTTCGGCGGTGGTCTTGGTGGCCGTGGCTACACTAAGGCCATGCCCTCCCGCCCTATGGGACCAGGTTTCAATGCACCATCCGGTCCTGGTGGATTTGGTGGGGGATTCCGTGGCGGCTTCGGTGGTAGAGGTTTCCGAGGTGGAGGCTTCCGTGGTGGTGGCGATCGTTTCGGCGGCCGTGGAGGAATCGGTTACCAAGGTGGCCGCGGTGGCTTCGGAGGACAGGCACCACCAAATGCTCCATCTGGCCCCGGTGGCGGACGCGGAGGTGGTTTTGGAGGTGGTTTCGGTGGTGGAGGCAGGTTTGACCGTGGTGTGACTGGCAGCAACCGCGAGCCCGTTCGCCCTCGAGACGCATACGCAGACCGCGACCGCCGTGACGACCGTGACCGAGGCGACCGGGGAGATCGTGGAGACCGCGACGGTGGTGACCGCTACAGAGACCGAGATCGCATGTCAGACCGCAATGGAGATCGGTACCGCGATCGAGAGCGTGACCGTGAGCGCGATAGGTACAGCGGTGGTGCCCGAGAGGACTTTGGACGCAAGCGACCCCGTGAGGATGACGGTTATGATGACACTCGCTCCAGAAGACGATACTAAGCGTATCTTACATCCGTTTTTCTTTTCGTTATGGATACTACCCCCATCCCTTCTCAGTCCCGACTCAAGTGGTGGGTATCCCTGATACTGTCCGTCTCATGACCTTTTTCCATCGTCAGGGTAAGGGGGGTAAGACGGCAAGCTATGCGCAGATAACAAGGGGGTCTGAAATATCCAGCACGGACGATCGAAGTTTCTCAACACACGCTACTCCTTTATGCCATCGTTGACCACAGGGTATCCGGTTGTCGTGCAATTCCGCTCCCTGCACCAGCATGCACATAACTTGTGTGATTCCCTACGGAGTGTTCTTGTATTCCCCGTTTTTCTTCAAGTCCCCCTCTACATTTTCCTTCTTCAATGTGTTCCAGTCTTTGGAGGGTCCCTCATGTGACCCTTCTATTTTTTTCCTTGGGGGTAAGTATGTACTTTAGTCGAAGCAGTCTTTCATATTCAAAGCGACGGAAATCAAATGGGACTATGCTCAGGTAAGACCAGGTAAGGGCCATTGCAATGACATACGCGCAGGCATCTTGCTAGGTAGTTAATAAATGGAAATAATGCTGTCTATTGGGACCCAGTCTCTACGTAGGAGAAGAAGCTTTGAGCAGTAAGACTTTTTTTAATATCCAATCTGGTATCTATCATCATAGGCACATCAATCGGAAGAACCCATGCTCTTCCCAGGACAATATATGGGAGGATAAGAACTGAAATTGTTCAACATATTTGAAAAGAAATGAAAAAGAAGCGCCCACCCCAAACTCCGTAAGATGCCCTCAGAGAATCTTTTTTTGCATCGACCAGACATAAGTCGACGAACAGAGGCAAAAGAGACAGCAACACGATCCATTCATCTAAGCATCAGTGTCCATGCCACTCTGCTCCAGGATCTTGATCTCACCAGACTCCCGTGTCCATTGGGCCTTAAGATCGACCTTAAACTCGGAAGACGTCACACCGAACATCTTCAAGATGGTAGTTTGCCGGGAGTCGAGCGTCTCGCCCTTGCGGCAAATGGGGAAGCCCTCCTGGCCATTGGTCAACTCGAGCATAACCTTGCCCTTCACCAGACGAGTGGGGATGCCCAATTTGCGCATGGCAGGCTCGATAGTGTGGCTAACGGGCTCGTCTTGGTCGGCGGGGATCTCGCCACCGCGAGCAGTGACCAGGCCGTTGGGGAGAGTGAAAGAGCGGGTAGCCACGGTGCCAGCACGGGCAAAGTCAGAGGGGCGGAAGTTCTCGAAGTACTGGGTAACGGACTCGGCGGAGCGAGAGGTGAAGAGAAGACCGACGGCACCGGTCAGGTAAGGGGAGAGACGGTGCAAATTCTCGGCAGCTTCGTTTTCTGGGGTAGTGCCGAGGGCGACGGCCATGACCTTGGTCTTGCCAAAGAAAAGACTGGAATAATGATGTTAGTGGGCTAGTCTTGTACCGGGCATCGATTGAGCCGATTGATGCGGGATGCGATGAATTCCTTGGATTTGTTCTTCAATCACACTCGCCCGCCCAATTGCCAGAAAAGACATACCGGCTGTCCCCAAACTCGGCGCGGACATCCTTCAAATAGGTGTTTCGCATGTTATCCACCGAAAAGAGAAACAGGTGATCATATTCCTCGAGGCATTCCCGGATGTTGGCGTACAGACGGCGAGTCTGCTCCTTGTGGTCCTTCTTGACGGTCTTGGACTCGTGGACGACGCGCGCACGCTTAGAACGAGGCATTTTGAGCTGCTGGAGAGAAAACAAATACCAGAAAATTCAAAGGCGTATATGTTGGCGTAGCGGTCGAGCGCTAGTTGTGGCATTAGTTTTTTTCGCTGATAACCGGATCAATAGTTGTGCCGAGCTTATCCGACCCCCACTAGCCTTGATGGGGAAACCAGCTGCTCGTTGGCGCTCCAAATCCCGCTTCGACGACTCCCGGGGACTTTCGAACATCATCGGAGGCGCCGAGGAAGAACCATGCTGGATTTCATGGACTACGTCCAGCTCGCCTTTGCCGAGGCGACTAATTGGAACCAGGACAATTCCTACTCGGCGCTCACAACTACTGCGCAGTGTAAGTTGCTTCGGCGTTCAGGGATGCGCCAACGGAGTTGATCTAACGCGTTCAATACAGCGATTCTGGAATTCGAAACTCCCGAAAGATTGCGCGTTCGACTCTCATCACTTTCAACTCCCCATTTTGCAACCAGCTATACACTCGGAACGGTAGGGTTGCTCGATGGGTCCATCTCATACCTCTTTAGCACGGTTCCCTTGCACCACACCCCCAGCCGAAGCGCATTGATCCCACTTCGAAAGATCTCCCCAGGCTACCGACAAGTACAAGCTCCCGAAGCTCCTGTACTCACATGGGGTTGGGACTCTCTTCTTGACGGCGTCAGGATTCCCGGACTCAATCGCGGATTACGATCCGCGACTGCAGCTCTCAAGGATGGCAACCAAACACCAGAAGATGAGGCGAAACAAAAGGCAACACTTCTACATGCCTCGCTACATCTCCCCTCACCTACGACACTATATGCGCTGTTCTTACGCCGAATGTCCCCAACAACGCAGCTGTCGCTCGCAGTCTGTTCTACCCAGGGACCGCCAATGTCAAAGTCCGCTCCGCAGGCATCAATGCTAGCCCAACTATCCCATGACACTGGAAAGTACTGCAATGAGTACCTTTTCAGCACGGATAATGCCCTCCTTGGCTGGCGTGGGCTCTGGAACTTTGGCGCTGATCCTCGATATACTCCCGACGGCGCGCCTCCTCGTCTCTCTCTTCTGTCTGCCGGGGCAGAGGCGTATTATTCTCCAGTCTCCTCAATAGTTGGCATGTCAACTGGCCTCCGATTTAGCACGCTGCCAGCCGCAACTGAGGTACCCTCTTCATCCTCCTCGTCTTCAGCCAGCCATCCCACTCCCATATCCACCTTCCCCTACACGTTGACCGTCACTCTCACCCCCATCACCGGCTCTCTATCTACAACATACTCCCTCCGAGCCTCGCCCAATCTCTCTCTCAGTTCCCGCTTCGGCTTCAACGTATACAGCTGGGAAAGCGAGATGGTTGCCGGATGTGAACTCTGGCGGCGAGCTGCAAAATCCACATCCCCCACCGACGACGGACTTGAATGGGCCCGCCGTAAAATGCGCCTGCATGACTTTTCCGCTCCTCTCCCGGGCTCCCCGTCATCATCTCCACTCCTCTCCGACCCGGTTCAACCCGAGCCGGCTATCAAGTCGGATGCGAACAGTGAAGGTGAGGCGAGTGACTCGGTCATTAAGCTTCGCATTGACCAGTCCTGGAATGTGCGCTTACTCTGGGAGGGTCGAGTGAAGGAGTTGTTGGTGAGTGCGGGTGTCGGGCTGGGCCCGGGGTCATTCTCGCTGGCGCCGAATGTTTCTTCCGCGGCGGGGAGTGGGTCGGCGCAGAGTGGAGGCGGCGGTCCTGGTACGTCGTACTGGCGCGGGGTTGGAGTATCGGTGATGTATTCATCATGAACATGGTGATGGTTTGACCACGATAGGTATTTCTTTCTGCTGGGTGCTTCTCACAGTCCATACATGTATTTACATGTTCGGACGTGTGGTTAGCCAACTTCTACTACTACGTCCTGTACGTTTTAATATGCCGCAATACTGGACATATTGGCGGCTCCCCAATGTACATATATTCTCATGACAACATATCTCACGTTTCAAGCTGTTGAACTATTTATGTAGGGCCTGCATCCAAGGCAGCCAGTCCTGGCAGTTAAATTATTAACGGGATATCATTTTAATTCAGGGAGATCTTAGATGCGAGCGTTGATGATGTCGACGACTACATTTCAAAGTTAGTATTCAATGCCTTGCATATTATCCTTGATCAGTTTGACTTACAGGCAGGCTTCAAGCTGGCACCGCCAACGAGGAAGCCGTCAACATCGGGCTGGGTAGCGAGCTCACGGCAGTTCTTCTCGCTGACGGAGCCACCGTAGATGATGCGGACGTTGTCCTGAGTCTGGGCATCAATGGTCTTGCCGAGCCACTCGCGGATAGCGGCGTGGACCTCCTGGGCCTGCTCGGTGGTAGCGACCTTGCCGGTGCCAATGGCCCAGACAGGCTCGTAGGCGATGACGACCTTAGCCCACTGCTCCTTGGTCAACTCCTTGGCGGCGGCGTTGAGCTGGCGGGTAACGACCTCGATGGTCTTGTTGGCCTCGCGCTCCTATACGATTGCAAATAGAATCGGGTGTAAGCGGAGGTTCTTCATCTTGGACCTGTCCCGATGCCCCACACCGGGTCTCGGGAAGGAAAACGGGTAACCGAGTTGGAAATGACGTACCTCGAGGGTCTCACCAATGCAGAAGATGACGGAGAGACCACCTTCAATGGCGGCCTTGGTCTTGCGGGCAATGAACTATTGCAAACAGTCATCAGTACTACCTTCTGCGTGGTGGTGGTTTGGCGTGTAGAGCTGGTGCGTTGTTCGTTGTCCGCATGTCGCAGCCGCGGGTTGTACATACCTCGTCAGTCTCCTTCAGGATAACACGGCGCTCGCTGTGGCCAATGACAACCCAGTCAATCTTGGAGTCCTTCAGCTGCTCGACGCTGATCTCGCCGGTGAAAGCACCGTTGGGCTTGTCAAAGACGTTCTGGGCAGCAACGCCGATCTTAGGGTCGGCGAGGCTGCGGGTGAGGGTGAGGTAGAGGGCGGGGGGAGAGATGACGACCTGGGTGGTATCGTCGAGCTTGGCCGAGTTGAGGTTCTTCACGATGTTGGTGATGCTCTCAGCAACACCGTTCCTGTAATGCTGGTCAATTGTGTTGCTCTAGCGTGTCGTAGTATCTTAACTGTCGAGAGGGAGGGGCAGTCCATTCAGAAATCGCGGGGTAGTGAAGTAGACACAACGTACATCTTGAAGTTACCACCGACGAAGAATTGGCGAGGCATTGTGACGGATGTGTAGGTAATGGATAATCGGGAGATTGAAAAGGAAGGAAAGCTTGGAAAGAGAATGAATAGGGACGAGGAATGCGGGCGATTAAAAGAAATGGAGGGGCGTGTCCCGAGGATCGGCAGGTGCCTGAGTAGCCAGGCATCCACGATGACTTAAGTAGCTGACCGGTTGACCGGGATGCCAGTTCCACGAAAGGTCGACGTAGCCCTAATTGCAACTGGCTCGAGTCACGTGAAGATGTATTCAAAAGTATCTTCCGTGTGAGGGCGATGTATGTAGTCTGTCTGGTCAATCTCTAGAGGTATAAGTTAGGCCTTTACTTGGCTTGGAGCAAAGCAAAGATCATTGATATTGATAGCAAAAACAAGCAGAAAATCAGGAAGTCAGAAGATCACAACGCTATCCCAGCCTCATCATCATATCCTCATCAGTGTTCCAGTAATCCAATATGCCAGGACCTCCCACAGACATAGTACATGACTTTCTGCGGGATAATGGTCAATTAAAGCCGTAATCTGCATTACAACTCCACCGAGCAAAACAAAAATCCAGAACACGAAATTTCAAACGGAAAGGAGAGAAAAACACGTCGAGTGTCGAGTGAAGCCAAAAACTATATAAGTCAATGAGAATTGTCCATACGGCCATCATCAGGATAATCATAGCCATATTGCTGCATGGGAGGGTTCCAGAAGAATGGGCATCTCTCTAACTGCTGCCGCTGTGAATGTTGAATTGTCTGTTGTAAAAGTCTGCTTTGGTATTCAAAAGCTCGTTCCCAGCGCTCAACCTTAGCTTCACACTCCAATAGTCGACGTCGAAGCTCCTCATCGTCTATGCGCTGGATACGATACCACATGTTGATATCGGAGGGTGTAGTCTGAGCAACTTTACTGGCACCTCTAGCCCGCCGGATGGGCATGACATTGTGAAAGACATTCTTGGAGGGAAGGATATCCGTATAGTGATATCGAGGCTTGTCCCGTCGGCCAAAGTGTCTTCCTCGCGACTTCTGTCTGTATTGAGATCCATGGCTGATTGGGCTACGCTTGTTAGGGCTGCCGGACCTGTTCCGAGGGGTCACAGAATGATGCTGTGTCTCCTCACAGTCGTCGCGTTCCATGTCGTCTGGATCGGCTTCTTCGGTAGATGAGCTGTCATTTGACTCAGATGAATCCTCAACTATGGAACTGGCATCCTCAGAGTCACTCGACTCTGCTGAAAATTGTGCACCGCCAAGGTCGTCGTTGTTGAGGTCCCGGTTACTAGGGACAAGAATGAAGTTAGAACATGAATAAACTTGGCTGGTAGTGAGACAGGATTCCCATTTTTTAGGAGATCAGAGATGGAAACAAAGAAGAAGAGAGACAGAGAAAGGGAGAACTGATTGTAGAATGGGATGGCTTACTCATCAGTCGTTGTTTGTCCGTTAATTGGTCTATACTGCTGCTGCTCACTTGGGACAGGAGTAGGATGACCCAACTCAAGGCGAGTGAAAGGATTTGTCACTGATATCGGACGAGGCTGTGGCCCCTGTACGATACCAGCAGACATCGTGGCAGGATCCGACTTCAGAGTCAAATCCTTGGAGATCCGCATTGCAGTTGCCACCGTTGGGTGAATTGGTGCAGTGGCCATTTCAGGTCGCATAGGCTTAATAGGTTGCACACCGTTGTCATTCTGACGCTGAGCGAGGTCAACCAGATCTCCCATGGGAGTTCTCGGATAAGCTCTATTATTCAAAGGTCTCTTCATCAAAATGATTTCCATAGAGACAGTCTCGTAATCGGCAGGGTGGGCATTGCGAGCCTTGGAAGCCCTGTCACGCTCCTTTGCATAGACGCAGCTCCATTCCACCGAGGGATCCAGTTTCTTTTGCTCGTGAATTAACTGGTTGACATGGGCACGGCGAGTAGCAGATAGTTTCTGATATTGATGGGCTGCCGAAATTTTATTGGCTCTTTTCTGGACCATATTGTAGAAGTCGCTTTGACTGAGATGCATGCGCGTGCGCTCTACTCGGGTCCATGTCGGCTTCTGCCCTGGAATTGGGTCTGCCTTGAAGAATTGATATCCCTCGTAGTTTATAGGATCGGCAGGCAGTTCTTGGACATGGGTCAAGTTGAGGAGTATGTGAGGATCTTGGAGATGTCCAGAATTGTCGGGTTGAGAATTGCATGCTGGTTGGGAGGGTGTGGGTTCAGAGTGTGCTTGTACCTGCGCTTGCGCTTGCGGCGGGGAGATAGCCTGTTTCTCTTGTATATCGGTTGTGCTCTGATTGCCCAGGTTGCAAGTCGTCATGGTTCAAGGAGAAGAGAAGAAGCAACAGAGATGCACATAAATCTCCACGGTGTAGGAAATTGAAAATGTTAAGTGTAGTGGAGAGCAGAAAGCAGATACGTCCTTGGAGGTGAGGCGTTTTATATAGTTACAGCTATCTGAACACCATGCCATTTCCACCCGGGTTCAAAGGGCCTCGATTCCTCGGGCATTCGTCGTGACATTGAGTGGAGAGGGCAAATACGCGGCTTTATTTATTTTTATTTATTTATTTTGGGGGTTTTGCAGTCTTTCCGGGAAACTATCGACCCATGCAGGAGAAATAGTACTTTCGCGATGGGGCGCCTTCAGTCAGCCGCCTCACATCCTTGGGTACCTACACGAACACGCCAAATTCTCAACCCGGGCAAACCCTACTCTGCTTTTGAGTTTTGGGGGGTAGGGCCATTCCCAGAAATCCAGCACACCTATAGGTCATTTCACGATTTGACCTACTCCCTGTATTTAATTGCCCTAACGCCTCTTCCCATCCTCCTCGTCGGCTGATCAAACCGTGTAGCGCTTCCAAGGCTGACTAGTAGGGCTGTGACCATCCCCTACTCCCCAATCACCTTAGTACTCTTTTGTTGGCTGTAACAACCTGAGCCGATTCCGGCATGGCTGGGTAGAATATGAATGTTTGATTTCTCTTGCACAGGTGACAGGCACGAGCGAGTGCAGCCGCACAGGGTGAGTGGGTGGATTATGTACATCGAGATGCACGGGTGCTCCCATGGGGCTCAAGAATCCCCATTCACGGCCGGATCCACGATTGCGAATCTTTACGGCTTCTGATTGGGTACGTACTGCATACCATTCGCGGGGGAAACTATCAGATGTAATCCGACATCTTAACGGAGTAGAGTGTTCCATTTGTGCAAGGCTTCCCTTGATCAATGTCACACCTGCTTGAGGCTCTTGTACAAGACCACACCGACCACTTATGATGTTCTAGACCTCCTCAATCAGGGTTAAATCAATCTCCCAGATCTATATTGTTTGGTTTTCAAATTGTCTTTGTGCTCTCATCTTTGGGGAGAGCAGTATTCCATTGTGGAATATTTGTGTTCTTTGCCTTGAATGTTTCCTGAAATAGAGTACAATGACATTCATGGATTAGGAGGTTTCATGGATTGTTCTATGTTCAATATATAAGTCTTCGCTGCGCGACTATATAAACGTCTTCAATCGATACACCCGTTCAGTTCCTTAAACACTATACTAGACCATCTAGAGTATCTCACTGCACAAGGCTTGGTTTCGACCAGCTTTTCACCATGTTTGTTCCCAAATACGAAACCCCCGGGTACTGGAAAGGTGCCTTTTGTTTTGCAGCTCAAGATCTTGTTAACCCTCAGAGTGAAATAGCGCAGAGGTATCCACATCTCTATCAGGTGTTTCGAGCGCGCCTGGAATCTGCGTATGCTGATCGAAACAACCGACCGGTCTCGTTGTGCTCTCATACCACCTTCCATCAGGGGTATAAGGGTTGTCGGAGTGACGGCGACGATTTTCAGAAAAGGGAATGGCCTCCTACATTCAATCGACCCGATCCAGTCAGGGATATCACGGGCACCCGCCTGAAGCACATGTGTAGCGAGCTGAAGGATCGCATGGACGTGTATGGCTTGGCCGGCGAAGGAAGTAAGTTGGTTCCCGTCTTTCCCCTACTGGTTCAACCCCCATTTAACTCGTGATTCTTCTTTGCTAACCAATTTTTTTAGCTTTCGGCTCTGTATTTCTCGCCCGTGAGCAAGATAACGACAAGAGCAATGACCCCGAAACCCTTCAACACTATGCCGTGAAAGTTCAGAGGCACCAGACGTTGCTTGGTGCCTTGCAGGCGAATCATTGCGATCCGCCCAATGGACCGGTGCCAGACAACCAAGAGTCCCTTCGACATATCCCTGAAGAAGCGTTGATCATGCTTTTCCTATCTGAGAGTGATAGATTCCCCACCCTAGACTCGGTCTACACCCATGACCGCTTCCAGGCCATTGTCATGTCCCCGTGTATTGACTACAACTCTGAGAGGCAACCATCACCACCGGGCAATTTCTCTCGAGAATTCCCTGCATTTACAGCCCGATACTTACTAACCCAGGATCACAGACCCTTGTTCAACGCGGAAGAGGGACGCAAAGTCGCAACACAGCTTTTCCAGGCTATGAGACAGTTGGCTGATATGAACGCTTGGCACAATGACATCTCGGTCAACAACATCCTCGTGGATAAGAATCTGAATGTAAGTCGAACCCTTTTCTTCAATGTCCCCGAAAGTTATAGTGATTTTGTTTTAGTTCAATGCTAACTTACTCGTCCACCATTAGACTCAGATGATTGACCTCGGCGATATTGCTTTCGGATTAGAAGAGCGAATCTTCTTCGAGCGAAACTACATGTACGTTCCTTTCCAGGAGTACCAACTCTCCCCCGAACTGGCACAGTGTATTACCAACAGGGTTGGGATGTCCATTAATGTCGATGTGACTCATGATCTAAGACATGAAGTTATGTGGAAATTCGCTACGATGATCTATGGAATTCTTCATGGCTTCTGGCCATGGAATGAGCCCCCCAAAAATGGAAGTGCTCACCCAAATTTGCTGGACGCTCGAGTCTTCACTGATGGCCAACAGATCCTACCCCGGCGGTATCGCATTGTTAACGATCCTCTACCTATTGACGAGAATTTACCGCAGGACTGTAAGGATGTGCTGCACGCGATGTTCAGTAAGAATCCGGAGGACCGGCCCACACTCGCTGAGTTGGAGGGTTATCCTTGGTTTTCACAGTGGGCACGGGAGACTCAGTTCTATGAGAGGCCATTCTCTACTGAGTTTCGGCATTCGTTCTCGAGGCGAAACAACTAATTGACGATATGAACCTGCATCGTGTGTTGGTACTTTTCAGCCCCAGTAAGCATACTCCCAGTGTTCTGGGGCTGTAGATCCTATGACTTTTCCAGGCGGCCCAGTCACACACTGACGCACGTGATTCATTACTTTGACTATTGATTGACGAATCATAATTTCTTGTAAATATGCAAATACCTTCAGGACGTGAGATGTATAAAAAGGTAATCGGATTGGAGCGGATGTACGGACCCCACAACCAATCAGGATGCGATACCATAAGATAGGCAGCAATCATAACATGTTGCAGGTTGAGATAATAATAGAACGCTAAGAACACCAAAAGAGATCGTCAGATAGAATGAGGCTCAAGTCAAGTGCCCGCCCTCATGCTGAATACGGTAAGTGCTCATGCGCAACGATACAAAGGGGTAAAACAAGGGGGCATCTCCGTCATCGTCTGAGGCTATCCAGACGGGCTTGAAGGTCATCATCACCACCATCACCTGGCCCGCCACCGCCGCCGCCGCCGATAGCCTGAGCAACCCGAGTTCCACCTGTAGATTCTTTGTGTATCTCGCCCGACGGTGTCTCACCCAGCTGTTTTTAAATCGGTTAGCAATTGGTACGAGAGCAAGGCCGCGAGTAGAAGAACGAACCGCCTGGGTCAAGTCGACACCAATCTCATCAAGGACTTCCTTGACAATATCCTCGCCTTCCGCTTCGTCGTCCTCCATGCCGGTTGCCTCATCAATCGCGTCATCCATCATCTCCTGTCGTTCATCCATGATTTCGTTCTCGCGTTCGAATTCCATCGTGATGCGCTGTAGGGCCGGGAGGTTCATTTGCCTGTTCATGCTGCCTAACAGCATCGTTGCGCCCTTCATCGACTGCATCATCTGCTCATTACTCCGAACAGTCTGCAGTGTAACAACGATGAGCCTCTCGAGTATGTCATTTCATGGAGCGGGTTTTCTCGTACCTGGATGCGAAGCGAGATGGCCTGTAATTGTGTGCGCATTTGATAGAATTTCTGGATATACCTGAAAGGATGGAGACAGTCCGTCAGTTTAGTCTGCGACAAATCGAGGCGAACGGGGACCTGTAGCCCACGAACCGTCTCGTCCGGACCAAGTCCTTGGCCTGGATCTTGCAAGCGCCAATCTGGCCATTCTTGGCGCTCTTCTTAATATCCTGTACCAGTTTCTTTTCCTGGTTCTCCAACTTTGTGCGCTCGCGGTCTAGCTCACGCTGTGTTCGATCGAGGGCCCGTTGGTGCTTGCGCAGACGCTCCGCTGGCGTCATGCGCTTGCCAAATGCCCATTCGACAATCTGCGACTCGAATTAGTATTTGAATAAATGCGAGATGTTGCACAGAAAAGCTCACATTCATGGTGGGCGTGAGGAACAAGGAGGAGATCTGGAGAGAGCAGTTGGGTCGTGCCTATTGACCAGACAGGCAGTGACATCAAGCGGGACAGCGGCACCGATTAGGTAAGATAACGGTTACTTACTGCCGCCTTGCAACTTTACCGCCCAGTCACATGCCAACCCTAAACCTGTTTAGGCTTTAGTCCCTGGCCTGCACGTCACCCTCCAAGCAAAACTGCCCACCGACATACAACTTTTGTCGATGGCCCTGCAACTCACTTTTCGCCCGTCATGAGTCAGGAATACTTCCCAGGCGAAGGCTCCTCGAGAGCCGGTTCATCTCGCTTCGCCGGCGAGGCTGAAGAACGGAGTCCTTTCACTCCCCAACCCCCACCGGCTTACATGACAGTCGGCAACGGTTCAACCTCGGCGAGTGCTACGGCGCTCATGACGTCTCTCAACAACGATTCAGGCTACGGTGGTAGTATTGCTGGTGAGAGTGCTGCTGATATTGATGGAAGCGCTGCTTGGCGCGCTGGGCTGTTGGAAGACAGACCGACACCCATTCACACTCCGACGCGCGCCGGCGAGTGGAATCCTGCTGGTGAGTGGACTGGAATGGGTTGCTACAAAAATCTCCGGGAATAGTTTGGGCTGACGCGACGCCTTTTCTTGGTATAGCTGAGCATGAGAAACAAGTCGTTGCAAACCACGTTCACCAACTTCTATAGTATGTCGATTCCTTTTTTTTTTCCGGAGTTCAACAAATCGGTACACTAACAAATCTTGCTCTTTTAGCAACTCTAATCGGACTAAGCTTGGTCGCGCAATTTCTCGGACCATCGAAACGTTGAAGGAGCTCCAGGATATGAACCGCCAATGGCCTGCCCATTACCCATCCGTGCAGAATACTCCTCAGTCGCCCTCGGACCGGCCGCAACTTACGCACGCAAACTCGGGATTTGGCCAGGATGATAACAGACCAACTACTCCGCCTCGACCGGAACTAAGACGCGCAGCTACTATGGCCGGTGGGGACGACCTAGGAGAATCTAGCGCGGCGGCTGAACGGCGCGTGCCCGCTGGGCCTCGATTGATGACCCCGCAAATCGCCCAGGAGTTCTCGATTTTGAAACTAGATCTAAAGTTGGGCGCGTTGTCTCAGGCAGAACTGGTACACTCCTTGGAGAAGGCTTCGATTGCGTCATTACTCGATGGAAAGATCAGTCAAAGCATTAAGCACCTTTTGTCCCTGCGAGATCGGATCGAGGACACATCGAGTAAGGTTCTGGTGACGGGAGATCTGAACGCCGGGAAATCGACATTCTGTAACGCGCTTTTGCGACGAAAGGTCTTGCCGGAGGATCAGCAACCTTGCACCAGTATCTTCTGCGAAGTTTTGGATGCTCGTGAGAATGGCGGGATCGAGGAAGTGCACGCTGTTCACAAGGATGTCCAATACAACCGCAACGACGAGAGTACCTACGACGTTTTCCCCTTGGCAGAACTCGAAAACATCGTCATTGACAACTCCAAGTACATGCAGTGCAAGGTTTATGTGAAGGATGTACGATCTATCGACGAGTCTCTGCTCAACAACGGTGTTGTGGACATTGCTTTAATCGACGCACCTGGCTTGAATTCAGACTCTCTCAAAACGACTGCCGTTTTCGCTCGGCAGGAAGAAATTGACGTCGTTGTTTTCGTGGTGTCTGCGGCTAACCACTTCACACTCTCCGCAAAGGAGTTCATTCTGAATGCTGCTCACGAAAAGGCCTACATCTTCATGGTTGTGAACGGCTTCGATCAAATTCGCGACAAGCAGCGGTGTGAGCGCATGATTCTTGACCAAGTGGGCAAACTCAGCCCTCGAACCTACAAGGAGGCCGCTGAGTTGGTCCACTTTGTTTCGAGTAATGCTATCCCTGTTGCTCCTCCAGGGGCTCTTTCAGGCTCAGGCAGTGGCGGTGGTGGTGACGGCGGTGATCCTCACGATGACGATGACGACTCCCAGGATAAGGGCAAGGGCAAGGGCAAGGAAAAGGAAAAGATCCAAGACTTTGAGAATCTGGAAGGCGCTCTCCGGCGCTTTGTCCTTGAAAAGCGGTCACGATCCAAGCTTGCCCCGGCTCGCACCTACTTGCTCAATCTCTTAGCCGATCTCAACTCTCTAGCCTCTGTAAACCGGGACGTGGCTCAGTCAGAGCTTAAGCGAGTTACGAATGAGCTGGCAGAGCTTGAGCCTGCTTATGAGAATGGCAAGAAGCAGAAGACTGAGCTGGCTGAGGGTGTCAACAAGGCCATTGATGACTCCTGCGACGACGTTTACAACCACACACGGACTACTTTGACAGAAACTATCTCTCGAGTTTCCGAGGCTGACCTCGGGGTTGAATATCCCGGCATCTTTGCGGCATTCCAGTATGCAGAGGACTTAAAACACGCTATGCTTGACCAAATCTCACAAGCTGTCAATGGTTGTGAGGATTATGCTCGTGAAAGAACCGTCCAGGGAGTTGGTTTCATTCAAAACATTGGTCTGTTGCATGTTGGCGAGGACAAATTCTCTCCTCTTAACTTCCGCGCCGATCTGATGTTCCGTCGTGGCCGTCGTCATACCTTGGCTCGGCAGGTTGATACTGAGGTGGAACTCTGGGATTTCTTCGACGTTGCTAGTCTTTGGGAGCGCCAAGAGAAGATGGCTGGAACTGGCGTTGCAATGACCGCAGTCACGGTTCTTGGTAGCCGAGCCTTTGGTGGCTTCAGCTGGGTGGACAGTGCCCTCAGCACCGTCAAGGTAATTGGGCCGAACAATTTACGCCGACTGTTCTTTCCGGGTATTCTTGCTGCTGGTAAGTGTTTCCGTTCTCATATATCAAAAAGGCATGATTGCTAACTTTTCGAAAGCCGTCCTGGCTACTGCTTACGTGCTATCTACTATCCCGACAACTCTGCCTCCTCGTCTCTCCAAGAAGATTGCAGCAACCCTTGCTGAGATGGATTACGTCCACTCTAATGCCAACCGTATCTCGACCGAGGTCCGACGCATCCTTCGTCTGCCTGCAAACAATTTGCAAACAAGCCTAGCTCAGGACCTTGAGGACCTTGCTCGGCGCAAGCAGGAGGTTGGCAAAGTCAAGCAAGAAAGCGAGATTGCCACCAAGTACTTTGCCAATCTCTTCCGTGAGAGTGGAGAAAACCGCCACTCTGTGGAAGACCTCGATCTCGAGGGCCCCTTGCCCGGTGCCATGGGTGCCTTTGACCCATAAGTGCCGTCCATGTACTAACAGCCATGGCTCTCCTTACTCTTCGTTCTTTTCTCTTTTTGCGGCTCTCATCATTATCATCACTATCATCCCGCGCATGTACATTTCCCACCTCCGATATCCCTTCTCCTGTGTATGGTTTTCTTTTTCTGGGCGTCACAACTGTTCTTTTTATAAAAGGCACAGTGTAGCTCCTGTCCCCTTCGTTTTGTGGCGTGTTCTGGCGTGCATCGGAGGTTGTCCCCAATTTAGCCTTGATTCCCACCCAAATTCGACATTGTGATCTTGATTCTATATTTCCATGATCTACCCGCCCTTGGCTAGCTATTAGATTGTATTCCATTCAGCTAGAATGAGCAACAAAATAAGAAAGCGATCTCCACATTATCTACTCAAGTTGAAGTCCAAAATGTACTATGATATTTTGGAGACTTGAATTCAGAGGGACGAAATAAGGCTAACAATTGGGGGCATTCACCTGCCCATGCAATCCTGTAAACCCGCGCATGGGCCTGTGGAAGCTGCATCCATTGAAACTGTCTGGTATCTCCATTGAGTATACTCTGCTACACCACACCCGTCCACATACCTTGATTTCTTCAGATATCAATCTGCAGTTTCCTTTCTACCGCAAGCCAACGATGAACTTCTTGCTCCTTTTAGCAATTTTAGGGCTTCAAATGGCCACCCAGCAAGCCTGATCAAGGCATAGGTGATATGAGTGGCCCTCTGCCGCCGAAATTCTCCAAGAAATCGTCTCAATCTACATTCATGGGAGAGGCAGATATCGTGGAAATTGTGCCGGGATCCTCGATTACCAAGCACTGGGTTTTTTTTGGTCGAGCGCCAGCGAAGCCAGATTCCCTGACGATTTCTCCTCCGGGCATCCCAATACCCTCCGGCTAACTGCTTCCAGGGCCAATCTCACTGGAGACGCATCGTTTAGAGCTCTTGATTGTTTGACTCTACTAGCACGCCGGCAGACCAAAACTCTCTTTGAATTCTCCGCGGATGTGCATCCTGGCTCTACCAAGCTCAAGGAGACGAGATTGGCATAACTGCCTTTCTGCATCGAGATCATCATATCGACCTAGGATCTGGCTTCTTGGGAGGATCATCAAAATCCAAAGGTCCCTTGAGCTTCAGAGGCGAGCCACCGACTCGGATACGGCCAATTCCACCCTCCGATCTCTAGTGGTGACGCCTGGTCCCTCGTCGTGCGGATCAGAAACCATTCGTCTCTTTATTCGGGTGGAGAATAGTATTCACTGCCAAATATCGACAGCGCCAGCTACTCGACCTCACGAGTCCAGAATATTAGCGGTATTCAGTGGGGCACTCATCAGTGGTCATGATGTTTTCACTGGTAATTTGCTGGGTGTTTATGCTTCTACCAATGGTGGGAACCATACTCTGGAAGGGCACGTGAGTCGATGGAGATACACCCCCATCGCTCAGCAGATTAACTATAATGAATTCATTATAAGCCCGGGGTTTTGAGGGATTAGATCTCGTGTATCTGAGATAGCTAGAACCAGCCTTTTTCAATGCAGTCGACTTATTATCAATAATGATACGAGTAGTTAACGTAATTCCCGCATGACCGGGTCACCCGGTTGAGCGGGTCACCTACCCCCATTAGCAAATTTGAGAATTGATTATCTCAACCAACACCCATTAATTCAACTAAATATAGCGATTTTTACATACATTAATCCTGTGGCCAATCTCCCTGCAACCGCTACACCTAGGCGGAGCCCTAGTTGCCGGCCTATCCGCCTGACTAGGTAGTTCGCCCTGCGTATGCGATTCTACTCTAGGTGCTTCTTCTGGCAAATCTAGCTGCGTAGCTAGCTGAAGGCCCTCTTCGACGGTTAAACCCTCTTCATAGGGTATCTTCCTATTCGACCGATTCCGTTTCTTGACGATCCTCTCGTTCGCCATACGTAGATTCGCGTTCTCCTGCGCAAGTAATGCGGTGTTATGTAGCGCTTCGCTGTGGCCCTTGATAATCCGATCTAATATAGTTTTTGATAGGCTCGGAGGGCTATTTGACCGCTGCTTTAATAGATCTTTAAGTATCGAAGCTTGCTTATAGAGCCGAATAACGGTTCGAGGCGTTTCTGGTGCGAATTAGCTAGATCTGCTGCTTGGCCGGCTGCTTGGTGGTGTAGGTGTTCGTAGAGAGATATTAAGCTTCGAAAGCACTCTTTCTACATCGACTGGTACTAGGCCACTAGCTGCGAAGCTATTCTGAATGATAGATGGCTTTTAGAAGGCTTCTAGCCGCGCGTGTTGGTAGTTTTCTAAGAAATCGCACTTATCGATATGGTTATATCCCGTGCGCGCAAGATCGCTAACGAATCGGCCGTACGCCCTCTTAATTACCGCAAAGCAGCCAACATCTAGTAGTTGTAATAGATGCGATGAATACGCAGGCATACAAAGGGGTATAATATCGTTTTCTGCGCAGATTCGGTCGAATTGGGGTGTAAGGTGGCTACCATGGCCATCAAGGATCAGCAAGCGAAATCTACCTCGTACGCGCGAATTTGTTGATGGGATAAAGAGCTTTTATAACCAGCGTAGGCCAATCTCATCGGTAGTCCAACCGTTATCGGAGACTTCAAATCGCCAATCTTTCGGTAGATTATCAAACCAGCTAGATTGGTAAACCTTGCCCTTAAAGATAACGCATAGCGGTAACGAATAGCCATCTGCGCAGATTGATTCAATCGCAGTAACCCATTCGCGATTTCCTGGCTGTAGGAGACGTCTCCGACCGTAGAATTCAGCTCGCGTAACCACCTTCTGCGAGGATATAAGGCCCATTGCAAAGCCTATCTCATCAAAGTTATAGATATCCTCCGCTTATATCCCGTTCTCGTCAATCACGCTTTGTACGGTCGCAAACCAGGCTCGTAAGGCTTTTGGGTCTTCGTTTAATGCGCGTTGATAGTCGTATCGTACTGAGTAGCGTGTTCGAAGCTCATCGCGACGTTCAACAAATTTTGATGGCCAGTTCTTACCAACGGTAGGCGGAGGTTGGCTACCGCGTGCAGCTAGTAGGATATTAGCCATCTCTCCTATAGTAGCCGGCCTAGGCGCTGCTCCACATATATCCATAGAGATAATCCAATAGACAAGCGAATCCTCTTCTAATTCAGTCAATTTAAAGCGATTTAGGCGCTTATCAACGCGTGCAATTCGGCCATCGGCGCGTGCTTGCAGTGTAGAGAAGGGTATTTCGTATAGCTTTGCCGCCGCGCGAAGAGAATTAATACGGCCATTTTCTAAATCAGAAAGGGCTAATAGGATCTTGCCCTCTTGACAAGCTAATTTCTGCGAGGTTTCAGAGCGAATTGGTGGCATGGTAGGTAGTTAAAGTTAGTAGGTAGGCAGGAAGACGCGATTTTCGATGGGGTGACCCGCTCAACCGGGTGACCCGGTCATACGGGAATTACGTTAGCTGAACCGAAATAGCAGCCAGTAGTAAATGCAAAGATGTCTGCAATATGCATGTCTCTTAGCCAATCCATAAATTCCGACCCATATGCATCCTTGTAAGCAAACTCCGCTTCGAATGAATCATAACACAAGGACGCCTTTCCCAATGCAAATTCTAAATCAGTCGTAAATCTATCGCTAGACTCAAGGCGTTCGATCACTGCTCGTCGGGTTTTGGGACTTGTTTCCGGGTCCTCCTGCCATGGCCCCACCCAACATCCTCTAATTCACGAACCTCGCCAAGAAGCATCTCAGAATCAGCATTCTTGGGATTGTCAGCTAGTTTGCCAGCGTTTCGCAGAAACTCTGCCCGCATAGCCATAGCGTCAGGATCTTCATAGTCCAGCTGCGTCATTTGAGGCTCCTGGTTCTCTTCGTCTTCATTGTCGATCTGCGCAGGCAGTGGGTCTGCCAAAAAGTCGAATTTGGCACCGCTGAACATTGATGATAGACTTTGTTCGTTGCGACTGTTCGTGCGGGAGAATGAGTTCTCTCGTGTGGGTTCTGCACTTTCAACTGCCGAGCCAAGGCCATCGTCGTTAAGGGTATCAATAGAGCTTGCTCGCGACGGGGCACGCGTGAGCTCGGTCGTTCGATTTGAGGAATGCGATGGCGCACGGCCGAGAAGGGGCTTTCGTTTCCGACGTTGTGGGTAGCTGCTAGCGTCCGTGGTCATGCTTTCCGATTGCCGCCGTGATTTGGCAGCTTGGGCCTGCTGGAGGAGGCCCTTCAGTGCAGAGTCAAGAGCGGATGGAGCAGCTGATATCGGTTCTTTGGCAGGTCCATCGGCAGAAACTGCGTCAGTGTTTCTGTCTGGTGATGGAGAGCGTGATTCAGCTACACTTGCTTGTGGTGGGTCGGTAGGCTCTTCGTCGGCAAAGCCGTCGCCAACTATAGGCATCACCCGGGCCTTATCAACTTTTTCCATTGGCACAGCTTTTGTCTTGTGTGCAGTGACAGGCTCCTTTGGTGATTTGGAGGATACCTCTCGGGCCCTCTCGACAGGTGGATGCATTTGCTTTCCATTAACGGAGGTACCACTGAGCGTCTCCCTGCTGCTCTTGCTTTGCGACACGGGTCTCCGGACAATGTACGGCTCAAATGCCTTCTTCTGACCCGTCTGCACAGAAATCCAAAACCAGTCGGCAGATACAGCCGGAACTCCCCATTCGCTCGTATGTCGAAGCTTGTCATGACTCGCCGTTTGGGGATCGTTGCAAATAAGGACGGAGGCTTTGGGAGTCAAATATTCGTCGTATGATGCTCCCATCAAGTCGACCAGCTTAGAAAGATGTAGAAGATCGATGCGGGCAAATCCAGTAGAACATATCCGCATTCCTGAAAATCCCGGGATGGGAAACTTCGGAAAGGGTGTGCTTGCAACGTGGGATTCCGGGGGAACCAAGGTTCGGGCATCTAGACACCTTTCTAGCCACATGTCGGTGACAATCTCGCATTCGAACGCCATGTCATCCGTTGACGGAATATCTGACCTAGGAGTCTTATATGGTACCATGACATACAGTCCCTGTCCTGTTTTTGGTATGCTAGGGCTGGAAAACTCGGTGAAGGAATCGACACAATGAGCCGCATTGAATTCAAGATGGTGTCGAAGAACGCTTTTCTTGGGGAAAATCAGTCGTTGTCGACGAAGTTTTAACCATTGGAGCTTACCTGCTTAGAAGTGAAGCCATGGATGTAGAAGTAACACCCATCAAGAAATCCTTCGGGGACTTTAGGAAGGACATCGGGTGCCAGTCGGGGGTCCATGGTTTCACTGAACGTTGTCTCGCTCGTGAATGATTTGGCTGCTTGGATAAACGGCTTTGGCCTTTCGGTGTCAGATCTCTCGGATGGACCATTCCTGGATTCAGCCACCTCGTTGGCAAAACCCGCGCCAATAATATCTCCCCAGATGTTTTCATTTTGTCCGATAAGTTTGGTGCTCGCCGTTCTGCGTAGCTTCTTCCTCGGTCTTGGATTGGATGAGCTATCCTTGGCAGCTGGCCTGCCTTTTCCAAGCAGCATTTTTGCACTCATCGGTATTGTTCGATCCCATGCTCCCACGCCTTGCTCTTCGGGTGGCAGGGTAGGGTGATATTTGTCTTCGTCCAAGATCATCCCGCGTTCAAGGCAATCATGAAACCACTTTACCGTGACAACCTTGATATCCCATTGCGTAGCAAACTTGTATTTCTCGCCCTCTGTGTTGCGAGAAACGAGATGGGTGACGCTTTTGGTCAGGTCTTTCCGAAATTCGGCACCATTCTCCACGGTCATGTCATGCATTTGGGTTCGAAAGGCCACTAGGCATGAGTCAGTCCAGTCTGGGCAGTGAGAGCATGGAGTTAGCTAACTCACTATCGGCAAATCCCGTGATACATATCGTGAGACCAAAGAAGGTAGGAAGCTCGTATTGTTTCACCAATGCCTGTATGTCCGTGTCCCCGCCCTGCATCCACGATTGTCGAACAGCCTCGATCCATTCTGGTCTCAGGACTGTCACGTCGTTCCGTTCACGGGCGACGAATTTGTATTTCGGGGAATCCGTCGCGCCGACAAGAAGGTGCGTTACATCTGCCGTGAGGTCGGGTCGTTCAATTGCGCCCATCTCCTTCGCCACATTGCTGAGCTGAGTCTATTGGTGAAGATGAACGCGTCAGTCTAGCGCCCGTTGAGGTCTCAAAGTTATGATATTCATACTCTTTGCTCCAAAGGGACCGAGGTGAAGCAAATGATTGCGCCCATGAGCGGGTGCTCCTTGTCTATAGTCCAAGGTATTAGCATGACGATGGCGAAAGGCGCTTCGTTCAACTCACCCGAGGCCTCGGTCTCAGCCATCCTTCATGGTCGGCAGTTGCACGACGTGATTCCCACTGCAATTACTGGCAAAACTCACTTGCGTCGGTCAAAGCGAGGACAATTGAGAACCTGAAGGCAAGTCCGATCCCGCGCGTCGCGATAATCTTAAAGTCACGTGGGGCAACCCTGGGCGAGTGTGGGGCCGCGACGCAGGGAAGTATAAAACAGCGCTGAGGATTGTCACTAGTACTTACTTTCATCAGGCAAACTTATATCAGTAGGGCTCCGTGAAGTAGACATGATATGATATTGGCTCTTTAAACCAATTTGTATCTATATATTAGATTTCAATATTTCTGGAGATTTCTTTTCATTGACACATCTGTCATCCCATAGCAAACGCCCAAAATATATATCCGTAACCTTAGCCCTGCTCCACAGAACACTAACATACCCCACTGGAGTGATTTGGGCTAGGAAAAACTGTACTGTATGATGAATGTCTAATTAGCAGGGGCCTAGAATGCCAGTCCACTAAAATCTTTCGTAAATATCGAGTGACCACGCTCGAAAGTGGAGAACAGGATGAGACTCATGATATAGATATCTATTGCAGCCCTCAGTGAACCGAAATATCACCTTGTGTTGTGTGAAAATGAATGCAAATAAGAATGATTCGCTACACGTCCGATAAATTACTATTGCAGATTCAGTTACGATCTTCTTTTTGTGTAGATGACCTTGTACCTCGACCGATGATCCCGCAATGAGACGTGGATGCCTTAGGCAACTAAAGATAGTCTGGTGCGCGTCTCTGTTTTACGCGTCACAAAGAAACCCATCAACGCCGCAAATTGGCAATCAGCGTCAATCTCTTTCCCCACCTCGCCCCGGGTTTCTTGTTGTTTATGCACGCTGCCAGGGCCAGCTCTCGCGGTACAGGAATTACCCGACTGCTCTCCTTGAACTGTTCCTCGAGACCGTCGAATACTTCCACCTATTCGTCCGCACCATCACGGTCAATCACCGAGGAAACCGCGATGTTTAAAAAAGCCGTTAATGATCATACTGGAGGGACATCAAAACCCCTTCAGTCCAATTTTCTCCGCGCAAATACCGTCATTCCCTCCAAGCCCGCCCAGCCGCACTCTGTCGGCGTTAAACGAAAAATCGATTTGACGAATGGCGGGGAATCCACGCTGGGCTCCCTCCACAGTTCGGTCTACTTTGACGAGAACGACTTCGACGACGATTTGGATCTCGATATTGATGAACCCATCGCCCTGAATATCCCGAGTACAACGAGCGCCACCTATGCGCAGAAGCCTGACCCCGTCACTTATCCGACCATCGACCTCACATTACCAGATTCCCCCGAATTATCGTCCGCGCGGGCAAATAAACCGCAATCGGACATTACATATCCGGATCTACCACCTGCGTCTCAAGAACAGGCTGCACCTCCGAGCAGCGTGCAGTACCCGTGGTCTTCCTCCCCTCCCTCCCACTTTCAGCCGCCGCCTAAGCCACGTACCCTCCCGTGGGTGAAGGAGGCTAAAGAGGATTCTGTCCAAGAAAAGAAAAGCAACCTTGTCACCCCAAAGCGATCGAAACCTGCGGAGCCTTGGAACAAGAGTGCGAGCGCCATCAAGGAAGAACAAAAGGAGCTGAGACGAGAGTACAAGAAAAGCCAAAAAGCAGACGGCGCACCGAAGCAAAGGGATAATGGCAAGGTGGCCAGAGTTTTCCTCAGTGATGAGCAACTACACGTCGTGGAAGCTGTCGTCGACCATGGGAAGAGTATCTTCTTTACCGGTTCTGCAGGTACCGGAAAGTCTGTCCTCATGAGAGAGATCATTAAAAAGCTGCGGGAAAAGTTCAAACGAGAACCAGATCGAGTTGCAGTCACAGCGTCGACCGGGTTGGCCGCCTGTAACATTGAAGGCGTTACTCTCCACAGTTTTGCCGGTATTGGATTGGGCAAAGAGGCTGTACCTGAATTGGTCAAGAAGGTGAGCACTCTCAACCTGTATATACGAGAGTACGCCAGCGCTGACATTTGGGTAGATCAAAAAAAACCAGAAAGCTCGGAACCGATGGCTCCGCACTAAGGTTCTGATTATCGACGAAGTATCGATGGTTGACGGCGATCTGTTTGACAAACTTGAGGAGATTGCTCGACGAATTCGGAACAATGGTCGTGCATTTGGAGGCATTCAGCTCGTTGTTACCGGTGACTTTTTCCAATTACCCCCTGTACCAGAAGGCCATGGTCGGGAGGCAAGATTTGCCTTTGCAGCAGCTACTTGGAATACCGTGATTCAACATACTATTCTCTTAACACATGTATTCCGACAAAAGGATCCCGAGTTTGCCTCTATGCTTAACGAAATGCGTCTGGGCAAGATCAGCCCCAAGACAATTGATGCCTTCCGGAAGCTCTCTCGGCCCCTTGATTTCCACGACGCCCTCGAGGCGACCGAATTGTATGATATTCCCCTCTTGACAGTTGTCTTGGGATTTACTGACATGTTATTAGGTTCCCAACTCGTGCAGAAGTTGAGAATGCCAATTCCCAACGAATGAGTCGACTCTCTGGCGAGGTGATGACGTTCAATGCTGTTGATTCAGGAACGATCCAAGACCCCCAGCACCGGGAGAAGCTACTATCTAACTGCATGGCGCCAATGACCATTCATCTCAAGAAAGGCGCGCAGGTGATGCTCATCAAGAACATGGAAGACACCCTCGTCAATGGCTCTATCGGAAGAGTTGTGGCTTTTATGGATGAGACAACCTTCGACTGTTACAAGGACAATGAAGGCGTCTTTGTTGCCGGGGGTAGTGACAACGAGGAGGATGCGGCCCTACGTGCCCGAAAGAAACTCAAGCCCCTGGCCCACAAAGAAGGTGGAGTCACAGTGACACGAAAATGGCCCCTGGTCAGCTTCGTTCAGCCTGATGGGACTGAGAGGCATCTACTTTGTCAGCCAGAAGCCTGGAAGATAGAACTTCCTAATGGTGAAGTCCAAGCCCAGCGCCAGCAGGTGCCTTTGATTTTAGCCTGGGCATTGTCAATCCACAAGGCTCAGGGTCAGACTCTCCATCGGGTGAAGGTTGATCTGGGCCGAGTCTTTGAGAAAGGTCAGGCCTACGTGGCTCTGAGTCGTGCTACTTCCCAGGCTGGCTTACAGGTCATGCGATTTGAGCCACGCAAGGTTATGGTACATCCCAAGGTGACAGAGTTCTACTCCAACTTGGTATCCATCACCCAGGTCATTCAAGGCAAGCAGACAAGGTCAGATGGCTTTGAAGAATGAGCTATGATGTGATCTAGGTGTGATGGAACTATGCAGGGGTGATTTTGTCCAGAACGGTTTGTGGTTGTGGTATTCATATATCATTTAAACATAGAGATATCCCATGATTATGAACTATTGACAGGCGGCAACAACTTGTCGCTGAAATCAACTTTCTTCCGTAGTCCCCGTGGACCAATAGCAATCAGCATGCTTAAGTGGCGACGCGTCTTGCCTCGTTTGCTCCCGGAGTTTTTGAACGCGCTTTCCCCCCACACTCCTCTTATCGATAAACAACCCACGTGACCTGACACAGGCATCGGCCTTGAGAAGTTGAGAAGTTACGATTAACGTCTCGTCCGAGCTTTCTTCTCGTCTGAAGCACAACAACTTTGTCTCTCGGCCAACTCTGACATCATTCCTATTCAATCACAATCGCTCGACTTAGCTGTCCCTGGGGCTCTTCAGCGACTCCCGGTGACCATGGCCTCCGAGTTCATAGGCTACAATGTACTCGTGACCCTGCAAGTGCCGCCAGGTGGGAAGCTTCAAGGGCAGGTTGCCAACGTGATTGGGCAGACTCTACTGCTTAAAAATGGTATGATACCGTATATTTCGCCAGTTCTTCTGCAATTGTGTTCTAATTCACTTTGACAATAGTCACACTCCTGTGGAATGGCCAGCGCCATGCTCAATACTCAATCGATGCCTCTGCCATTACTGATCTGTCACTCGAGTCGACTAAACCAGCTCCGCAGCAGCAGCAGCAGCAGCAGCACCAGCACCTTTCACAGAGACCTCAAGTGGCTGCACCTGCTTCACAGGGAGCCCCTCCGCAGCCCTTTGCCGACCCCGCCATCCTGAGCTTCTCCAAGCCCCCTTCCCAGCTCCCCGCACAGACTCAGTTCATGAAGCCGAATGTTGCACAGGGTCCAGTCTCTGTTAGCGCAGCCTTGACCGAACCATTTAGCAACTTGGAGCTCAATACGGGAGTTGCGCAAGCTGGAGGTCATGGAGCCTTGCATGCAAGGGAGCCTCAGGTTGCACAGAGCGTGACGACGCCCACTAAACAGACACAGAAGCGAAGCCGGCGCGGAAATGACGAGGGATTCATCAAGCATGGCACTGCGGCAAGCACAAACCCCAAGAGCAAAGGCTGGCGCCAAACTGCATTTGTGGAACCTGCCTCTTCAGCCAACCATGGATCACCCGAACATGGAGTCCAGCCAGGCGCAAAGCTCCGCAAGAAGAAGTCGCGCCGTGCTTACGCCGAAGACCCTAGTGGGTGGGCTACGGAGGATGCAACCGATATCCAAGAACTCGGGGAATTCGATTTCCAAAGCAACCTGTCCAAGTTCGACAAGCGACGTGTGTTTGAGGAGATCCGCAATGATGATACCACGGCCGACGAGGCTCGCCTGGTCAGCTTCAACCGTCGGCCAAAGCCCGGCACGAACGGTGGAAAAAACCTCCACTGGACGGAGAACGTGCTCGATAGCCCTCCGAACAGCGACACTGGCGACGATGTCGACGTGATTAGTGATGCCAGACTCAGTAGCGAGAATATTTCAGGACGTGATCGGTCAAGAGCTTCTGGGCGCATCCAAACCTCTCGCAAGAGTAGTACGGTCATGGCACAGCCAATGGTGCCTCAAATCAGTGCGCTCAGCCGCAGCCAGATTAACACCTCCCGAGCTGCGAGCCCTCGGCCAAGCCGATCTTCGGGGTCGCCTATGGTTGGGGTCAACCCCGCTGGTGCAACGCTGCGACTGACGACGACTAACCGCAGCTGTCCTACTGTGAGCCCACTGCAGACACTCGAAGTGGAGCAAATTGCCGTGACGGAATTCGGTTTGTCGGAGGACATCCTCACCGAAAATGCCGGACGAGGCATCGCAGAAGCCGCAGTTACTCTGCTCTCCAATGATACAGCTGCTCCTACCATTCTGATCATAACTGGTAACCACCGGACCGGAGCAAGAGCGATCTCTGCCGCCCGCCATCTCCGTAGCCGCGGACATCGTGTCACCGTATGCCTGCTCGGGCTGGAGCACGAAGAGGAGTTGCTCGAGAATTGCCGCAAGCAGCTGGATATTTTCAGGAAGATTGGCGGAAGAGTGCTCAAATGGGAGGACCTTGCAGCGCGTCTCGCTACCGCCGACTTGGCTCCTGACTTGGTGATTGATGCCCTGTTTGGCATGCACCTTGCCTTCGACGACCTGCGCACTGATGACCAGGGCGTTGCGTTTGAGATGATTGCATGGGTAAACCGTAGCAATGTCGAAATTCTCTCCGTCGATGTTCCTTCCGGGATGTCGGCTTCCAGCGGTACGTATCATCCTCATGTGACTTGCCATATTCTGACGCGACTAATAACTGGACTTAGGTGAGGTCACCATGGCTGATGGCGGTCGTCTGTGCGTCAACAGCTCATCTGTGGTATGCCTCGGGGCCCCGAAGACCGGAATCCTCAATGCTTTACTCATCGGCGAAGGAGATTCCTGGAATCTTACCGTGGCCGACATTGGTATCCCGCAGATCGTGTGGCGCAAGTACGGCACTCGTCGCCGTCACGGTATCGACTTTGGCAACAGATGGGTGGTACCGCTACGGCTGCAGACGCTGGCCGCATAAGTATCTCGACGGATCTAGATTTATCGGCATCGATCTCGGACCCAAGTTCTTTCATCGCAGGCGTTTTCAAATGAGTGGAATGATTTCACAGGGAGCTTGTGACTCTACCGGCATCTCTTCTGATTGCCTTTACACTGTACATGTATGATTAGCGACTGCACACCTTCAATAACCAATTTATCTAGCACTCCTTTCTATTCCATCTGGGCAATCTCAAACCGTCGGTTATTTCCAAGTGCTGGTACAGTAGATGTGACACGAAGTCAATGGCATCATGCCTGCATTTTCCTCACAACCATGTTGCGAAAGACCATTAATATCTCCAATTTATCTACAGAGCAAGCTGGTGCGCGGCTTTTATTAGTTCGTTCACAGACTGTGCGGTGACTTCCCGGCCGATATCAGAAGAAGTCGATGTCAAATCCGACGGAACAGAATGAACAACATAGTCCGCAGCCAACGACGCCGCATCGGTCGCAGTCCAGTATGCGCCATCAAGCTGGTCCATGATTGCAGCCGTCTTGGGCGTAATGTAGTCATTCCCCACCTTTCTGGCCCTCAATACAAAAGCAAGGATCTTGAGGAAAGCCTTGCCCAATCGGCCCCATCCGATCGCCATATTCCAAAGGCCCAAGACACTGCTCTCAAGGACTTTCATCCACTTCATTTCGCTCGGACTTAGTCTAGCGATCGCGTGGATTCCCGCGACGCAGAGGTAGTGTAGCATGACGATTGGGACAGATTTCCACCCGTGGAAATGTTTATAGAGGAGGATCAGGGATCCTAGGATCTCTACTGCGCCGGACTTGATTCCTGCGGCATCGAGTTCGGGTCTCCCTTCTGGCTGGCTGATCGAAAGGGTTTCGAATACGTCACATATATTTATCACTGTACATTGGTAGTACATCCTAGGAGTCGCTTAGCATGACACGGCCTCGCGCAAGATGGAAGAGAAAGACGTACCGTAAGCACAGACAGTGAGGCGTGCTCTTTCGTTCTTGCTGTATTTCCAGTGGTAGCTCTTGATTCCACTGTAGCAGCTTTTCATATATCTCACAGCCTTGGGCCCAACTGTTCTCACTTGGGCCCGAATCACGCAACTGGAGCGAGAAAGTTGCAGTCTCGTTGACCAGCCCCGCAAGTTTGCCGCGGAACCGAGCAAATTTATAAGTATTGGACGCAAATATTGGAGTTTGAAATGGGTAGGGGGTCCACGTGTTGTTGTCATCCAAAGACGTTGCTTCTTCCAGAGAGAAACCTATTTGTGGCGGCTGGGGCCATTCACTATTTTTTTTGTACACCTGGGAAGCGAGCCTGTGTTTTGTTAGAGGGACAAGTCGCAGCAAGAACATACTGTGCATTGACGGTGGCCGAGTATCAGCGAACTTACGATTGAACATCGAAAACACCCCATGATATTAACTTCTGGGCCCTGGCCATATTCTGTCCCAGATCGTCATTGGCGCATTGAAAGTAAGGAGCGCCCTCTTCATGCAAACCAGACCTGTAATACATGGCCGCTCCTCTCATGATAAGCTCGGTACCCAGTCGATCGGTTCCAAAAGTACAACATAGTAAACCAAGAAGGATACCAGATTGTAGTGTTGGGATGTCGGCTGTGTCCTTCTCCAGTGCCCAAAGTCGAAGGATCTCATCGTAAAGGTTTTGTCCAAGTGCTTTTTCCTGCCGCCTATCGGTGAATGAATGGAGACCATATGAAAAGCTCTGGTAGAAGTTAGCCGCCGCAGACAAATGCGAGAAAGCTCCAGACCTACACAGCCAAACAATAGCACAATATGAACTAGAAGTGGGGAGCAGAATTTTGTAGAGCGCGTTTCTAGATCATGAATAAAAAGCTCCTGGTCAATCAAATGCCAAGTCGGATTCTCCCAGTTGAAGTAAAACGATAGTAAGTGGCTGGCCACATCGTCCTCGACAAGTGAGGTCCAATGCTGTATCGATTTTGTCTGGATTAAAGGTTGGCGCTGAAGAGAGAGGCCTTCTCCGAATCGATTATCCCGATAGGTGAGGTGCATCCTCTCTAGATTGAGGTTGATTTTCAAGTCAGGAGGGCTTTGAGGCAGTCGTGCTGACTGCTGTAGAGCCGCGAGGAATTCCGGACGACGCTCCTATTCCAATCACCGTTGGCCGCCGCTTCCAGCGTGACTCGAATGTATCCACGAAGAGACTTACAGATATCAATTCCAGAACAGTTTTAAAATTCTTTGAGGGACAATGCAAGAGCACTTCACCCAGCGCGGACTCGTAGTCTTGAATTCTTTCTTCCAGACGTTGAACACTGATCTGTCGCACTTCACGCTTTGAAGCCGAATAGAGACATGGGCTCCCAATGGTGAGACAATAGTCACATGATGGACGATTCCCATTGCACTTCAGTTTAATCTGGCGACAAGCATCACAAGCTCGAGCGACGCGTTGACGCTTGAGTAGCGGGTGTCTACCCGATATGCGAGGAATAGCAACTTTGGAGCGAGTATTGCCTCCAGGCTCATTGGGCCAGCTGCTCATGGCTTCTTTCCGTTGATACGGCCCGATGGCTGAACGGGACACAGAAGAGATGATGTGTACTTGTTGATAGCAAGTTGAACCACGCCGTCTACAACGCTCACCGACATCATCTCCACTCTTGGACGTGCCTGTCAAGTATACGAACCCTTTGCAACGGAGACGGGGCGGAGGGTCCAGAGGACTGACAGTCTCATCCACTACCGCACAAGTCTGGCGAGACGAGCGGCTGACTGCATGGAGAAAAGTTGGAGCAGAAGTACTTCCACCATACCGAAGCTGTTGCCGAGCGCGGCTGCGTTCGTTGGAGGTCTTGGAGGTCTTGGAGGAGTATGACGTAAGGACTGCTGCTCCGGTTCGAGATCTGAGTTTATCCATCCAATGAACTTCCAGTAAAGCTGGCTAGAGCTGGGAAGACCCCGCTACTGTATCTAGATTCTCTCTAGAGTTAGGGCTAGACTACGGCGCTAGGCAAGAAGTTTGCACACACCTCTACTCTATTAAATAGAATTATGCTGCAAAATATCTACTTCTGAATTATATGATTGGCTAGAAGCCTGGGGATCGACCAACTTTAGTAGGCAGTACAGAGTGGGGGGTGGGGGGGGGGGGGGATATGCAAACTTCTTGCCTGGCACTGTACGTGTGAGGAAAATATATGAATCAGTTTGAAAATGATTGTGCGCTGAAATCATAGTCTTTCAATCCCAGACAATTAGCCAAGGCGGATAAAATTAATGGTACTACTCAGTAAGCACGGAATTATCGATAATCCGATAAAATGCCAGGCTTAGACTAGGGCACCTTGGCATAAGTGAGGAGCGAGATCCGAAAATTGGAGTAAGGCCGAGTAGCGTGTACGATAGTTGAGGTATGAGGTAAGAGATATAGGTAACTAACAGGTGAGGAGCTTATTTTAGAAGGGTTCGTTCTCGAACGAAGCAGTTTTCATGTTGTTACAACGGATGAGCTTATTCCAGCTGCAGTGGCAGATCATAGACTTGAAACAAGGTATGAAAAGAAAGGCTTATTCGGACACTTTCAATATCTCCTGTTTCTACAGACCCTTCAAAATGTCTTATGAAATGTCTTTCCGGACAGCCCAGACATTTTTTTCCGTTTTATTCCAAAACCATGCCTGATGAGAACTTCACTGTACAATTTGTACATTACAAACTGTTGTAATGATACGTGGAAGGTATGTAATACTCCACGCTATACCGAAACAGGCTAGTCCACCGTCATTCTCGCGGCCTTTTCGAGTCGCGAGGGACTGCATTTCCAGTGCAGCTCGAGCTTCAAGCAACATGGGAAAAGGTACGTTTCGCGCCATGGTTGCTCGTACTAAACCTCACTAATACTTTTTGACTACATATAGGAACGGACAAGCTTTACGTACGGTCTCCCTTCTTCACTAATCTTCGCACTCAAGCACCCCACTGTCGCCCGAACAACTACTGACAAACGTCCGAACTTAGATCACACACTCCGAGTGGGCATCGGAGGATGCATTCTCAGCCAGCGCAGGCGCTGGTGTCGCCAGAGCTCGGCAAGGAGGCTCCCATGCAACATTCAAGCGACTACCGTTCAACTTTTGCTCCCTTTCCCTCCAGCCGTTTGCGCATCCGGTCTGCACACAAACAGGAACCATCTTCGACCTGACCAACATCTTGCCGTGGATCAAAAAGCATGGCACCAATCCGGTAGATGGATCGCCGCTCAAAACCTCCGACTTGATCAAGCTCACCATCGCGAAGAACGAGGATGGCGAGTATGTCGATCCCGTGACGTACAAGGTCCTGACGGACAACACACACATCGTCGCACTGCGAAATACAGGCAATGTCTTTTCCTGGGATACCGTGGAGCGGTTGAATATCAAAGGCAAAATGTGGCGCGATCTCGTCACGGATGAGGAGTTTACTCGGAAGGACATCATCACCCTACAGGATCCGCAAAATATCGAATCGCGCAATCTGAGCTCGTTCAACTACCTAAAAGAAGGCGAAACGGAAATTCCTGGGCAAAGCCAGCCTACAGCAACCGTCAATGCCAATGCGCTGGGTAGTTCTGCGAAGATCTTGAAGGCAAAGGAGGCAGTTGCCAAGGCGCGCGCGGATCGGGCTCAGCAGCAGGCTGGCTCTGGTACTTCCAAGGCTGTCTCCAAGGCTGGCGCTGCCGGAACGAATCTCTCCAAGTCGGGAACGGCCCAGCAGGGCAAACCCACGCCGTACAATGCCGCAAAATTTACCACTGGCAAGGCCGCTGCTTCGTTTACTAGCACCGGATTGACTCCTCATACATCGGCCGAGTTGGCGCTTCTATCAGAAGAAGAGTACATGTTGAAGCGGGGACGGGTTAAGGCCAAGGGCTACGCGCGGATTGACACTACCGCCGGACATTTGAACGTCGAGTTGTACGCGGAGTATGCCCCAAAGGCCGTCTGGAATTTCATCCAACTAGCCAAGAAGGGATACTACAAGGGGGTCACCTTTCACCGAAATATCAAGGGCTTCATGATCCAAGGTGGTGACCCTACCGGTACGGGACGAGGTGGCGAAAGCATCTGGGGCAAGTACTTCGCCGATGAGTTTGAAGGACCGTTGAAGCACGATGGACGAGGCACGCTCAGCATGGCCAACAAGGGCAAGAACACGAACAGCAGTCAATTGTAAGTATTCCTCGCAACTTATCGGGAAGACTTGCTAACGTGCATATCTAGTTTCTTCGCCTACCGAGCCTTGCCTCACCTTGACCGTAAACACACTGTCTTCGGCCGACTAATTGATGATCCAACTCCCTCATCTACGACTCTCAACGCCCTTGAAACACACCCCGTGGAGGCAAACACCAACCGCCCTACCCCCGACGTCCGCATCAAGGACGTGACCATCTTCGTGGACCCATTTGAGGACTTCCTCAATCAGAGGCGAGCGGAAGGCACCCAGGGCACTACCGCCGCAGACGCAGATGGCGATGAGACGAGCGGACGTGCCAACGATGATCGTGTTACCTGGACTGGAAAGCGGGTCCGGGGCGCCCACGGAGATTCCAGCGCGGAGGGACCGGGCGGCGTCGGTAAATACCTCAAAGCTGCACTTGCTGACCGAGGCGGCGAGGAAGATGAAATCGTAGAGTTTGTAGATGAGGAACTCGAACCCGAACCGGTACGCAAAAAGGCCAGGGGCACTGGTGGCTTCGGAGACTTTAGTTCATGGTAATCGGTCCCGTTTCATTTCGTTTTATCTCCACACTCGCCTTGGCGCTGTGGCGTCTGCGTGGATGGGGGTAGAGTCGTGTACATTTTCTTTGTTTATAAAAACCCGAGCGGAAGGAGATGGGATCAGAACTCATTTGGGCAGGAGTTAGAGTGGCATTTAAGATGGGAAATACCATGAAGGTTCTTTTTTTGTTACTAAGGGAGTATGACTTGGTGCTCCTCCTAGCCTTGTGATCACCATAAAGTATGCAGAGCCTCATAGTAGTTCTGTTAGATCTCTGTACAAATACACCGAAGCTATCTTGTTGTGAGATAGCTCGTTAGCGAAAGTGATCGATTCTCAAGTTCACCAGTTTGCGTGTCTATGTTAAAGCATCATCTAGTTAGCGTACGCATGAAGTTGTGTAGATGTTTTTGGAGGCTTCAAGGTGGAAGGAAACTATACTCGTAAGAGTAAGAGTATTCCGAGTCTACTATGGATTATATACGATTCCAATTTCTTTAGAGCGTGTTTACTGTTGAATCGACATCGTACGGGTATACTTCGGGTCCCTAGCACAGAGATCAAGATCAGCTAATGGCACGGCCAGCCTGCTATTCTCGGAGCCGTTAGCAAGATCATAGTCTATCCAATAGTGTCTCGTTAGTCAGCTAGGACCAGTCAATTGCAGCGCCCTGGCGGAGCCGATCAGGGGTCTCGTGGTGCATAAGCCGTGAGGACAGATTGATTGTTGGGGGCGCCACCTTAGTGGGCGTCTATAGATCTCCCCAGAATCTACGGAGTACCGGAGGCCCAATACTGTCCCTGTACTGTAGAAAGCAGGGATTATCGAAGACGAGTAAGCTCGCCAAATACCCTGAATCTATTCCTTTCTACTATTGTAGCAAACTTTCTGCTTTTCTTTCATTCTCTAGGTCCAGTCCCCCCTAAGCTCCACTTCCTCTCCTCTCCGTTCTTGGCTCTCTCTCCTCCGCCCAACCGTACCGGGGCGGAGTTAACCAGAGCCCTTCCTCGCTTTCCCCAATCCGGATCGCATCATCTCCCAAACTCCAACTTGCTCAACTCATTACGTTGGCACTGCCACACCTCATCCATCCACCGTTATTTCCTGATCTCTCATCAGATAATCTCAGTTTCCAGACTCGATATCACTGGTAAGTTTGTCTTGATTCGCCCATAGTCTGCAGCTTCCCCCCGGAGGTTCCGTGGGGCGGGGGTCTCGGAGGAACGACCTCGACGCGCGATGGCCATCAAGCCTATATGCACTTGTTGAGAGCGTAGCGGGCAGCCGCAGAGCCTCGAACCATCTGCCTGCGAACTCGAGCACCTCAATGGCCGTTCATTTTCCTCCGAGCGCCTGTTCCGCGCTGAAAACAACGGGCGCTTCCACCCCCTCTGCGCCCTGCTGCTACCCCCAGCTGTCCCCATTGACTTTGCTTCTTCGCCGTTGTCGCTAGGCATCACACTTCCCCCGCAGCTTATACCTGCCTATTCCTTCACCTTCTATCAACCTTGTTCTTCAAATCACACTTTAATAACTCCCATCAAAGCAACAGTCACTACTTCCGCCGTCGACCGACCCGAGGGATACTACTACGTCAGTCCGCAGTATCTCCATCCGCTCATCACCAACCCCGCCTTCTCCCTACCCCGTCCCGGCCGCCCCCATCCTTGTCGACCAGGGATATAATCAAGCTGGCAGGAAATAAGCGCCGCAGCTTTTCTCAGCAGGGTGGGTTGCTGAGCAGAATGTTCAGTGGCTCCTCGAGCCCACCCAAAGACAAGACAGACGCCCTCTCAACTCCTGTCCCTGGAATTGACACCAGCGCCCTCAACATCCATCCCGAAAACGCCAGCCCTCGCGACAAGAGGTTCTCCCCGCCCGGTGCTGGATTCTTTAATCGCCGACAGAGCGAACAAGAAGGCCCTGCCAGTGAGAAGAAGCGTCGCAGCAGTACCGTCACCAAGGCGGCAAGCTTCTTCAGCAACGCCAAAAACTCGTTGAGTCTGAACGGCACGCGTGAATCCTTCTCGGCCATCAGCAGTAGTCCATCCGGCTCCGAAAGCCCCCTCCAAAGACTGGGTAAGATGGACCCGGCTTTGAGCGTCCCGCAAGGGTCCTTCAACAACTCCGCTGGTGAATCGGCACCAACTGCACGATCATCCTTCCGCGTGGGTGTTACAGAAGACCGGAACCGAAAATGTCGCCGCACAATGGAAGATACACATGCCTACCTGTACAACTTTCTCGGTACTCCGGCCCCTACGGCGCCCGACATAAATGGCAACGATCCTCCTGGGTCAGCTAGCGGGTCACAGGCGTCGGAGGCTTCATCAAATGTGGTGGAAACAGACAACGGTTACTTTTCCATATTTGACGGGCATGCTGGCACATTCGCAGCAGAGTGGTGTGGTAAAAAATTGCACTTGATCCTTGAAGAGATCATGCGCAAGAACCCCAACACTCCCGTTCCCGAACTTCTCGATCAGACGTTTACCAGTGTCGATCAGCAGCTGGAGAAGCTCCCTCTTAAGAACAGTGGATGTACGGCTGTAATTGCCGTTCTCCGCTGGGAGGACCGCATACCCAGTTCGCAATCGGCCACCGGATCTGCCGCGCTCGCTGCTGCGGCAGCCGCTGGTAGGATCGACGCCAACTCTGATGCCAATAATACTCCGACTCAAGAAGGCCCCTCAATCCCCAAGTTGCAGCACAAGGCTCAGCGACAGCGCGTTTTGTACACAGCCAATGTTGGTGATGCTCGCATTGTATTATGTCGCAATGGGAAGGCCCTCAGATTGTCCTACGATCACAAGGGTAGCGATGAGAATGAAGGGAAGAGAATCGCCAATGCTGGCGGGCTGATCCTGAACAACCGCGTTAATGGCGTGCTTGCAGTCACTCGTGCCCTTGGTGATGCATATCTCAAGGACTTGGTTACCGGGCATCCGTACACCACGGAGACTGTCATTCAGCCCGACGCGGATGAATTCATCATTCTAGCCTGCGACGGGGTAAGCAAAGCATTCGTCCTTTCTGTCAGACTGTGTTGAGCACTAACGGTTCCTCTAGTTATGGGATGTTTGCAGTGACCAAGAAGCTGTTGATCTTATCCGCAACGTACAGGATGCCCAACATGCATCCAAGCTTCTGGTCGACCACGCCCTCGCACGATTCAGTACCGATAACCTGTCATGCATGGTCATCCGGCTCGACTCCACCCGTCTGAAGAATGTTGTCAACAATAAGACGGAGCCCATAGGAGTGGAAGGTGACCCAGCTACGAACGTGGCTCACGGTATGAGCGAAGCAGACAATATTGTGGAGGGAGCAAGGAAAAGCATGGCCAATGCAGGAATCACCGATCCCGGAACAGCAGAGCAGGTTGGCGAGGAAACTCTTCAGAGAACGGCCAACAAAAGCGAATCCTCCGAGCCCGAGGTATTTGCCAACGAGCATGGTGATCTGCCATCGGTGGATATTCTGACCTCGACCCATGCGTCTCGGGAAATCAAGTGATGTCAATAAAGAACCCAATCCACCCGATTATCAGTCCGCGAGGTGCAAAAATCTGATAAACATACGTGTTTTTTTGACTCCTTTGATCGCCCTCGATCTGGAGAATTTTATATGTCTATCTCGTTTCTCTTCCTTTTTCTAGTATTGCACATTGGCGTCGGTTATTAGATGCAACCAACTAGCTTGCGGTTGTCTTCTTCTTACCTGAGCGCCGCCTTTGAGGTGTATACGGGCGGATTGGGCCTGGATGTCACAGTCGCTCTATTATTCGGCATCTATCCTACCCGCTTTTTTCTCCTTTTCTTTCCCCAGCATGCCTGGGCTCATGAGTTGAAGAACATTGTTTTTCCTCATCCTTATTTGTTTCTTGGTATCACTTCCATGTATGTAGGGGTAGGCCGTTCCACTGTGTAAATTGAAACCCCCGTCATTATGCCCATGAGGTTAGATCGAGAATGAGCTTGTAGACTCTGTAAGTCAAAAGTCCTACGCTCAGAAGTCGATGTGTCCTGAAAGTCTGGCTGGAATGATTGGAAACACTAGTTATTTGAGCATCTTTGTTCGTCACTAGAGTGATCGGAAATGTCTAAAAATACAATTGATGCAGTAGGTGAGCTTGAGAGATAGCGGGAGGAACAGACAAAAGGTTAAACAAGTACAAAGTATCTCCCTTGGCCCGAAGCCAAAGTCAGGTGGAAGGGGATATTATCGGATCAAACCCGCTCAATATGATCCAGAAAAAGCGGATGGCCTACGGAAGAGAGAAAAAGATCACCCCGACGGTGATGGACGACTATAACTTCTCCGCATCACACCGGATTTAGACCTCTAGAGAGAGATCGGAGCGCTCTCCGCCGATGATGTTGTCACGCTTGATCTCCAGCTCGCCATGCTTGACCTTCGCAGGCCATGAAGCAGCGTAGTTGGCATCGTGCACATCGCGCCAGAGAATCTTGACATCACCCGGCGTCTGGGGATAATTGCCGATCTCGCCAATCTTCACCTCGACACCCTCACGCTCACTCAGCTGCTGCTCCAAAGCCTCAATGCGGGCTTGGTTCTGCTCAGCACGCTTAGCCTCCTCGGCCATAGCCTCACGCTGACGCCTTCTCTGGCTGCGGTAGTGCTTTTGGCGCCATTCTTCCTTGTCCAAGATACCGTTCTCAATCTCCTTCTCCTGAATCTCCAGCACTGCCGCGATGTCAGCAACGGAGGTCGCCTTCTGGTCCATGAGGACCCGCGCACGCTCCTTCTTCTCCATTGGGTGGCCGATTCTCTTCTTATTCAGCCTGTCAAATTCCTCCGCGTCGGAGGGGTCCTTTGGCCGTCTGGACGCCAGGAATTCCTCGGTGACTGTGATCATCTCGGGGGGAGGAGAAAGTTGTCGCCGCAGCGAGAATTCGCGGAGCAACTGGTAGGCGCGGAGGCCGAGGCGGGCATCGCCAAAGTGCACGGAGTAGTATGGAGTCCACATATCCCGGCGGAGTTCGGCGGGGACGGTCTTCTTGCCATGGTAGACCATTTGGCGCAGAACGTTGTTCTCCTGTAACAGTAGAGACGGATGGTTAGAGGCTTGCGAGACGAATGGGGAGATCCGGGCAGAACCAGATCAAACCGGCTGGCTCGTGACAGAACAGTCCGGGATCAATCGGATTGGGGTGAAGACGAAGATGAAACTCACCTCCAAGTACCGAGTCAAAGAGTACACGACCTGCTTTGTCTGCACGTTGTGGTAAACGAAGATGTGCTTTCCGTGCGTGAGCGAGTTCAGTGCCTTTTGCAAGCGCACGCTCTCACGCTTCAGATGTTCCTTGAATGCATTGGAGCTTGACTCGCGAATCTTTCCTTGAATCGGCTTTGTCGTGTCAATGGGCGGGTGTCGTACAAATTTCTTCAAGGAAGCAACTCGGGTTGAGTCCAGGATCTTCTGGATCGGCTTGGACGCCGTGCTGGCTGAGGCCATTGCGGCCGGAATCTGTGCGTGATTACCCGAGAGCAGATAAGAGAGTCGAATGGGCGAGATCTATCGCATTGACAGAGTAGTGGAAGGCCAGGTGTGAGGGTTGCGGATGTTGATGAGAGGTGAAGACGGAGGTGGATTTTTTGACGGGGCCATCCGCAAGTCTTGGCGTTGGCTGCTCTCCGCATTGACCTTATCGCTCTCGACACCTCCGCCATTATTGCAAGCGCGTCGCAATTCACAGGATTCAGAATTCAGCTATCTCGCAGAAAAAATGCCCCTGTGTCTCATCCTGCGCTGCCGCTCCTGCTGCTGCTAGATTCAAACGTCGTGATGGACGGCCCAGGCAGCGGAAACGCAGCTATGGAGCATGACGCAGGCGTGCGCAGGGAACGGCCGTGGCTTTATGCATCGGTAAGGTCTTTACCTGGATAGCTATTCTTGCGAGGCTAACAATTCCTAGAACCGAAAGCTTCGACATCTCCATGGCATCTCCGTCCGCAACTTGGTAGTCACGCCCCCTTCAAATCGAGCTCGAGGCAAGACCATTGATGACGATGATATCCCCTACACCCTGAAGTCGCCCTCCAAAATTCTAGCTCAAAATGAGACTAGACCACTACAACCGTCGCGATCTTTTACGGATCTTAAGTCGCGCCCCAGTCAAGATGGCCACGTTGATAAGAGACCCGACATGCGCGAGTCGCGTCGCCGAAGCCTGCTGCCTTGGAACGATCCCAATCCGCACACGAGGCAAATTCGGTTAGAGGACATTACCAAGAGTCGCATGGCGGATACTTTCTTTTCTTTACACTGTGATGGCATTGAGGAACCGGTTTATATCAGCGAAGTGGTCGACAAGGCGACCAATCCGAGCTTTCGGGCTTTCGATCTAGACTTTTGTGGTCCCGTCGTTTCCCGCCAGGATACGTTGACTGTAAAGCTTTGGGCGAAGACGGAGAATTTGTCGGAGTATGCTTTGTTAGTCGAACTACAGCAACACTTGCGCTCCCTACAATTCCTGGGAAAGACAATTGAGGGCTTCCATCAGCCTCTGCCCGCCAATTGCGTCCTGTTTCATTTTCCGGACGGAGTGTACACGAATCTGACAGATATCCCACCGGTCGAGCTACCACTCAATGGCGCGGGACAACGAGGCACTGCTGACGGTGCGGTACTGCCTACGTCTTCCTACGACGCGTTGATGCGGTTGGCGAACCTGGATGAGTGCATACAAGACGCACTGGCGACCCGAGAGAAATTAGAGAAGCAAATTGGAGAAATCTTGAAAAAGAATGAGGCCGCATTATCGACCGAGAGCGAGGCAGCTAAGGCGCAGGATCGTCTCGCCTCAATCAGACAGGCTATCGCCGTCGAGCGCAAGCAGATTCGAGCGGCGAATAAGCGCAAAGAAGACCTCATTGCTAGCATCAAGGCCCGGAAAGAATCCATGGAAAGGGGTCGCCTTGCACAGGAGAAGGCCCGAAGCCACCTCCCGGATGCGCAGGGGAAGCTTGTCAGCAGCGTACAATTGCTCAACCAAAATGCGGATGAGACCAAGGGCCAGATCCGGCGCATTGCCGAGGACCTGATGGTGATCTATCCGATTGAACCTATCCCTGACAAGACATTGGCATTTACCATTGCCGGACTGCCACTTCCAAATTCCAAATTTGACGATATTGACCGCGAAGAGGTTGCTGCGGCACTGGGCCATACTGCTCACCTCGTCTACCTGCTATCCTTTTACCTCTCTGTCGCGATTCCCTACCCGATCAGTCCGAACCTGTCAACCTCCTTGATCCAAGATCCGGTGTCCCAGGATCTGCCCCAGCGCACCTTCCCCCTCTACCCCATCAGCGTTCAGTACCGCTTTGAATATGGCGTCTTCCTCCTAAACAAAGACATCGAGTTCTTACTTAACAATCAAGGCATCCGCGGTCTGGACATTCGACATACCCTTCCAAACCTCAAATACCTTCTTTACATCCTCACTGCGGTCACACCTGATATTCCTGCCCGCAAAGCGGGTGGAATCCGTGGTCTTCTCACTGGAGGACTGACCCCGAACCTGTCTCGACGGGGCAGTCTTGAAAGCACCGCCTCCGGTGAAGTAGTCCAGCCACGGAGAGCTTTTGATTTAGTCTCCCGCAAGAACGGGTTCGCATTGGATCCTGGTGCAAAGCCGCCGGCGGGGACATCTACTCCGACACTCTCATCGCGAGCGTGAGAGTTTACTGAACCATCAGTTTGCTGTTTGGGAGGTGAAAGGTAATTGATTAATCTTCTAGGATAGGAGGGCTGGCTTCATGTAATTAGTCGGTTCTACTAGTCGGGTCTGTATGTATTGTTTTGTGTATATGTAGGAGGCGTACATACCAGGTTTGCATGAGCGAATGTCATGTTCTTTTCTCCGTTGAGTTTCCAAATGGCCTTTGACGCTAGTTATGTAGGGTTATTTAAGGTAGGTGATCTTTCCGCTGGGCATAAGACCTGGAAGGGTGCCCGGTCTAGGGAGGTGGTCTGCTAAGGTTCCAACTTAGATATATCTGACGATCTTACGATCATGGGAGTAAAGCTATATTTCTTACGACTTCCAAAGACCTTGATATATCCATCACGGTCCTGCCTCCACTGCAGCGTAAAAAGGCATATTATGATGCAATTTAACTTCCCCTAACCAGCGATGTAACTCTTTATACTTTCGCTACCCCGCAAGGCCCTATCTATTATACAATGAAAATTGGTGGCTGGTCGAGGACACTGGGGCTTGTTTCGTAGGCTCCGTAGTGATCGGGCAGTTTGCTATGGATGATGCATGCTGTCTCTCGGTCATAAAATTTCCTTTTCTTTTCTTCCCTTCCTAATTGACTCAGTACCCTCGCCTTTCTGCCGTGTCTCCATGTTTGTTTCTGTGTTTTTTTCTTTTTTTTCCCTTGTGAACTCCCGCCACCCAATCGGCTGGCCGCTCATCTAAGCAAATTCCCACCCCCACCGCCCTTCCCAGCTTATCTTCGCTTTGCATCGGCATTCCCCAGCATTTGCTATCCACCCTGCTGCTGCCCGACCACCTCTCGAACCCCTCCCCTTCCCAGCATGGGACAGGACGCCAATAGCGTGGCTGACTCGCGCAAGTCGCCGTCGCCGTCGCCGTCTGCCCCGCAGCATAGACGCGGCTACCAGGCCTGCGATCCATGTCGCAAACGCAAGGTCAAGTGTGATTTAGGCAGTACGCGATCAGCGACCCCTCCTCCCTCCCCGCGCCACATTCGATCAGCGACGGCTGACTGATCGCAAATTTTTTTTACAGGTGTCGACAATCCTCGTCCCCCACCTTGTGTGCGATGTCGTCGCGAAAGCAAACGATGCGAATTCTCGGCGACTCGTCGCAAGCGCAAAGCCTCCGAGGCGGCCGAAGACGATGCGGAGGCGGCCGAAGTACTTCGCCGCGACAAACGGATGATGATCGGAGAAGCATCTGCAAATGAAGTACAAGCTAAAATTGAACCAAATCAATTTCCTCCCCCTGAACCGTCCGTCGAGACCGATAGCTTTCGTGCTCGGCAGAGATGGTCCGAGGCCTCCCCCGCAGCTGCTGCTACCACCCAGCGGTTTACGCCTAATGCGCCCATCTTCTCAAAGACTAAGCAATTCCTTGAATCGCGAAATCCTCACTTGCCCCCATTTCAAGCCAACCAGCGAAGTACTGTACCTGGGTATGGAGGCCCGCCGATGATGAACCGGACCGCCGTCGAACTGTTATCGCCAGCCATCACCAATACCCATGATGCTTTACATCTACTCTCTGAAGCCGCGGGTCGAACAGAAGATCTAAATCGCCAGAGGCTCGAGAATCGCTACGGTGCCAGACGCTCAGTCTCCTCATTGAACTCGGGACCTTCTCCATTAACACACGCAAACTCCCCTGGTAACGTGAGCGGATCCTTTTCGCGAACTCTTCGTTCCGGTATGTCGGCTGGCGGGAATGGTTACTTCCCAGGGGGAGCTGGAGGTTCAGGAGCCGTGGAGACTCAGATCCCCGATGACAGTGGTACCCAGGAAGGCTCTCCAAACCCTCAAGACCCCGGGTTCCTTGATGCCGTACGAGCATGGTCCCGATTGCGATTTGTCCGTGCCGGATGGATGACGGTGGAAGAAGGTATGGAGTATGTGGCATACTACTATGAAAATCTTGCCCCGATGAGCCCAGTCGTGACTCCCGACTACTCTCAACCTTCTACACATCGAGTCCTGCTTACGGACGAACCCGTTCTGGCGGTGACTATTCTTACGATTGCTTCCCGACATCTCAAGCCCAAGGGCGATGGCGCCAGTACTCGTGCATTTTATATCCATGATCGTCTCTGGTCGTACTTGCGTGGTATGATCGAGCGCCTGTTCTGGGGCCAAGAGAAATTTGACGCCCAGGGAGGTCGCCCGCGATCTTTGGATCCCGCGTCAGGTGCTGGTGGTCCCACCTCCAAGGGGAATCTGAGAGCCCTAGGAACCGTCGAAGCCCTGTTGATTCTCACAGATTGGCATCCCCGAAATCTTCACTTCCCCCCAGGTGATGACGAGAACACACTTTTGGACAGAGAAGCCCAATCACAGAACCGTACCGACAAAGACCTAGATAATGAGAGCGATCAGGCAGTGAACAGAGGCCCATTTGCTGAAAGTCGAGTCGCTTTCCAAAAATGGTTGGAGCCCGCCTGGAGGTCAGACCGAATGTCATGGATGCTATTGAGCACCGCACAAGCCTTGGCCTTTGAACTGGGTGTTTTTGATCACAAGAGCGAGTCCAAGGGAGCCCCTGAACTACCCTCTGAACAGGCACGCAAGCGGCGACTTCGACGATTGATACTAGTATTCATTACGCACAGCAGTGGACGGCTCGGGATTCCATCTATGCTGCCTCTGACCGAATGGGGACGAGATCTTCCCGCCCCTACCACTGATTTGAAGGATGGTGATCTAGATCTGAATCAGATGCAAGATTGCTGGATGGGTATCTCGAAGATAGTGTACCAGGCCAACCATCAATTGTTTGCTTCCAGCGAGCAAACTTCGGAGTTGATCAGGAGCGGAAGATATCGCGAACAGATCGACTGGTTTCAACCGCAGTTGCGAGATTTCCGACAAAATTTGGACCAGGTCAATTGTGAGTTTAACAACTGATTATGCCTAATTAGACCTCCGGTTCATATAAGCTAACTCGTAACAGTGTCCCCGGCTATGCGAAGCATCCTGATCATTGAATACGAATACACCCGTAAGTCGATTAGCTCTCAGATGGTTGGATAACAATAAACTCAATTTTTCATAGGATTATATGTCAACTCGCTCGCTCTCCAAGCAGTCGTCGATCGTTGGACTACCATGTCAAATGAGACCTCTGTCCAAGCCCACATTGGTCGACCAGGACCAGGACCATCTGCTGGTAGCAATGGGTGGTTCCGTACTTTGATGGAGCTCTACCGCGTCAACGAACCATATATACAAGAAGTCGTGGATGCTTCACGTAAGATCCTACAGACTGTGTTGGAAGGTCTCGTTCCAGGCGGGCGTCTCAAGCATGCACCTATTCGGACATTCTTCCGCATTCTGTCTGGCATGATATTCATCCTCAAAGTAAGTCTCGCCGAATTTTCTGGCCCAAAACGGCAACTATAGAGCCCCATATACTGACTCCACGCTTTTAGACATTCACACTTGGTGCCCGGGAAGACGACGTGCGAGTCTCTCTGGACCTGCAAGATCGCACTGTAGAGGCGTTGCGGACCTTCGTCGTTGATGATGTCCATATCAGCAACACTGTCGCGCGGCTCTTGGAGCTTCTCACCAGCAGCATTCGCACGCGATTCCTTCGATTCGCACCGCACGACCGTGGAGTCGATGGCGACGGACATGCCTCGGCACCCGTCTCCCGTGCCCAGTCCCCGCCACGCGACAGCATTGCGGGTCGCCCACACACCCCCTGGTCATCAACGCAAGATGGGGCTCCGAGCGGAGGGCTGGGGGCCTACGTGGACAGCAACGGCTCCGGCGGGAATCCGTCAGCGCCGATCGGATCGGCTCACGATCCACTGGCCAGCATCCCTGCGCAGCCGATCAATTCATCGAACCTGAACGTCTCCTTCATGCCGCCTCCGCCATCGGTCTACTACAACTACTATGACTCGAACTCGGCCGTGTCGGCTCACGGTCTGGAGCGATCGTCACCCAATCACGTCGTTTCCTCTCAGGCCGTCGGGGATAGCAACGGAGCGGGCCCTACGTCCGCTGCCTTGCCAGACTGGTTTGCGCTTCCGCTGGATCAATTCTTCAATAGCTCCAGCGGAGTGGTGGACCAGGGTCTAGGCGGGACGGGCCCGATGTTGGGTGAATTTGATATGTTGGAGGTACTTTTGAACGAAGGCTATGACGGGCACGGCAACGGCGAGAATGAGTCTGGAGGACTTCCTCCTCATTTCTTGGGCTAAGTCTGTTCTTCGTACGCCGTGGAACTCGATTGGTCATTTTGCGGATCTGACACGGACCTTTGCTGTCACATTTCTCTTTCTTTTACCCCGTACAAAACTTTATACCCCAGCGGGATCTTCATGTTGGCGTCGGTTGCATTGGAGGAGGTCTGAACTTAGTCAAGTTCTTTTCTTATTTGTTGATATATTATGTTCAGGTAGTAAAGTGTTTCGAGGGCGATGATTGGCTAGGGCCACAATCTGGATGAAACAGCGCCGTGGTGCCTCCTGCCGGATTCATGCGGGCCCGTGGTTTATACTTCATGTATCTTGTCCAATTGATATCAGATGAAATATGTCAGGCCGTGTTGGTCGTTGGTGATGGGTGGGTCTGTATTTGGTCTCATGCTGGTCACTGCAGAAAAGGAGGCGTTGCGGTTGCGGTATTTGCTTCGTCGTGCACGATGAAGTTGCGTTTCGAACCCCTCCTACTATCCAATTAAGAATCCTTGTATTCTGCTCAGAGCTTCTATCGGCATTCCATCTGATAAGTAAGATAGTGATAGTGATGACCAGGTAAAAATCTGTCTCATCTTCTGCACATTTCATTTAGGCGTCCCAGCATCGCCAGTTTACTGAGATTCTATTGTTCAATCATCTAATTACTCATTTGATCCCTCACCTGTCACGCCGCTAACTTGTTTCACCATTCCAGGCTGCCTAATTCCTGAATGTCGCGGCTTTAAGACTAAGATGCCGCCCCGGCCGGTCTCCGTCGGTCTCAAGCCTGCGGGGCCGGAGTTTCACCCTTGCGATATGGCAGATCCTCCGCTTTCACATGGTGGTGGTTAGCGAGCTTGTCCTTCAACCCCAAGCCTTGATTCATATTGTCTTTGTAGTGAACGGTCCTGCTTATCTACCCAGCCGCGCTAAACTAAGGCTACCGGGTGGCTTGAGCCTGCATGTCTTGGAAATTCTTGGAATCTTCCTTTTTCGGGTCACGGTGCCAAGTCCTACTATCGTGAGTTGGGTATCGCCCGTCTGTATGATGACGATGGGACCATGATGAGATATCAACTTGCATGAGATAGACTAGAGTAGGACCGCCCGGGAGTCCCATAATGAGTTATTTTTCTTTCCGGATAATGGATACTAGGAATGGTTGACGGGATTGAACAAGGTACCAGGGACATCGACTTCGTTCTATACGGGCATCACGACATCTACGACGTAGACTCTGCAATGAAATGCAGGAGAGCCCTAAAAAGGAATATGGGCACGTCGGGCATGCCGAACGCGCATGAATACCGGTAGTCTAATAGATAATTAAGGAGAAAGCCAGGCATCGCTTGCCGGAGTCGGCATCTATGTTTTACTCTAGAAGTTACTGTAATGTGATGAAGACATGCTCCGCTAACCTATCAGCATTAACGGATGCAGCATCATAGTTTGCATATCAGGGACCGGGGCCTCAAGCCCACCGGTGTCGATCCCTAGGCCTGCATCTAGCGCCATCGAGCGAGGTAGCCGATCTCCTACGCTATTGGGTTATTGTGGTTGTAGTCTAATAAAGGGCGATCGCTCGAGAGAGGATCTTGCAGCCGCGGGGATTCCGATGCAGCCGTTTAATTAGGCGTGTGTTCGTGATAGATGATGGGTCAAGGCGAGTAGTCTAGATTGGGCTAGGATGGGCGCATTTGTTTGGCTTGTTGCATGGTCTTTTCTGGGTGAGGGTCACATCGGCCGAGTCGATCTTTCTTGCGGGAATGAGCGCGTGCGTGAAGGTGAACGAAGTGGGGATCTATTATGCATTGAACATGATTGTACGAATAATTTGAATGACTCGAATGGATTGGATAGTGGAGGTGCTTGGATTGGACAGGGTCTAACGGGCGTGCAGAGTCAATCTGGTGACGGAGTCCGATCGGGGTTTTTGATCCGATTTGCAAGAAGAATGGACGACTTGATATGGAAAGATAGTCTACCAAGAGAATAGGTTGATAGCATAGTGTCATGGTATTATGTGTGTTTCACGATAGAATCGGGACACAGGGTAGAACTATAGTTGAATTATTAAAGGACTTGCTGCATAATTTGGTCTAATATCAAGCTAGAAGATGTTTGACTCGACCATTATCCTAGCGTAGGCAGACGCTGAATAGAAAGGAGTACATAGATGTTATCAGGCGCATGATGGCGGTTTCACACTACCTTAGTGGGCCCAACAAGGTAACCTTGAACTTTAAAATTAGTTTCCGATTAAATTGTAATTGCCCCCTTTCTTATTCACTCTGTACTTCCAGTCAATAATACGTCTATACTCTTCCAAGTGGATTCTTGGGGACTTAGGAGCCTGAACTGGATGAGAGAGTTTTCTGACTGATCGCTCCGTCCTCCCTCCTGCCGTCTGAACTGCCTCACCTGTAGATGGTCGGATCCAATCAATCCTCCGAGATTCTCATCCTCATTGAGAATGATCAAGCCGGCTCAAGACGCGATGTGACCCTAAAGGAGAGGGGCAAGCTAAAGAGTTCCTGGTCTCAGCCGATGATTGGCTGCGTCTGGAGATAATAGGGCCCTGATCGACATAGCCAAGCCCTCCGCCAACGTCCATTTGCCCGTCATTTGACCCTGTCAAATCAACTTGCACCCACCAATGGACACAATCAATTCATGCCCGGTCTATCGCTTAGCTCTAGATCTCCAAACTCCACCCACCATTCATCTCAGGAACCAAGTTCTCGTGTCCAGTCGGACTCGAATGGCGATCGTCAAGCTTCCGCCGAATGGGTCTCAAGCATCGAACGGACTCGTGTCGGTCTTGGCCGGACTTCCCCGTTCTGGAACAATGCGATCACCCAATGACTACGCCTACGGTCCTGAGCGTGGTAGTTAGTTACCCAAGATAGCTTGTCGCAGTCAAGCCTCTACGCCCAGAGCCCCGTCGCAGCTGCGGCGCCTCCCCCGGCCTCTCTGTCTGCCTGGGAGTCCTTGGCTCTCGTCGCTATCAGACCCATCCGCGTGTCGCCATTTGGAGGCGACACTGGCTCATACTCTCTTTGGCCTCTCACCCCCTTGGTGTGTCCACCTCTTGGCAGCCTCCGTCTTGCCCTTCTGGCTGGCCGATGGAGTTCCGTGATGATCTCGAAGTTTATGCCCCGGGTGTCCCTGCAGACGATGGATCGGCGGCTCTGGCTTCCTGGAAGAGCAAAATCTCCTGGCTGTCCCTCTCCGCACCCTGGGATGTTAGAGTGCGACTCCACTACTGATACCCTTGAGCCATGTATACGCCCCGAGTCTGCCTGACAATGGCGTCAATGCCTATCCGCAAGTCCTATAAAGCTGCCCTCATTGCCGGCCGACAGAAGGTCTTTTGTTTTCCAAACCACTCAACTCCATTCTTTCGAGCCTAGAACCGCTTTTTCTAGAGATTTTATTCTTTTCATTCATATTCTCATTCTTTTTACTCCCATCTCGTTGTCATCAATCATGGTTGTCTTCAGCAAGCTTACGGTCGTCTTGGCCGGTTTGGCATCTGTCTCTTCGGCTGTGCCCACAGGCAGCTCGCGCAAGAGCAGTTTCACCATCAACCAGAAGGCTCGCACCGTTGCCCAGGCCAAGGCTGTGAACTTGCCTGGCCTGTACGCTTCCGCCCTCTCCAAGTATGGCGCTGTGGTCCCTGCCAGCGTCAAGGCTGCTGCCGAGAGCGGCTCTGCTGTCACCACCCCGGAGGACAATGACGTGGAGTACTTGACTCCCGTCAACGTTGGCGGTACCACGCTGAACTTGGACTTTGATACTGGATCTGCCGATCTGTAAGTTTTCCGTCTTTGAAAATTTCCCGCAGGTGAAACATTGGCAACGTCAATATACTAACATGAAACGAGATGGGTCTTCTCCTCGGAGCTGTCCTCATCCGAGTCGGCTGGCCACAGCCTCTACAAGCCTAGCAGCAACGCCACCAAGCTCTCCGGCTACAGCTGGTCTATTCAGTACGGTGACCAGAGCTCTGCTAGCGGTGACGTCTACAAGGACACTGTCGTCGTGGGGGGCGTCTCGGCTTCCGCCCAGGCGGTTGAGGCTGCCTCCAAGATCAGCCAGCAGTTTGTCAACGACAAGAACAATGACGGTTTGCTTGGTCTGGCTTTCAGCTCCATCAACACCGTCAAGCCCAAGTCGCAGACCACCTTCTTCGACACTGTGAAGGGCCAGCTTGATTCGCCTCTGTTTGCCGTTACCCTGAAGCACAACGCTCCCGGTACCTATGACTTCGGCTTTGTCGACAAAAACAAGTACACCGGCTCGCTTACCTACGCCCAAGTTGACAGCTCCCAGGGCTTCTGGAGCTTCACCGCCGATGCCTACAAGATTGGCTCCAAGTCTGGTGGCTCTATCACCGGCATTGCTGGTAAGCGCTCTATTCCTTGAAGGTCAATCTAGTCTTGAACGGAAACTAATCCGCCATCTCACGCAGACACTGGCACCACCCTCCTGCTACTCGATGACACCGTTGTCTCCGCCTACTACGCCCAGGTCTCCGGTGCCCAGGAGGACTCCTCCGCTGGTGGCTACACTTTCCCTTGCTCTGCCGATCTCCCCGACTTCACCGTCACCATTGGTGGTTACGACGCCGTTGTTTCCGGCACCCTGATCAACTATGCTCCCCTCCAGTCGGGCAGCTCCACCTGCTTCGGCGGTATCCAGAGCAACTCCGGCCTGGGCTTCTCCATCTTCGGTGACATCTTCCTCAAGAGCCAGTATGTCGTTTTCGACTCCAACGGCCCCCGCCTTGGCTTCGCCCCCCAGGCATAAGCAAATGGGTTGATCCCGCAGGGCGACCATTACACTTCCGTTACTCTCTCTTCGTCGAGAGATTCATCTTGATATAGTGAGAGATCTAGAGCGGGAGAGGAAAAAGGGCCCCATGATATTATGGAGCTGGCTAGCAGGCTAGCTTGATTTTGGTGGATGAGTGGATTGATAGATTTCGTTCTTGATTGATTACCTTTAGCCTTAAGTCTTGACGCGGCTTGGCTTGTACATGGTCTCTTGATTAATGCGTGCAGCATATAATTCATACAACGCATTTTTATTTATTCATGTTTCTCGTAGCATCTTGAGTAGCTGCTAGCAATTATAGCAGTGTCCAGATCGCTCTTTTGGCGAGATACTCCCGGACCTCATGTCGAGTGCAACTTGACCACGTTTTACTCAGTGCTATTATGAGGAAGAGGGCTTCGATCCGTGTCCTCTGAGTTTTGCCCGTTCAGTAGAGCCCCTGCTTCCCACCCCAACTTACCGCTAGTACGCGGAATAAAATTTTCCGCTCAAATTGCCATGGTCATGAAATTTAGTGCTATCATGTAGATGGCTACACAGTCACTTCAGCCACTTTTACACCGGCAAAGAAGTGAAACAATTGTGAAGACCCGCTAGCACTCCAATATCCCCCACGATGAATGGCAGAGACGGTGTGATCTTTCATGAGAAATCTAGCCAGACCCGTCGCGAGATCTGTTGGCGTGAAGAATTAGAGCCATGCAGGTGTGGAGATGGAGGAATACCGCGGAGGCGTGAGTGGATGACTTGCCCGAGGAGTGGACCGGGTGGCGGATCATCTCGACCCGCCAAACTCCAGACTTCTTTCTCGACCTTATATCATCCCGCAAACTAATCTGTACAGTGCCTGTTCCCGGACGAGATCGCAATACCCCCGGTTACTCCAGCCTCGATCAGTATACAACTCCCATAGTCGCTGGCTTCTCCTCTTCCCAGCCAGACCGACACCTCTCGTCGCCGACCCATCCCACCAATCGCCCCTGTGAGCTGATTCCCCTCGCTCCCTCTTCAGAACGGAATTGTACGCGCGGCTCGAAGCCACCCCAGAATGGACGTTTAGGGCATATTCAGACTCGACTGTATGCGCAGAGCATTCGATAAGGGATTTGGCGGATTCGGATTCGGTATATGAAGCAGCCCCCGAACGGCTAAGTGGCCTCCTGGAGTGTCTGATCATGGGAGATGCCCCTCGTGTGACTCCCCGCCAGATCTGGGCGAACCCAACAACGACATCAACGCATACGTATGCTTCTGGGTGTACGCCATTTGTTCTACCTAGTGATGGTATGCAGATCTCCTCATATCCAGCCGGCTGAACGGGTTGGCCAGACGTTCAGAGTGACCGACCATCGCTCGTCGCCTCAAACCTCCTCCGCTCTTTATACCTGAACTAACCACCGGCACATGCGCCTTTTTATAGGTATCATACATGTCAATAGATCGTACGCCCTGACTCTGACCGGAAATGCCGTGTATGAGCCCGTTTGCACCGGCGATCCATCCGATTATGTCCATGTCTCGGCCATCCTGGACACCCGCGACCCTTTCTACTCCTCCGTCACACCACAACTTTATGCAATCGGCTGCGCAACCGTCGTCAGCTATGTCCTCGTTATCATCCTCCTCATCACCCCGCGCACCTTCTACGTCGGCGGCCCTGGCGGCGGCGCAAACTTCCTCGGGCGTCATGGCATGATCAGCGGGTCCTACAGTGGCAACTCATCAGTTGTCGGTGTTGGTGGTCGGCCGTGGTTGCAAAAAGTTGCCGCAATTCTCGTTGCGATCTCCTTGACCATCGCAACGGCGGACTCATTCAAAGTCGCCGAGCGCCAGTATGACTACGGGTACTCGGATGCCGAGGCGCTTTCGGAGGAGGTCATCGATGGCACGGAGATTCGCATAGTTCGCGTTATATCAAGCACATTTCTCTGGTTGGCGCAGGTCCAAACGCTGATTCGATTGTTTCCGCGACACAAAGAGAAAGTCATGATCAAATGGGCGGGTTTTGCGCTGATTGTGCTGGATACGACGTTTAGTTGTTTGGAGAATTTTATGGTACGGAATACCTCGACACACCCACGACTATACGACGATGCGATCCCCGCGCTGAGCTATTTGTTTGAATTGGCTCTCAATTTATTGTATGCGGCTTGGGTAATTTTCTATTCGATTTCGAAACATCGATATGCGTTCTTTCACCCCAAGATGCGCAATATCTGCTTCGTGGCTCTATTATCGCTCTGTGCGATCCTCATACCCGTTGTATTCTTCGTGATGGACATTGCAAAACCGGAGATTGCGGGATGGGGTACCTATATCAGATGGGTAGGCTCGGCTGCGGCGAGTGTGGTTGTGTGGGAATGGGTGGAGCGTATAGAAGCGCTCGAACGAGATGAAACAAAGGATGGAATTCTTGGAAGAGAAGTCTTTGATGGAGACGAAATGCTCGAGGTCACTCCTTCAGAAGAGGTCGACTGGCCACGCTACTCAACGCAAGGACACGACAAGGGTGGCGGAAACGGCACATCGTCAGGATGGGGAGGAATGATAGGGCTGGGTGGTCGTCCACTGCGCACGCGAGTCGGTATTCCTCGTGGGAATCGGAAGCGTGGCAATGGAGTGCTTGGTCAAAATAGCGCAGCCATGCCTCCTCGACGGAATCCTCGTCCTACACCCCCACCAGCTGCAGTTACCCCCGTCAGTCGGGCCGATACGACCAGTGCTGCCAGTACAGTGTACAATGTTCGATACCATCCAGTGACCAGCCCGACACCACCCGTGACAATGCCACATATGGAGGAAGAAGGGGATGAAATAGAAGATCAGAAAGAGATGGAGCTTGAAGGGACCGAGGATACCAACGCTGCCCAGCATGATCATTCACCTCACAACACCCGAGAACAATCACCACAGATCGTTGCCTCTGACCCACGATGGCGCGCCCTTCTCAATAATCCGTTCAAGAGGCGACGCGGGTCTTTGCCCAAAGAAGTTGCCTCCGCCCAAGCTGGCGAGGAACAAGACGAGGAAGGTCGAAACTCTGATTCGTTTGATGATGACCATTCGCCACAGCCTGCTCAGCCACGGGGTAACAACAACTTCTTCTCCCTCAACCGAAAGAGGTATCCAGGTTCGGGAACGCAGAATGCAGACGCCCCTTTGCCTGTTACCGTCATCCCAGCTCGTCGTCGGGGCCAGCAACATACCTGGTCTCCGCAGAATCCCTTGCTGGAAATGCCAACGTCTCATGAGTCCCGACCCGGCCGCGCTGATTTGCCTGTAAGGATTATACCCTCTCAACCCCAGGCCTCTGCTCCCTGGACGGACAGGGATCTTGAGAACGGTGATGGAGATTACACTTTGCGTTATGATCCGGACGCCGCTGCATTGATCGATGAAGACGTGAGCCGCGCCCGTGATGAGCTTCCCGATATGGGTGACCAAGCCAGCTGGACAGAATCGACCGTTTCAGACGAGCGGAACGATACTCCCTCTGGTCTGGAGGGCTCCCAGCACTACGGTGACCACGACCACGACCGCAACCACGGCCACAACCACGCCCTCCCTCCCTCTTGATCTTGCATGAGTGGATTGTGTCTTTGGCTGGCATTTGTGCGGTGTTTCTTAGCGATTTAATACCTCATTCAGGACAGGTTGGACAGGCTTGGAGTTACAATATACCAGCATTCTATTGGGAAGATTTCATATAATCAACTTGGAAAGGTTTTCGGGTTGTGGACATTGGCCTTGGGTTTGATTTCTGGTTGATATAGTCACCATGTTATATACCCTGGAAAACATACATAATACTTTTGACACCTTTTGTTTCAGATCCTTCCCGTGCTCTTCTATGACTGGACGTTATTCGGCAGACTCCTCTCGAGTTTTGTCCTTTGAGCTGAGGAACATACGGGCCATAATGGCCATAAAGATGGAGATAACGCCTAGATGTGTTAGTAAGAACCAGATGAAGAGATGGAGATTGATAGCTTACTCAATGTCCAGCACATCGTATAGTATCCGAAACGCTCCGTTAGAGCTCCGGCGAGAATGGGACCCAGAGTCATGCCGCTGGTGGCGGCGACCTCGACCAGAGAAAAGACGCGAGAGAGACCTCCGCGAGGCCCAAAGATTCCTGGATTCTTTGCCTCCTCAGCTTTGACGACGCCTGTAGATGACTTGTTAGTACTGGATCTCTTCTATGAATGGATGATTGAAAGTCTCACAGGTCAATTCCACGGGCCCGATTCCCGAGACGAATGGCCGCAAGGTTCCGAATATGACGCAACAAAAGATATACAAAGCCTTGCCTCGACCGGCTGCGCTCGACCACTCGAACTGTTGGTTGCCAGCGAACCCCAGCAAGACGAGGAATACTCCCTGCAAAGCAAGAGCGATGGTAGCAGGAGTACGCGTCCCAATGCGATCACGAAGATATCCGGCAAGAGGACTGATGGGTAGACCTGGTAGAGCCAGGAAGAAGAACATCAACCCGACACGCGAGGGACCCCAGCCAAAGACATGCAGCACATGCAGCGGCAGCGTAGCGTTGAAGCTTGTATTCAGCGTCGGGCCCCAAACTCCGATCAGCAAAGCCGTCATCACACGGCTATTGCTTAGCATCGTCCGCCAGAAGTTCGCCGTCGGAGACTTGCCATCCTGATGATGGTCCTCTTCGCCCGAAGTTTCCAGTAGTGGATCAGTCTCTTGAGCATCTGCCAAAGTCTTCAGATCCTCTTTCTTCTCAACCATCAACAATCTCGCTACAATGTCAACCACCAAAATCACCACTGGCACACTCCACGTAAACCAATACCCAGCCATCTCCAAAATCAAACCGGAAACCATCGGCCCCGTAACCATAGCCGCATTCACAAAGGCCATGATGATCCCCATGGTAGTCCCAATCCTCTCCGGTCCAACCGTATCCGCCGCCGTTGCAAGGCCAACAATCCACGCTCCGGACCCCGAAATCCCCTGTAACACGCGCCCGCCGAAAAAGACACCCACGTCCGTGGTACAGGCTACCATGAACGTGCCCACGATACAACCCACTAGCGCTACGAGGAAGGGGATTTTGCGGTTGGGTGCTTTATCGGCTAGATGGCCGATGAGCGGGCCGCCGAAGGCGGAGACTAGACCGTGCAAAGCCAGCGAGATGGACGTCAGGCGTTGGGTTTGCTTGGGGTCTTGATGCATGCGCTCCTCCAGCATGTAGGGTAGCATAGGGACGAGGAAGCCATAGAGGAAGATTTCTGGAAAGAGGGTCCGAGGGTGGTTAGTTAAAAGTTGCTCTTGATAGAATGGATACGAGGCTATCATCTGGGTTTGGGGAGAGATGGAACGAACCGATGAATAGGGCTAGGGCGACGGTGGCTAGAATGAACCATTTCGCCGAACGCCATGTCCAGCGTGTGGCTCTGGTCTCCGAGTCTCGCATGGTTGTCCTTTTGCCTTAAGGTTGTACTTGGAGGGGTGTGGTGACCGACTATTTAACTATGCCGTGCTTTGCAGGATGAGTCACGCCGTAGATAGGTCGAGTAGAGCAGGGCTGTTGACGGTGTAATGCCGGCTATTATATTTCCAGAGAGATCTGCGATATGCGTTTATAGTTGGCGGGTGTAGTTCGACATCGATACCTCCCGCTCGTGTCTTTGAGGAAGATTGAAAATCTCGCTATTTTCGGGGTGTCGCGGGGGCGATGCAGAGCTAAGCTAGAGAGGATCCGCAGCCTCGGCCTTGCAGCTGCATTGGACTGCGTGGGGACTCTAGTGCATGTAACCTTGAGGGAGAAAGTAGAATTTACGAATATTGAGCTTACTAGTTGACGCCCAGGTAGTGAAAAGTGAGCAGTGAAAATTATGTCAAGTGTGAAACTTTGTATACTGGGATAGCCCATATGTCAAAGGAAGGGCAAAGATAGTGACTTCACCTTTGATACATCAGATTGCATAAGCTATCATTAACGCCCGATATCGCAGTATCTATGTGGATGCCCGTTAAACGATTCCATCAAGTGATATCCATAGCTTCTAGAGAGTTCTGTTGGGTATGCTTCTCCTCCATACCTCGTATAGTCGATAGGTGAGTAGTTCGGTCACCGCCTTTGTCAAGTCCCTGGTATTCAATCCGATAGAGCTCTAAAGCTCTAGTGCCAAATAGCGATGGCAAATGGAGAAATGCATAGATGGAGCTTTGGCCATTTATCCATCTAGTTACGATTCTTCAAAATGACTAGCCATATTTCACTAGAGAACCCTCTTCACCTAATAGCACGAGTGTCATTCGAGGATTCGCCCAATTCAAGTGGGGCGAGGCTCCGCCTTGCCGTTCGGGAACTTTTTGCTCCGGTCCATCTTCCCCCAGACTGGATTCATTCGAAAACGTCCCCCTCCCCGTGGATCTCCCCAGTCGATGCTGTGCCACGAGCCTGATGTCGCATCATGGCGGCTGTCAATCGGAACATGTTCGATGCCAGCATCGCGATGGACCGGCCTGGTGGGGCCTCACTGATGTTGCTTCCGCTTAACTTGATCGCCCAGATCGTGTCGAATGTCGGTTTCCCCAGTGTCTTAGTAATTGATGATCGCGTACCTGACTTGTCACCGCTGCTAGGTTGAGGATACCGGTGACACTGCGCGACTATGTCGGACATGTCGCGTGCTCAACTATATGGCCCTCCCCCAGCTCTACCGCAGCTTGACCCTCACCTCCTACGATAAAATCCGCTATCGCGGCGAGCAGCCCGAAGGAAGTGGGAGCGCAAGCCCATTTACTATGGGCCTCAACGCCGTGATTACGAGACCGTATGCGACTCTTGTGCGATCGATCACTCTGCGTGGCGATTGGAAGGAAACCGATCTCGAGGAACATGCGCAGGTCGGGCGGGTGCCCGACTCCTCGATGCTGTTGAACATTGCGGTGCGGGCGGCCGTCGATCGCATGACGAACCTTGAGAGCTTTAGCTGGGAGCTGAACACGAAAATGCTCGAAACTGTCTATATAGGTTTAACCAAACTACCCAACCTGACCTCATTAACGATTCGATTCCCCTCCACCCGTCACCCCCAACCGACATTCGTGCTTCCGGGCATGCCGAACTTGCGCTGCCTGAAGATTACCGACATCGATCCCTTGTGCTACCCGGATGACATCTCGACCATCCTCTTGAAAGGCAGTAAGCTACGCGAGCTGAAGCTTCACTGGTCGCCTCGTATGCGAATTGCGCAGGAACCCAGCGTATCCCTCAACGAATACTTCCGGAAATGCACCGCCGCAAAACAACCCCTCTCCGTCAAAAAGCTCTCTTTTCAAAATCTGTACGCCTTTCACAGCGAAGAGTTCAATGTCTCGTTCGATCCCGCAACCGTTGAAGATGTGACATTTTTGAATGGGTCGGATACCGTCGGCCTGATGAATACTTTCGTCGAGAATAGCTGGCCCACCTTTGTGCCCGATCGAAAGCTCAAGATCAAATCCATGAGGATGGACATTGTATCAAAGCGAAACTCCGAGTTTATAGGAAGCTTCAAGGGCCTGGAGAGATTATATTTTGTCAATGTCTTCGACAACTTCCCCGACTACCTCAATTCTCCGCGCCCAGGCATGGGTCCTGCCTGCGCCACTTTAACACCGCCGATCTCAGATTCTCCTCCTGTCAACGGAACGGTGGCAAACTCTCCGGCTACCGCGTCTTCTCCAGCTAGTCAGCTGAACATTGCACTCAGTGTGCGAGACAGCTATCTTGCAAATATCACCATAAACCACGGTGCAACCTTGCGCCATCTGCTACTTTGCTCAAAGTGGCCCCTCTCCACTTCCATGATCGCTCGCCTCGTTCATAGTTGCCCCAACCTCGAGCAACTGGCCCTCGCAACCGAATTTTCCAGCATGGACTCGCTTGGAATGCTGGTCCCGTTCCTCCGCAAGCTGGTCGCACTCCGACTTCTCATTCCTGCCGGTTCTCCGTCGCCACAGAGCGGTACGAACACCAACGCTCCATCATCAGCCACTAGTACCCACGCTGGAGACTCATTTCTCAAGTCGGCGGTCCCAAATGTGATAGCCAATCCACACTTGGTCGCCAAAACGAACTTGTACCAATTTCCCAAGAATATTGAAAACATCATCCTCAATGCGCGCAGTCTCGCAGACATTGTCGACCTGGATGACGAGTTGCTCATTGAGATGATGAGCTATGACCTGGCGGACCACCAGATCTTTGGCAACGTGAAGGTCGTGGGAATGGGCTGGAAAGCTTTCCAGCTGCGCGATCTTTACAAGACCCCCATCCCCTCACGCGCAAACCCCGAGAGCCAGTCACCTACCTCTGCAGTGGGGACTGCGACTGCAGAGGAGCAACCCAGACCACCGATTGGAATGAATGGTCATTCAGCCAGTACATCCGGTTCACGACACCGGACCACTCCCACACCTTCCAGATCTCCCGGTGCACCCTCGAACACCCCCGCCGCCAATATGCCCGCGTCTATGCTAGGAAAACGCACACGAGATGATGATTACGACACTACCTACCCAGCTGCCCCACCCGTTAATGAGACGGTTCCAATTTCCGATCACCCTTACCGCGATCCAAATCTGACGAATTGTGGAAACTTCCCGCCCGTTCTGACCAACGACGGATTCGTGTACAGACGGCACATGCGGCGGGTTGGCTGGGAATTCCTGAAGAATTGGGAAATTTGGGCACTGGATGCTCAAGAAATTTGAGAGTCAATTAGCCTCGAAAGAAACGATCCCGATTCTCGGCATTCCCGTTGCTCTTTGAACCGTCCTCTTGGCTCTTATGATACCTGCATCGTTTATACTTTGACATCATTAAGCGATATATGGAGTTTTTGAGTTTGCGGGGTCACTAGGCTGAGTTTGTGTTTTCATTTCGGGGGGTTCTGGATTTAGATGGCGTGAATTGGGTGGATGACAGCGGTCGATCCGCTTACTGACATAGCTGTAGATAATGACCGTGTGATTCTGTACCATTAGAATACAATATGTATACGGTTCTACCTTGGCCCCTGGCAAGAGCGTTTCTGCACGGTTCTATTTCCGGAAACTGGGCCCCACGGCAGGTGCCAAGCCCGGAGCGATCTGATTAGCATGGCCGCGTGGCCAGCTTGAAGGAGAATTAATGTTTTGAATCTTAGGGCAGCCTAGTTGGAGAAACTGCTGCCCACATTTGCAAGGATACGACCAACACGATGTGGGGTCGACATCCATATCACGTTCAATCTTGATTCTTCAAAAGAGGGCGGAAAGATCCATGAGGTTCCTGTACAGTATGTGGTCCAAAGAACCCAAATAAGCGACTAACAATCAGAAACTAGCAATAGCCCTCCTTTCAAAGCTTCTGAGATTGCTCAGCTCGAAGAGCTTCCTTCATCAAATGTGCTTAATGATTGTTGATGGGATAGGGGGAGAAAGAGAAAACACCGGATATAGGTTCAGCCGTACCAGACGTGAAACGGGACTTGACTCCGCAGGATCCTCATGGAAACGGTCAGGTCATTGGCTCCTCCTATTCATCGAAACGACTAGTGCGAATCTTAACCCACCTTGAGGTACCTGCAGAATGAATGAGAGATCTGGAGTCTTCGTCACCAACATCGGGCTTGGCTTCTTAGTCAATTGTCGGAATCAACTCCTTTCAACAAGGTCTGTTCCGCGTATCCATAATGCTCAAATTTCAAACTCAACCGTGGAGACTTCTGCCTAAAAGGGCTGAGAACGAATATGTTCTGGACGCGAGAATGACCCCGTCCATCATCGTTGGTGGCTGTGCTGCTCGAATTTCAAGCTTTCGATCGTTATCTGTGGAGATTTTGGGGTCGAGTCGCGTGGCTTTGACACTAATTGCTCTGCGCTACGGTAGCTTCAAGTTGACTAACAACCCTTCGATCATAACTATATCTGGATCTTTGGCTCTTCTTGGCACGCCTCAATCCCAATCAAACTTTCTCCCATGGTGGAGTGCATCTGAAGACGGGGTTCTTGGGACTTCCTTCTGTCCGGTCTGGCGTGGTCCGCCGCGTCATGATCTTGACGACGAGTATAGAGCAGTATCTCAGTATCATGTACTCCGTACTACTTATAGATGCAGGTCTCGATTTGAAAGAAGACCACAGCTCAACAAACTTTCACTCCTTTCTATACGATCCCCTTCTTGAGTCGCCATGCATTTCTCCGCTCTTTTGCTGCCTCTGGTAGCCTCTCTTGCATCGGCTGCTCCCAAAACCTCCAGCTCGAAAACCTCCAGCTCGGATAAACCGACTGTGACCCTTGACTACACCACCCTCCAAGCTGCTGGTGGTAACGAGACCCTGGGCTACTACAAGTACCAAAACATTCGTTTTGCGGCCGTGCCTACCGGCGATTTGCGATTCGCCAAGCCTGAATGGCCCTCGAAGGAGTCCGGAGTCAACAACGGCACGACCTATGCTACGGCCGACGTTGACTGTTCCTCGGAAGAGGACTGTCTGTACATGGATGTATGGGCCCCGGCTAATGCCTCGGGCAAGAAGCTGCCCGTCGTGGTCTGGACCTACGGTGGTGGCTTCACTGGTGGCTCCAAGTCTCAAAACACGCCCGAGGGTCTATTCGACTTGTCCACTGACTTTGTGTTTGTGGCCTTCAACTATCGTCTCGGTATCACTGGTATTGCCAACTCTGTGACCGCCGTTCACCAAGGTGCTACCGATAACGTTGCGCTGTATGATGTCGAGCATGCCTACAAGTGGGTGAAGAAGTACATCTCCAAGTTCGGTGGAAACCCCGATGACATTACTGCTTTCGGCTTCTCTGCCGGTGCTAGCATGCCGCTCTTCCAGATCACCCGCTATGGTGGACACAACGAGCAGCTCTTCAACAAGGCCTACATCACCTCCCCCGGCTTCGTGCCCGGTGCGGGCCATCACCAGGGCGAGATGTTCTGGCAGAACGTCTCGACTGCCGTTGGTTGCACTGGTGGCGATCTGACCTGCATGCGTGACGTTGCTTTTGCGAACCTCACCGACGCTGCCACCGATGTGTACGACGCTTACGGCTACCAATTCCAGCCTCGCGTCGACGGTGACTTTGTTGCCGATACTTACGAGTCGCAGCTCTACCAAGGCCGTTTCAACTGGGATGGTCCTCTAGTGATCACTCACGAACAGCATGAGAACAACGGCTCGCCAACCTCCGGTGTCGACACTACTGCCGAGGTTGAGGCCGAGCTCCGAGCCTTCTTCCCCGCTATCACGGATGATGTCGTTGCAGAAATCATGGAGGCCTTCCCCGAGTCTGATTATACTAGCCCCGGCTATCGCTTCGCAGACATGCGTCAGTCCTTTGATCTTACTTCTCACAACTACGCGCTTACCCGTGCCCTGAGCAACAATACTTGGAACGCTATGGTCGCCCTTGAGCAAGCTACCCATAGCACTGACCAGAGCTACTACTGTATGAGCAGTCACCTCGTTATTTTTTCCCACTAAAAAAAGTATATGGCTAACTTATATTCTAAACAGGGTACAGCACCTACTCCCTGTCTTCCAGCAGCTCCAACTCCGCTGATTCTGGCGCTGGAGTTGCTATCAGCAGCACTTCCTCTGTCAACTCTACTGTTGCTGTACGTATCAATAATCCGTCACGATCCCGGGTTCGGGCTAACATTTTCTTTTCATCCTATAGCGCAAGATGCAAAAGTACCTCCTCTCCTTTGTCCTTACGGGCAACCCCAACACCAAGTGGGCAGGCGACAAGACCTACTGGCCCAAGTATGGTAGCAATGCCACCGAACTCGTCTTCAATACCACCATGTATCTCCAGGAGGATGACCTTGCCAATGTTAAGAGCACCATCTTCAACAAGGCTCTGTGGTACTAAGCAGGGCCGGATGTTGAAGCATTGGGAATACTGTGAAATTACTGAACAGGCAAGGATGTGTTGGTCCAGAGCTTTTGTATGAATATATCTAGTTAATCTAGCACCCCATTGAGTACAATAACACTTTTGTGATTTTCACATTTCTGAGTGCTACCAAGGAGTCCTTTCAGAAAGGGTGACATTAACGACGCGACAGAAAAGTTCATGGCACGACAAGGCTGATTCGGAATACCTGGTCAAACTGAGGTTGCAATTTATCCACGCTTGCACCGTTCTTCCCAAACTGAAATTATGTAAATGTCTTTTGCAAGGCGAGTAACGCTTATCTTGCTGGCAACGGCAACTCCCACACGAGGGGTTCTAAGGAAAGGAATGGCCCGGTAATTATGTACAGGTTCGTCACCGAAGCGAGTGTTAACATGAGTTATATGTTTTGGCCAGGCCTTTTATATTGATAAGTATAATAGTAGACTGATTGTGGTCTTTCCATGTACGAGGATTTGCATAAAACTTTAATGGAGGAAGTGAACAAAACACTCTGACTTGAGATAGTGATATTTGCGACATTTACTTGACACTTGCTTTGACTAACGGAATACAGAAATCCTTCCTCAATTTAGCCTTACTATCACAAATGACATTACCTCAAGAGTTAAGACTGCCGTGTTTCACCATGGGTGACTCTGCGGCCGAGTTCCTCGGCCACGTAATTGAAGGAAAATCACCCAGCTGCCTGTTCAGCTCATCTCAAACTCCGACGAGAAGTCTAGGCAAAGGGTGAGCCACCGTTTCCACCGTTTCCACCGTTTCCACCGTTTCCACCAGGGCTACCCGTGTTTCCTGGGCCAGAAGAGCTTCCAGAAGTGGTTCCGGGGCTTCCAGAACTTCCAGAGCCCCCGGAGACATCGTCAGTGCCACCTCCAGACTCAGCCACACCACCGCTGGCGGTATAGACGAAGCTATAGGTTGGGTCGTAGGTGGCAGAAGTGTCAATAGCAACGGTAGCCCAACCAAGCAGGCCATCGCTCAGATCATCACCGAGCCAGACGTAGTTCAGAACCGGGTCCGAAGTAGTATCGGCGGTCTCATCAGAGAAGACGCGGTCTTCGGCGTTGGTGGTGAGAGTGATGGTGTTGGTACTGTACGGAGAAGTGGCCTCAACTTGGGTGATGAGGCTCTGGTCCCAGAAGAGTTGGCCGATGTGCGGGACGGTGCCACCGGTGATAGTTCCATTGGACAAGACAGTGACGTCCAAGTGGGCGACGATGTGGTGATGGGTAGTACGTCCGGAGTAGTGGCCGGGGAAGAGGGTATCGAAGGTCACCACTCCATCACTATCAGTGGGCTGAATACCACGCAAGAAGGTAGCGTCGATGTTGGAGGTATCAGCAGTATTGCCATTGCCCGTAGCGACAACGCCAGAGTAGACACCCGTGGCATTGCAGTTCCAGATATCGGCATACAGATTCTCGATACCCTCGCAGGTATTGACATCGACAAACTGGACATCGAAAATGACCGGCACGCCGTCCTGGCCCTCGCTGAGTTCGGAGCGAACCAATTCGCCCTTGACGTAGTAAGGACCGACTTCACCCTGGGGGTTCAGCACACAGGTCGAGCTGCTGCTGAACAACGAATCCGCCGAAGTGCTGGCAGTAATGCTCGAGTTGGTCGACAAATGAGACTTGGCGAGGACATCGGAGGTATCGCGGCCACTCAGACGACGACGGTGCAGATCGTACAGGCTACGACGACGAGCCTCGGCACGAGCATTCAGTCCGTTGGCTTCGAATCGCTTGGCGCATCTCTCAAGACCACGACGAGTATGCTTCCGGAACTCGCGCTTCATGATTTCAGCCCGGGCATCGTGCTTCTCGTGTTCGCCTGGGTGAGCCAATGCGAAGGGAATGGTCATGCCGACAAGGCAGACATTCCACAGAGCAGTGAATCGCATTTTGAAGTGGTTTCAAAGTTCTTTTTTCTTTTCAAAGAAGATAATGTAGAGTTCGCTTTGCTGAAGAATGCTTTGGTGAATAGTCATTGTTCTTGCAGCCATCGAGATCCCTTTTATACTTCTTTTCGCCTGATCCCAGGATGGTTGTGTCTTCGGGTTGATTCAAGTCACCAATTCGTCACGCAAGGATATATCGATCGCCATTTGGGAATGACGAAGTCCGTCTCCCCCGGTTATGCTGCTGCTGCGTAAATTCCCGTTTGTGATTGGCTTGGGGATATTCAGAACTGCCAAGACGAAACAGGCCAAGCACTCGCCAAGCAGGCTAAGAGGTCGGCCACGCAACCCCGGATTTCGACCTTGCCCATTCCGCTGCGGGGGTGATAAATATTCATCCACCAGGGTGAATGTGGAACTTCGGTGGTGGATATTGAGAAATCATGATAGGCTCCAGATGCAGCCACTCTACACCGACGAGAATATCATGAGTAAAGATCGACATGAGCTAAAGCGATGGCCTGGGTCTCCGCTTTTGCTCAAAGGTATACGAGAAAGAAAACGGCTGTAGATGTCAAGCTTTGAACAGGTTCTTTCACCCATTACTGATACACTTTGTGATCAGCTTTTCTCGCTTATGGCCGTTGCTAGCAATAACTTTTAGTATACTATAGAGGCTATACGCGGTCGATGGAGTTTCGGGTACAAACGAATCCCAGATTGAGGAAGCATCAATATGAAACTATGTATACGTCTATGCCAAGGAGAGAACGGACAAATCATCAGCGCAAAATTACTCATGTCGGGGGTGCGAAAGGTGGCGTTGGCTAAAGCCTCTTACCTGACATGCATATTGCCGACGAGTATTGCACACGCAGGTACAAGGTCCCCATGTCGATCATGTGTGCGTATCGCTTCTGGAACGGACACACCTCTGATCGACTGCCTATGTCGCCGAAAATTCACACCCATCTAATGAAAGCCCTGAGACGCGTCAGCGGCAACGGAGAAATACCGTGGCGGGAATACCAGGCGGGCTCGGGAAATCCGCGGGAGTTTATGCATGGTTCGCCGGCGCTAGCTATTTGTTGCATGAAGAAGTATAGCCTTGCCCCACCATTGAACTACCTTGAAGCACCCAGCGGGTCTGGTTCAATATCACCAGGCATATTCAGACCTCGGAACACGTCCTCTCCGCTGACTCAACAATCTTTCCCTGCTCATAATGCATGGAATACCTTGATGTCTATTGAGGGAATATCGAGGACCGTCTTATCTTGGCAAAGTAAGTGAACGAGCTAGTGAGGGATCAGCGTAGGTTGATACTCTAATTTTTGTGGAGTAGTTACAGCCATTCGAGTGCCACATCCTATACTGACCTGTCTTTAATTCCAAGGAAACTGCCATATTGTAGTGAACTTCCGACAAGTCCTATGCTCGGATCGCAATGAGTTAGGTTGATTGGCGCTATTTTGTTTGATTCTGGCTCCAAAACAAAAAAAAAAAAAAAAAAAAAAAAAAAAAAAACGAGAAACGTAGATTACAGCTTCTTCAGGGATGATTATTTCCGTCTAAGGTTACCACTCTTCTGTCATTGAGTTCTACAAACAATATGATGACACCCTTCAAGAGCAGCATTAAATGTTCACATTTTAATTAGTCTCTCTGTTGCCACTGGTAACGGGAATTGACTCCTCGTTTCAATCATTCTTGGCATATATTTAGAGATGAAGAGGGCGTGGAAACAAAACGGGTAGATCCACAAATCAGAAACACATGCTTGGATTCGTGATACTCGGTAAAATGTGCTAGGTCAACTCATCAGGGCCAGGCCCAGTTTGAACTTTGGCCTGGAAGACATATTCGACATTTCTACAAAACCCTCTTCTTCTTGCAGATCATCGTGTCTGATAATCAATATTTTAAAATTGAACAATTTGCTTGACAAAGTCCATGTCGGCGACAACTTGACATCTCCCGTAGGAGGGAGTCAGAGGAGCTGGAAGCTTATAATACCTGATAGAGATATTTTGAACGCCTCAATGGTTGAGATATCTTTCCTAAGAAGCTCCGAGTGTGTCATATTCCGAACGCATACGAGAATTCTGTCGTCTATCAAGTCTATCAATATCTAAGTATCCGGCTTTGCGCCGTATGTAGTTATATTGCATCTATTCTGCCGGTCACTATTTTCTGCAGTCCGTGTAGGCTATGCAGCGGCCAAGTTTAGCAATATAGCCGCCAACGGCTGGTTCAGAGGCTTGCAGCTGCAGGCCATCCGGCGAATATTCCATGTAGGGAAGACATCCGCTCACGAGGCTGTGCTTGCAGGGCGGCCCCGCTCCCCCTCTGCTGAAAATGATCAATAACCCAGGTATCCATTCAGCCAAGTTGAGTTAGGTGTTGGCAGATAATGGCCGTTTACCCGGCGAAGTGGGGTCGAAATCCAGCACACAAGATCATCACGAATGATACAATGTCTCTCATCTGCAGATGACCTGCGCATGGACAATCCTATTGGGGGTTGAAATCAATGCGTTGGGGGACGCACGTCAACTGTTTGGTAATCGGCATGAATGCCGATTCTCGATCATGGGTCACTGTCTGTTCCCCTTTGCTTTCCAAGTTCTCTGCAGCTTACTAGACGGCGACTTTCTCACCAAATTTCTCTCTTCCTTCTTAAAATATTCCGCCGCTGTTATCACGATCAAACATCACCCTGACCTTGACTATAGAGGTTTGCATCGGCTCGCCTCCGTTTGAATAATTACGAATATGGCTACCTTAACTGCGACCGGGACCTCCGTATCACTAAATAATTCCACTTTCAGGTAGGCTTTCCACCTTGGTCCTGGGTTAGACGCAAGCTCAACAACTGGGACAGACTCGCAGGGCCTTACGGGGACTGGCGTGACGATCTGCAATCTCAAGGATATGCCGTTGTAAAGAATGCCATCGCTCCCGAAAAAGCCAAGTACTATCAACAAAAAGCACTGGACTGGCTCACGTCATTCAATACTCCCTTAGATTTGAATGATCCATCAACATGGACAGTTGAAAACCTGCCGTTTCAAAGCAAAGTAAACACCTTCAATAAGTATGGTGTCGCTCACGAAAAGTTCATGTGGGAGGCACGTATGGAACCCAAAGTTCTAGACGCCTTTTCTAAGATTTGGGGAACTAATAAGCTACTGGTCTCTTTCGATGCCTTGAATGTCACTTTACCAAACAGGGTGGACAAACCCGCCCAGAAGCCATGGCCACATGTGGATCAGTCACCTCTACGTCGGGGTCTTCATTGTATTCAAGGCATTATCAACTTGAGCCATGCCGGTCCCGAAGACGGATCTCTCATCGTGCTTCCGCGGTCCAACACGATCACTGAACACTTTTTCGATACTCAGACTGACTCATTGAGTTGGGATGAACAGGATCTTCGATTGATTAGTGAGGATGAAATAAAATGGTTCCAAGCGCACGATATGAAGCCCACAAAAGTGATGGCCGAGCCTGGCGACTTGATTCTATGGGACTCACGTACCGTCCATTGGGGCGGGGAGCCCAGTTCTAAAAGCAACACGATTCGAACTGTTATTTATGCATCGTACTCGCCAGCGCATTGGGCGACAAAAGAGGCACTTGCGCGAAAGAAAGACGCGTTCGAAGCGTTTCAAGCAACGACGCACTGGGCTCACGATAATATCGTGCCTCGTGAGAAAGAAGCTTTTCTCCCCGATGGGAGTCTGGATTCCCGCAATCGGTCCAGGCCTCTCGAGGAACCAGAACATACCGAGCGTTTGCTCCGGCTTGCAGGGGTTAAGCCATATTAATTTCAAGTGCCGAGGCCGAAAGCGCACAGGGCTCTTAGATGAATGCATAAAAAGTTGTATTGTGTTGAGTATCCAGTAGTTACTTTCCGCCATTATGACGTGAGCAAATTGTGAGCTATCACAATCTCGTCTACGGCCGTACGCGAGGTTCTTTTGTACGCTAGCACGTTCCGAGTCCAAAGTAGCCAATCATCTCTTCACTTTAGACCTAGGCTTACGAGCCCCACAAGTCAAAGGCATTCAACACGGAAACAATCTGATTGTCGAATGTCCGAGTCCATCACGTGAGACCATTTCAAACATCCACTTTCTTTTGGCTGTGAAGAACTCTTTATTATAGCGAACGAGGTTCTCATATTTATGTAAGCTTAATTAGAGGTAATTTATCCTATAAAAGACGACCCTAGCCTAGTGAAGTGCAAGTCCCGTCTTGGTTATCTGCCATTTACCGTCGTCCTTATGTATTCGCTACTTATATGATACAAATGAGATACTTACAGTATCTTGGTTTCATGGCGGGCTGATTCAGATCCATCGATGGTCTAAGCGGAGCCCCGCTATGTTTAAGCTAACAGCGCCGTCCCCCCCCTGACCTTTCTCTCACTCCAATGCCAATCGGACGCTCAAATTTACGATCGCATTGGCGCCGAAAACTCCAGTTCTAGCCTACGAAAGCAAGCGGTCGCAATCATGGGCGAAAACGAGAATGATATTGCGGTGGTAAGTGGTGCGCAGTCGTACTACCTGGTAGAGCTATTCTCACCTCCCGCTCAGGACCCCTACTTCTACTCGATGAAGGGTAACGACGAACCGGATGACTTTCGGTCGTGAGTGTTTCACAAGTTCATCCGGTGTTGCATAGGGTTCTCACTTTGTCAATAGGGAGACTACCTCAATCGCATCGACAATCGCAAGGGGCCGCTTGGAAAATGGCCGGAGGTCAGCGCCTTCCAGCCGAGGCTTACTATATCGACTAACGGGCAGCACAGATATCAAGCGACCAAAGAAGATAGCTATTGGTCGGTCTCGGCGTCTTTATATTCAAGACTAATCGATTAACAATGCGTAGGGGCCCCTCGGATGAGCAGCAATTCGAGGCATTCGAGATTAGGTGAGTTTTGTCCTTGGTGCCATCTTCTCATATCTTCCTTACTGGAAGGCGCGATGGAATATTGACATAGTAAGCCATATCTTGTTCCTCGTGCTGGATCACAACCAACCGAATCCTCTTTTCCGTGCTCCTATAGGTGATTCGCCCAAGGTAAACTTAACATGATCCGATCTTCTCTACTGGCAACCCACTGATCGGCTGGAATAGCATATTCTTGACATTGGAACTGGAAAGGGTAGCTGGGCAATGTAAGTCAATGAAATTGTGTATGAAGAAAGTCGCTAATAATCGCATAGTGACGTTGCGGACATGTATCCGTCGGGTATGGGAATTCTTGTCACGACGTCGTTCTATGGTGAGATGAAGAGACTAACGCATGGCAGCTATCGTCCGCGGGGTGGATCTTTTCCCTCCTCCTGTGACCTGGATGCCTCCCAATTGTGTCTTCGAAGTGGACGACGTCCTCCGAGAGTGGACCTGGAGAGAGCCATTTGACTTTATTCATTTGCGTATGATGTATGGAAGCTTCGACGATGAGGGATGGAACCTGGTGTATAAGCAGGCCTACGAGTGAGTATTAGCCATTGCCGCTTGACCCTCACGAATGTGAGATAAGAGGTCTCATATTCTTCCCTTTCAGCGCCCTGGAGCCAGGTGGATGGATCGAGCAAACGGAGATGGATATCAGGGTTCGCAGCGACGACGGTACTCTGAAAGAGGATAGTCTTCTGGCTGGTTGGGGTGACCTCTTCCTGAAGTGTTCCGAAAAAGCCGGTCGGTCGCTCAGAACCCAGGAAACGATGCGCGGCGCAATGGAAGCAGCCGGCTTTGTGGATGCACACGACGATCTGTTTAAGATCCCTCTAGGCCCTTGGGCCAAGGACAAGCTCCTTAAAGAGGCCGGTCAACTCCAGTATGCTCACTGGAGCGCTGCTATCGAGGGCTGGGCAATGTGGCTTCTTACTAAATTTGGAGATCCTGAGCCATGGACTCCAGAGGAGGTACAGATCTATCTGGCCAAAGTGCGCGCAGAATTGAAGGATCCACACGTGCATCGCTGGGGATATTGGTGAGTTTTTTTTGGAGTTTGTTTTCCTATATGAAATATTACTGGGCTCTTTCATTTGCTAACGAATCCAGTCGCCGTGTGTGGGCGAGAAAGCCTACTTTAGAGGAATTGATGGCAAAGCCTCCGAAGGCGGAGGAGACAAATATCAAGAAGGAGCGATTACCATAAAAATGAATCGCTTCCTCCAGATCATCAGGTATGAGCCAAAACTGCGATCGTTGATATTCTGCAGTGTAACATTCTGCAGGGTAACGTTGACCGTATGAAGTACTTTACTTCCAGTGTAGCTTATTGAGATCTAGCTATGATTCAAGTGGCCATACAGAGGCAGATTTTCTTTAGGTCAAGATCTATTTAGTTGATATCCAGATAATCAATGATTATGCGAGATCTAGCCTTCATAGCCTACGTAGGCCCTTGAAAGCTTCTCACGAACCCACTAAAACGGTCTTTATTAGTAAGGGTTATGGCATTCTCGAATTCTGTCACTTACATCACCAGCTTTGAATGGGGGTCTACAAGGTGGGTTCTCGCTTGATGTATATTTGTCCAAAACGGAGACTGTAGCATCGTAGTCAACGCCAAAGAAGAAAGGGATCGAATACCGTTCTTCTCCCGACAGATTGTTGACACGGTGAATGGTTGACTTGAAAGTTTTGTTTGTCCTTTGAAAGTTAGTCCACTCGGATGTCAGTGCTTACTATTTAAACTTACCAAGTAGACAAGCAGTCGGCAATGTTGACAACTAGTGTCCCTGGGATAGGAGGTGCCATAATCCAGTCACCCTTGTGGTTGAGAATTTCTAGACCGGGGACTTTGCCTTGAGAAAGAATTGTAAAACATTCCCAGTCCTACGTCTGATAATGAGCCATCAACGAATGAGGATAAAAATTCAAACATTAGCTCACCGTGTGTGCTCCAAGGCCTTCCTGCACTTCCCCGAGTACTGGCTGAGCCGGGTAATGCATCATTCTTGAAGTAACTCCCGGTGTCTGGATGCTGGAATTGAAGTATGTTTCCGGCAAGCCAAGTGCGAGAGCAAATATCTTCATCATCTTGCGGCAAAGATCCAGAGCTGAAATGCAGTATTGGACGTAAGTCTGTGAGAATCCGGCAATTGTCTCCTCGTCTGGCCACTGGTTGTCTCCGTAGAGTCCATATGGATCTAGAGGAAGGCCAGCATCTTTAGATTTGCTGGAGTCCATAATAACTTCGTAGCCGATGTCAAATGCCTCTGAGAGAACGCCCACTGCTTCATCCTCTGGCACGGGATCGTCTTCAGTGCCCGTGGACTTCTCGCCACCTATCGGACTGTATCCGCGGAATTTCTAATGGAAGGTTAGCTTGCAAATACATCTCTGGACCCAGTTGAATGGCGAAAGCCGGTAACCTGTGAGTTGCCTATGTAGTATTTCATCTTCTCCTCCTCGGGAAGGCCGAAGAAACGTGCTGCCGCATTGTGGATCCCATTCACCAGCTCCTCGGGGATTCCGTGATTCTGAACGTGCGAGAGAAAGATGAGTACTTGAAGTCACTGATATCTAGCGAAACATATGTAGTAATGTTTCGTATTCTCATACCTTGATATAGAAGAACCCAACCTGCGTGCAAGCATCGAAAATTGTCCGAGCAAGCTTCTGGCGCTCCTCGAGAGATACGCTGTCTATGCTCGATAAATCGATGACTGGGATATGGTCGCAGTTCGCAAGCTGCGAAGAATCGGCCTGCTGGCTCATGATGCTTTCTGGCCGTGTCAGAAGTCGAGAAAAAGTTCGTCGTGAATGAATTGCCTATCGAGCGGGGGAAATCGTGGTCGTGTTTGTTGCTCGGCCGAGGAAATCTTATCTCCCGCCGCGCGCACCCCTCATATCTCCGCATCGTTTACTTCTTCCGATCTGAGCATTAGTTGACGCCTCCGTTCACTGAACGAGTTGTGGGTTCCGAAGGCGATATTACATTGCCAGGGGACGAGTATGCTCAGATGTACTAGAAGAAGAATTGCATAGCCTAATTCTAGCATAACAAGATGACTTGATAATACATATTGAATTGAAAAACTTGGGGTTAAGCATACTGGTAGCGAAGAGGGTCATACTGAAGTGGCCAAGGTCTCCTTGCAAGGATACGGCAGTTTTTTTCTGGTGGAAGATCACATAGTGGACCTTCACTCACCAGCAAGAGGCACCAAGCAATTCCTGATTTGTGATCGACGGACTCGGAATTAGTTCAGCACTAATGACTCCATAGAAGGGTTCAGGGGCTTGCTTTGTGCCTTGGAACGTTCAGTTGTACCATGGGGAAAAAGCTTTCCCTGATGGGTTTAAGATTGTCGCACAGAAGCACCTTGACTTAAATTCTTCCTTCTCTAGTCCTTGGAGACTTTGTATGTCAGAAAGGTGCTCGGAATCGACCAGACTATTGTCGCGGGTGGCAAAAAGGGGGAATATGGAAAAATCAGCCGGTCTCAATGAGTACATAGTGGTCATTGATTTTAGCTTTTTTTTTTTTTTTTTTTCAATATGCTCCTCCAGTATACTTCGTACTGTGCTTGTGTTTAGTCGATAACCATGAATCGAGTTTAAGCGGTAGAGATGTTGAGGATTGAATTTCACATTCAATCAATGGAACCAAATACATGTAGGAGGGTTTCAGGGTCTGATAGGCAAATTAACTTTTTTTTCCTTTCCGATGGCCTACGTGAGCCGGGATTCGATAACGGCTTCGAGGGCCCCAGCGGAACCGAAAGAAAGCAGAAACAAGCCTGGGCCAGTGATGGATCTGAAACTGGTCCAGGGGAAAGAACTCCACACGTCGACGTGTACTTTTCTGCTGCGCCAGAGGGACCCAGCCCCTTGACCGCCCAATCAAATGGCCCCAATTGCCGTCACCGCCCCCTCCACGAGCGCCGATCCGTCTTCGTGCCCCTAAATGTGAAATCGTCCTCTCCTGGCCCCCGTTCGACTTTTTTAACTTGTTCCAACCACCTCTCCCACAAACTACTCACCCATAGTCACTCTTTTGATCGGGTCTTACCTTTCACACAATCATGGCAAACGGTCGCTCTTCTCAGGATGAACGCAAGCTCGAGGGTGGTGCTGCTCCCGCGCCCGCTCCGAGCACCGGCCTGCACCCGGCTTTCTACATTGCGTTCGTCGTCACCGTCAAGACCCTCTTTTGGGGGGGGGGTCCCTCGCTTTCTCTCCGAATCAATAGCTAATATGCCCTCAGTCTGTGGATTGCCCTGAGTTCTAGCGTCATTCTGTTCAACAAGTGGGTTCTTTCTACTGCCAAGTTCAGTGAGTGCATCCCCTATCATATTGGTCTCAAGCCAAATGTCAGCCGTCGACAAGTTGCTAATTTACTCTGCTTCCAGACTTCCGTAAGTGCCCCGAGTCCTCTTGACATGCAATCGAATTCGGCCCTGCTCCTGCATATCGACGCTCAATAACTAATACCCGACGCAGCGCTCTTCCTGACGACATGGCACATGATCTTTGCGACTGCCATGACCCAGGGTCTGGCCAAGTTCACCACCATCCTGGACTCTCGCCACAAGGTTCCCATGAACCCCAGCACCTATGCGTGAGTATTTCACCACGAATTACGTCTGCGATTGCTCTTCATAGATCCCCGCTTACCGTGCGATCCCTGAATAGTCGCGCTATCGTCCCCATCGGTATCATGTTCAGCTTGTCTCTCATCTGCGGTAACCTGGCCTATCTCTACCTCAGTGTTTCTTTCATCCAGATGTTGAAGGTAAGCGCAAGAACCCTCAGCCATATTATCCCGTCGAGCGTAAACTAAAAATTGATCATACAGGCCACCAACGCCGTCGTGACTCTTTTCGCTACCTGGGCCTTTGGAATTGCTCCCGCCAACTTCAAGACCCTGGGCAACGTTGCTATCATCGTCCTCGGTGTTGTCATTGCTTCCTTCGGTGAGATCAAGTTCAACATGCTTGGTTTCCTGATCCAGTGTGGTGGTATCGTGTTCGAGGCTCTGCGCCTCGTCATGGTCCAGCGCCTGCTCAGCTCCGCTGAGTTCAAGATGGACCCTCTCGTCTCCCTGTACTACTACGCTCCCGCCTGCGCCGTCACCAACGGCATCGTTACTCTCTTCACCGATGTTCCCCGTATGACTATGAACGACATTTACTCTCTTGGTATCATGACTCTGATTGCCAACGCGCTGGTTGCTTTCCTTCTTAACGCCTCCGTTGTTCTTTTGGTACGATTCGTTCCCTTTGTTTTCCATCGGTACCTCTCGCTAACTGTCCCATAGATTGGCAAGACTTCGGCCGTCGTCCTGACCATGGCTGGTATCCTCAAGGATATCCTTCTGGTCTGCGCCTCGATGATGATCTTCCGTGACCCCGTCACTCCCCAGCAGTTCTTCGGTTACTCTATTGCCCTGGCTGGCCTTGTTTACTACAAGCTGGGTGCCGAGAAGCTCCAGGCCCTGAGCACCGATGTGCGCCTGCAGGTCGGCGAGTACCGCCGGGCCAACCCGGCCAAGGCCAAGGGCATTGCTGTCGGTGTCGTTGCCACCATTGTCCTGCTGGTCCTGTACACTGGAGCTCCGTCTTCCGCTCGTCTGACCAACTAATGGCTACCCGATTGAATTCTCCTGCGATTCGCAAGAAGGTGAACTTGCCGAATACGCACCACAATAGCTTCTCTATTGTTTTTCTTGCTCGAGTCGCCGTGGGTCTCACCGAAGCTGGCTCTACTTATTCTAACTGTCTTTGATAGAAGGGAATGCTTCGTTTTCTTTGCTGGAGGCATGCATGTACATTTGGAGGGGTATAGATGACTGTCCGTGGGTTTCAAGGCGAACACAAATTTCTGTTCAGGCTATGTCTTTGTTCTAATGATTGTGTTTCATTTGCCTGACGGCCTTGAGATTACCAATGGATACCACTGAAAGTAAACACGTCCTAGAACTCGAAAAAATTCTAAGAATTGCAAATGTGCCCGCGAAAATAGAAAAGGCAACTCGGTATTCCGGAGCATCTTTAGCCTGAACAGAGCACTTCCATAAAGTTGGGCGAGGCAGATTCGTTTGAATTTGACGTCTGTCTTCTCGAGCTGCAATGCTATATTGTCCTTCTTGGAGAAGAATGGATCTGGCTCGATTATCAACCACGCATCCATCGCTGGGATGTGAGATTTGGGCAAGCCTCAAGTGGCCTACGCATGCGCAAAAGCGGCAGTAATCCACATTCCGAGGGTCACTGGCACTATATACGCTGGCAAGAATATCAGAGTAAACTTGGTTTTGCCAGGTATGATTTACACACCGCTGCTGAACGTGCCAGGCAACAGTAATTCTGCAGAAGAATCGTGACAAGAAGATCACCAGGCATCATGTGCCCCAAGGCGGTATGGAAGATGCATTTGATGTAGCTAACTGTGTCATTCCCTGCAAGCGGCGTATCACGATAAATTACGGGTCAAAATTTGGTAGTGGACGGGGGACTGAGGGGTCTCCCCAGGTGCGATCATCCAAGTTTTCGCAGCTGTGCATCCACCATTGCTTACTTCAATCTTGAATTCGAAGATGCTTGGCAAGAAGTGAGTATCGTCTCTATTGATGTGCCCCGCTCAATCCCATGTAGAAGTTCATTCGAATGGGTGATGGGAATTTCTGACACAATCTTTGCGTCAGCGTCAAATTAAGTAATCCCACATTGTTATTTTCGGGTGGGCCTGTTTATGGGGCTTGCCGGCAAACTTGTCAGCCCCAGACTGGGTGGCGAACCAGGGGTCTCTAACGCCACACACTTCACTACAGCGGGCCATCCTGTTTTTCACGCTGATTGTTTGCTCCTGTCTACTCTTTAGTAGTATTAGAATGAAGCTTTAATACAAAATTCATACTTCATCGCCAGAAATTACGACGTCATCTGTTGTCTCTATGTGCAGATCATCACATTATATATAGTCGGGGTTTGATGCGGAATTTGTTACTACATCAACACAGCCATCAATTTCGATTGTTAACTCACTCTCCAACCTCACACACTCAACCATCAAGATGAGCAATTTCGTCAAAAAAGTTGAAGATGCCCTCACAGGCAATCACCACAATTCCGCTAGCTCTACAAACCATGGCCCTCACAGCTCTAACCTAGCGAATAAGCTCGACCCTCGCGTCGACAGCGACCACGGTAAGATACTCATGCAATGGGAGGCCTTTTGAGTCTCATGAGGATATGCTCATTATTGAATGCAGATAACCGCGCTCGTCACCAGGCCATGGGAGGCACTGCTGGTCCGCATGCTACCAATGTCGCCAACAAGGTCGACCCCCTCGTTGACAGCGATTTGGGTTCGTATCTCTCAGCGACGACATAGTTGTCTTGATGTTCATACATTGACTCGTTTAGATAACCGAGGCACCCACGCCAGCGATGTGGGTGGCTACGGCGCCGGAACGATGGGCACCCATGACCGGACTACCGCACCCCATACTTCCAATGTCGCCAATACGCTCGACCCTCGTGTTGATTCCAGTGTGGGCAACCAGCCTCATTACGGTCACACAGGAACTGCCGGCGGTCTGAACACCGGATCGACTACCACCACTGGCCCTCACAGCTCCAACATTGCCAATAAGCTGGACCCTCGCGTCGACTCTGATATGGACAACCGGGCTCGCCATAACGCCATGGCAGGAAGCAGCTACGGGAACCCGCAATCCGGTGCGACTGCGGGCCCTCATTCCAGCAACATTGCCAACAAGTTGGATCCCCGTGTGGACTCTGATCTTGATAACCGAAACACCGGATATCAGCGCACTATTTAAATTGGCGGGCATGCTTTTCTTTGCGACACCAATGATGTACTTAATTTGTTGCTTTAGATGACGTTACGATATTTCCAGGCGATGAATCCTCTCCTCTCGCTTTGTGGCTACTCAATGAACTCAATTCACCCAAGTTAAGCCATATTCCTGATATTGCACTACTTCGTGCATCGCGGTAGACCTTGATTCAACGCAGGCCAAAAGACCGTAAGGTAGGAAACCAAGCTTCGATCATTATTAAAATCAATATGCCTCGTACGTGGCGGCTAAAGTCAGATCTAAAATAGTTGGAACGATGATAATACAGATTGAAAATTGCTAGAAATGATCCTTTTTAGATGTGCCTGGCTTTCATGAGCCCAGAGACTCTAAAATACCCCATCTGTAAAATCGATTACTTGTGCCTTTTCAATCACCCCATTGAGGCTTTGCACAAAAGCTTTGTGCGTTGGGTCTTCCTTGACATAATAGTCTCGATCCGCTGCACTGGCAAATTCAACAACAAAAGCATGCGTGATACCATTCTTGGAATCATCGATCAGTCCGATCATTCGGAAAGGGCAGAATGTTGACGGTTTCATTTGTGGGACTCGGCTAACTCACTTGAATCCCTTCGATTGAATTATCAAGCCCCCCCGAGGACGCCTTGATGTAAGGCTTGTTGGATGTTGGATGAATGCAATTTTCTTTCAAACCAATCATCCGATTGCATGTCTTCATAGATTAGCAAATGATTAGCTTCAGAACCCCATGTAAAGATAGTGGGCTTCAATATCGTACGTCCTTGACAACTTGAGCGTCTATACCAGATTTGAACTGGAACAGAACAATGTGTGTGATTGACATAATATTTTTCGACAAAAGGGGAGATAATAAGAAATCGATTGGCAGCAAGGAGGGGCTTTCCAGTTTCTTTCACAGATGTTGGGACTGTGGACGCGGGGCTGATAGTCCGACCGACGAGTCCACGTGATGCCGACATCTCGACCATACTTGGTCCATGACTCTATTTCAGCGACTAACTACAAAAATGAAAATCATTCTCAAAGGTATTCTGGCCCCAGACGATGCCCGCTTTGCGGTGGACTATGGTGTTGACGCTACCATTGTTTCTAATCATGGTGGGCGACAACTGGGTTGCGTGCCTTCTATCATGCAAGCATTGCCTGGTGTAATGAAGGCTGTAGGTGGCACTCAGACTGTCTGTAAATGGGCAACTGAGCAAAGTTTCAATGGACTGATATCTTGTATCTAGTATGCGATTCGCTAACATTGAAGCAAAATCACGCGCTTTCTATCTCAGAGGTCATCTCACTGAGCCAGTCAGCGTACGAGCAGTAGCGCGTACACCAAGGATAGCTGACGGACCATTAAATATCGCAAGAAAAAACGAGACGTGAATGGAATGGTAGTTATTTGCTCAACTGCGATCGGGGAAATTGCTGCTGTTGCTACCGCTGCTGCTGCGGCTATCTTGAGGCGAGTCTTCCCTTCCATCTTGCCAGCTGGAGCAGTTCACGCAGCGTTTTGCCTGGAATCGGGTTAATGGTTCTGTGAGTGGCATTCATTACCAATAAAAGTCTTACCTCGATACTGATAAACTTCCTGCAATATCTGCATCGAGTAGTAGGTTTGATGATTTTGTCGTGGGAGACGAACATGTACAAGTGCGCGACCGCGAACAAAGTCAAGCTGACACCGGCAAAATTGAGAATATTCTCGACAAACATTCTATACAGTCAGTCAGAATTAGAGAACCCGGGGCTTGATGTCCCCCAACACCGCTAAGATGACAGGTAGATGGAAGAGTATACACACCCCCAAGCCAAAACGAGTGCACCGTCATCCCTGGCCTGCTTGAGAGTGTTGTAACCCTCGCCTTCGACATAGTTAGGCCCCTGGGATAGAACGGCGAATTTCTGATCCATATTTCGGTTCAAAAATGGTAGCAAAGAAACGACCGGCAGCACCAGATCTGACACGAACGAGGTCACCACTTTAGTGAACGCATTGGCGATACTAGATTTCGTATATCGGATTAGTCACAAATAACATTCGCTGTAATTTGAGGGCGAGTCGAATTTTCTGACATCAAACCGAGGGCGACCTCAAGCACGTTGTCGCGAGCTGCGAAGTTGACAAAGGCTTGCCATCCATGCCGCACCTGCTCGCCGGCAGATTGGCCGACACGGAATAGGGCATCGGTGCTTTCATCGAGACCACGCATCGTGTTTAGCGGTTGATACCTCGCCGAGGCCATGGGAGGGTTCTTTATTGTTCGCAGAGTGGGTGCTTCATGGGCAGACCTCGCGTCATCGCGCAGCGCTATCAGTCAGGTGGTGGTTAGGGGTTAGGGGCCAGGAGAGTGGGGCGGTGGCTCGGGGGCTCTGATTTGGCCGTCGCTTGGCGTGAGGGGGGCAGTCCACTGGCCTTCACCCGCGTGGCCAATGGTTTGTGAAGCTGGTGGCCGTGGGCGGAAACTACCAAGATCAACATCTGGCTATCTCAAGTTTTGGACGAATCGACTGGGCCCAGCGAGTGAAGCACAGACGGGATCTACAAAATTCTCACCGTCTGACTTTGGACACTCAAGGCGATCCTCTGCGAAGTACAACAAAGGGACACGCCAAGGATGAGCACGAAGTATTTTGTTACATCTGAAAAGAGGGCAAATAGAAGACTAATTAGATAGTGAGTATAGAGAGAACGGATATCCAACACCAGTCCGACAGCGCTAACAAGACAAATCGACTGACAACTTCAATTGGTCCAAGTGTATCTGTTGTCAAGTTATCAAGGTCAAGCTAGTTCAAATGATCTTCATGCGGGGCTTTCTTGGGAGTGAGTTGTCTGCGAATGAAGGGTCGGGCTAGGGGTGTCTCGAGTGCTATCCCGAGTCCAGCGCTTCTCGCTATTGCTTCCAACAATGTCCTGCTGGCTGGTATTTTTAGTCGGGCCCACATGGCGTATCCAGATCTTGCGGTGTACCAGCTTGAACAAAGGACGCATGTTCGACAGGCAAGCTGCCACAATACCTACGGCGGGCTCGATGCATGTCCATACACTAGGGTTGACTTGGGTATCTAGTCACAGTTAGAACAATTCTCTTTTCTGGGGTCCATAACTAGATTCACGTACAAGTAATGTCATCTCCTGCCTTTGACAAATCAATTAGGGAAATGAGTCGAACGATATCGAAAATGAGAGTCCTATTCGTCCCCGGTTAGCTTTTTCTTCTAGCAATGTCCCCCTCCAAGGTCCCAATCTTACAGGAAGCCCAGAATGAAAATGATTGAGAGACCGGTCTTTTGCGCTTTGGAGATGGGCAACCCCCAGACGGTGTGCATGGGCATGACCAAAATGATAGCGTCGGTCACAATGTTGGGGATCTGTAGGCCATAGTAGAACCTGCCCAGGTCCATGCAGCCACCAGGAATCATGGGATCCCAAAGCTTCTCCGTTGGAATGCATGTGAAGCAGCCCGCCAGAATACCGCAAGCGGCCCAGAGGATGATAATCAGCGACACAATCATGACGGCGATGTCCATGGGCTTGACGGGGAATAATCGTTTATAAAGCATCAAGATGGAAAGTTTGATCGAAGCGACGCAAAGAGTGTAGAGAATGGATCCAGTGAAAAGAGTCTGTGATAATGCCATGTTAGCTGTGGCTGTTTGATGTACCTCGAGGGTAATCGATACCTTCAAATAAACGGTGAGCTGCTCAGGCCTCACATACACGATGTGAGTTCCCAGACCATTGTAAAGAACTGTATGAAGTTAGAGGGTGTTTTACAATGTCAAAATCGGAGCTCAACTTACGGACGACACCAGCGATTGAGATCCCCCATTCCCATAGCTTTCAGAAATCAGACCGTTGTTCCAGCTCAGACGAGAACAATAGGGCAGACGAGAACAATAGGGCAGACGAGAACAATAGGGCAGACGAGAACAATAGGGCAGACGAGAACAATAGGGCAGACGAGAACAATAGGGCAGACGAGAACAATAGGGTGAAACTAACCAGGGCAGAGAGCATGAGATAGTCATCTAAGTATAGACCGGTTCCATTGATTTTTCGAGACAGAATCCGAAATCCTACCGCCGTAGTCGACAGAATGAATGCGAAACACGTAGACGTGATGACGACGTGTCGCAGGTTATCGTGGTCGACACCGGTTGCATCCTGTGAGGTCGTCGACATTTTTGAGAGTCTGGCCAAGCGGTATTGAATCAAAAGCCAATGCGAAGTAATCGCAGAGTGGGGATTTGATGAGAACCTAATAGGACACCAAAACACCGGGACGGCAACAGGATCTACGACCTCAATATATGCGTAGCATGGCCACCAGCCACCATCGAGGCAATAAAGCTATGATGCTTAGTAGCTTTGCCTGATAGACAGGTCTCTAGGTTATTTTGCCCCGCGCTTTACTCGATTGATCTCTCAAGTCTCTCAACCTGTCTTGTATTTACTAGGCGATCCAAGCGCCACTCGGAGTGAGAAAGTAAATAAACCTGTCGAACCCTTACATGCGAATGGCGATCTATACCCTAGGTTCCCCTGCCAATCGAGCCCCTCAGTGTCAGCCGACAGGCAAGCTACTTGCCCCGATCGGGGCAAGTGAGAGAACATGGAGTTCTGGGGAATATCCAGATGTCTTCACGGACCTCTGGCGTCTTATGCAAACGACCTCCCTCCACAAGCTAATCGTCAATGGTATATTTATCACTAGCGATAGCTATCAATAATCAAAGTCAGAGTTTGTGGCCCGTTCTCCTTCATAAGTAACCTTGCTTACTTTCGTGGCTAGTGTGGTGGCCATAACCTGCGAGTGAGCCACAAAATCGCCTTGGTGCGAGATCTTCGTTGCTAGACATGGACAAATTGCTATGTGATGGGGGCTAGATGCACGATCAAACCGATTCCATGGACCCGGTTCGTCCGATCGGGCGATTCCACGATCGGATGCTGCAGCAGCCTCGCAAAGGGTATCCACCTCGGTATAACCACCTGTCAACAGGGTCTACGATGAGTCCAGGGTTGATCGTCGCTACTCAAATTCTGAAGCAATTGATTACGAGCCATTGATATTCTTGTATGATTTGCTATTATATCTGATTCTTGAGTACTCCGTATATTCGGACCTACCCGGCGATATTCGCAGAGTCAGGCTCCTCGGGATTTACTTTGCCTGCTGTGGCGCCAATTCTTTATAGGTCAACCGCCCCACCTTCTATTCCATAACATCCAATCTAAGCATCATGTTGTGAAATCTAGAACACACAGCTCTGGCTCACAGAGTGCAAAAGAACTCCTTCAATCTAACTTCCCGAGTAAGTATATAGGCTTACTAGCAACGTAGGAACCCAACTTCTTCAATTGGTATCATTCCGCTCGTATCCCTGTGACTCGTCAAGAATTGACAATTCTGCTGTCTGTAACTCCCAGAAACCTGATTCCTCGCTGGGTGATCTACAATGCAGTCTGGTACTGATATCTTATTCGTTCGCCACTGATGTTCCGTCGGGAGAAATCAATTTGACCCACAGATATCGAAATGCGAACACCTATGCACATCTATCATATTGGCTTTGCATGTTCCGAGTGCAGGATTTTGGTTGCCGTGCATCGAACAGAATCTCAATATTTTTTCTGCGTGATTCGTCAGCAATTCAAAGCTACGTACGACGTAGGTATCCATGTATACGTATCATGTTTCATTTGTCTAGAGGGGTTTTCCGACTATATTTGTTGCCACCATCTTTACGAGGGCGTTCAGAATCTGGATCACTGAAGAAATTCCAGTCCGACTACATCTACCCGGGCCAATTGAGACTGACAGCGAGATACCGGACTGTAGTCCGCCATTTTCCGAACAATTTTTGGCCAAGATTTTCCTTTCCATACACCAGCGTGGTATGCCAAGTTTTGCTTATATTATATGCCTTGGTATGTACACCCGCCAAGGTTCCAGTCCCTTTGTAGTGAAGACTACACATGACCCAAACCTCAAGTTGAGGAAATTGGCTTCTTTTGAAGGATTTGCTCAAACGCCTGCAGTGCCGTTTCGGGTTCTTCATCAATTAGCACTCATTCGGATTCCAATTAGACAAGAAACTTACGGTAATAAGGAACCTCATGTCCTGCTCCGTACACCTTTAAGAACGAGAAATTGTCCACATTCTTGAACAACCCTTTTTCAGCGCCATTAACCGTGTATGGTGACAGGTCCTTTGCGCTGAATTCTGCATGCCCTGAGAAGTCGACTGCGTTGGCAACTTCGTAGTTGCCAAGCCAGTTGCAGATCCAGTCGGCGTCACCCGCCCAGACCAGCACGTTGATGCCCGACTTGACCACGCTGGAGAGTGTAGACAGGAAAGAGCGAGGGTCTATCTCGTTAGTTCTTGCATTGATATCGTCAAGTCAGGACGGAGACTTACTGTCGCCAGTTGACGCAAACTTGTTGTATGGCCCGTTTGGACATTCTTGGTAACTGGATTGCGCACCAATAGCCTTCACAACATCGGAATTGGCGAGATAAGTCGAGTATGTCGAAGGTGGGTAGGGATCATTCGACGGCTCGCGAATGTCATAGACGTCCCAGTCGCCCGAACTACTAATCGGTCCCTCGACCTTATTGTAGCAGACACTATCCGCATTCTTGCAGTCGGTGTTGCTTCCCGTTTTTGTGCACTTTTGGATAGCAGGGAGACATTGGTTGTTGTAGGCACTGAGGAGGCTGGTACGCTGAGAGTCGTCGATGAGCTGCTGGTACGAGTTGTTGTAACTGAACTCGATATATGCCTTTTCTTGGATCGCTGAGTCAATCCAGCCATTGTTGACGCCGAGGGCAACCAGGTTGATGTTATCACCTGAGACAGATCCGGACTTGATGGCGGCATTTTGCTCCTGGATGTAGGCGGCGAATTCGGGGCCATAGTGCCCACCATATGACTGATGAGTTAGCAGTGGCCTGTGGACTGAAGATGATGACTTACCTCAGTGAAGATTGCGAAATCGCGACTTTCGTACTCGGGGAACTGTGCATAGAATGCCTGTAGGAGTTTCCAGACGTACGGAGCAGCAGTTACCGTACTAGTCACATCGTCGGTGCCATATGAGAAGCCAACGCCAATGGGCTGGTCAACGTATATCATGTTGGCGTAGTTATTCCAGCTGAACTCGTTCAACGAGGGAGTACTGTCCCCGTTGACAAAGTGACAGGGACCATTTTCCTGGAACAAACCGATCATGGAGGAGCATCCCGGACCGCCGTTGAACCAGGCAGCCAGAGGAGCTTGTTTGGGGTTATTCCGGGCCTCGAAGAACCTATCTCATTTAGATAAAACCAAAACTTCTTCCATTGATGATGACACCTACCAGAACCACATATTCATGTTACTCCCGACGGACAGATATCCAGAATACTGGTTCACGCCGGGGGTAGTTTCACAAATGCCGGAGTTCTTGACAAACTCCATCTTGGCCCCGGTCGCGGCATGTTCAAACACGGTATATTTGACGCCATTCTTCACAACAGATGAAACGCTGTCTTTAGCTGTGCTTGCAGGGGCAGCTCTCGCTCCTGCTGCCAGTAGAGGCAGTAGCCACATTTGATGCCGCATTGTTATTTGAACGAAGAGCTTTGTTACTGAGGAAAGTAGCAGTTACTTGTTCTTGACAAGCGGAGGAGTAATCGCAATTAAATACTGCCTGGACAAGATGAAACGATGCCATGGCTTCACACGAGCCAATGATTTCATTGCAATAAGAAGCATCACCAGGCCCGCTACTTAGTAGGTGCCGTCGGAATACGACGTTATTATCAATGGCTCAGGGTCCAGTAGATCATCTGCCAAATTAAGATAGTGTCCTGGATGGATCTTCGACAGGATATCTCAAGCTTTGGTCGTGAAGTCTTGATGATCGGCAGCCAAGACCGGACTCCGGATGGGTATGCGACGGCCGCCAATAAACATCCCCGGTTGTGGTTACATTCGGCTTATTGGTGGCGCTTGCTTAAAAGATATACATGATGAGGGGAAGGCAAGGCGAAAGGATAGATCGAGGCAGGGAAACTTGTGACAATCTCTATCGATGAGTTTATTCATTGCTAAAAATTAGGCTACCGACTTAATTAAACAACGATTGGGTGGGGTTGTCTTCAAACGTGTAGCGATCAAAAGAAAGAAGATTCTGAATCAACGGCGTTAAAAAAATAATTACTGCTCACAACATTGCACTAGAAGTTATCTTGAGGCATTTTCTATCGTGTACTTTTCACTGGATAATGTATGGCTATATCCGTTGCAATATAGAGTAGGCGTGCGATGTCTACATCTATTAGCGTATGTCTAGGGAAACAACCAGTATCGAAGAAGATGACGTGCTGGAGTTTTTCTTGACAATTATGATTTCAATCATCACACCCGTATCATTCCAGTGTCCTGCATGGAAATTATGAACATAAGATAAAGTCATTGCTGACACCATTCATCTTCACTTTTCCACTGAGTTTTGCCTGCGATAGGCTTATATATGCCCGGTGGAATGGGAGTACGACCCAAGGTACTGCAGGTCTAGCCTTTCCTCTTCCTTTCCGACTCGGCTTCATCGGAAGGTTGTGGGGCGAGTGACCATAAGAGGGCTTCACACAGCAGTCGAGAGTCACCCGATGAACATGAACACCACCTTATAGACTTCAAATCCCTTCTTGACAAAACAAAGCCACAGACAACATCCAGAATAATGATCGCGAAAGGCGTCAAGGAAGAAAATGAGAACCACGAACTAGGCTCAGAGCTATGTCATGGCGTGCCCAAGACTGGATGCTGTCTCTACCAACTTAATGAAATGTGACCTGAGTTTCCAAGATGCCCCACCATTATCTCAGAATGCACCCCAGGTTACCTGGAAAGCGTTATGTATTGAGAAATCTAGAGTTCCTTGAATGTTCTAGAAGCTAAATGGAGTTATTGACTCCATTTTTCCAGAAACTTCTCCTCTGTCCCACATGATCCAATCTCGGCGATCGTTTCTAAACCCTGTTCGCTTACACTTGCTATAGATGAAGAGATGAAAGATACTGTACATGTGTTTATATAATATAGGTCGTTAGGCCCTTAGCGACGACTTCATGGGGGAAAACTATGCTGCCCCGAAGAATGAATGATTATTCAGAATGGTATAATAAAGTGAGGCCGCCAGGATGAAAGTAATGGTTCTTTGTTATTACGTTCTATATGTTCATTTCACCTATAGATCTTCATCAGCAGCATATCGTGAAGCTAGTGGATGAAGGATACTCAAGATCATAAAAGTTGAGTTGTGATATTAATCATTCAATCCATAAGTGGGCGTCATTATGGCGTGTCTAGTAACATCAATTGTACCAAAATGAACCGTCAGGTTGTTGATACTAGTGCTTTTTCAACGACACATCAGGAAAAATAAACCTTCCGAAGCAAGCGTCCGTCACATGAAAGTTGCTTATTATTAGGATAGCTACAGTGGCTAGGCTCTCATATGCTCAGGTTGTGCTAGCCAGGTGACGCTCAGCAAATAATTCAGTGAGTATATTGGCGAGGAACGTATCATGACGAGTAAAGGAAAAAGTCAAGACTTTGCATAGGGTATTCAGCAAGGGAAAAGATATTCAAGTGATTGCACCCATTCATTTTGGTGGAAGGCCGTAAGTCATTGGTCCGGGGGCTGTATACGGCGAAAGTAGAGTCGTGCCTCGCTCTCTGGCTGCTCTCCCCCTTCGCTCCTCTCGTTGCTGAAATTCCTTCTCATCTTGAATTAAAGTGCAGCACGTGCAACACGTTGCTCGAACACAATCTGAACAAACATCTCCTTCAATTCCATACGTTTTTCTCGTCCTCGTGTGCTGGATGGTAGCCAGAAGCCCTGTAATTTGGTGTCAGCGACGGGGTCCATTGCGGGATTGAGAACACAGGGCATGGATAAATTACATTGACATCCGCAAAACAAAGCCATCGCAGTACATGACCCATTGCATGTGTCATATCCCAGCATATTAGTCGGGTCCTCTTTCCGGGACTTCATGGTCAGACGATGCTGAGTCTTTCCATACAAGATACAAGGACAGATAATCCCCACACAGCAGGTTCCGATATTCGAACAATCGCATAAACCATGAGTCCACGTTCCACCTTGTACCTCCTGATTCGGATGCATTATTTGTCCGGGCTGATGAAACGCGCTCAGGTCGCCCACGGGAGGGGCTTGCGATGAGTTCAAGGCAGGCGTCGCGGGTGGAGGGAAGTAGGTGTTTTTGGGTGATTGCAATGGATTTGTATCGGGTTCTATTGAGAGTGTATCGCTTCGTTGGGGTGCTTCGCGAACTTTAAGCGGCAATGGCCCCGGGGAGCTTGGGGGGTTGGTATAGGCATATTGCGGTATTGGAACAGACTGTTGCGGCCCTGGGGGAGTTGTGAATGGAGCCTGGAAAGCCGGATGATGTTCTGGTGGAGGGTACTGGGAGTATGTAGGAATAATGCCCTGCTCTTGAAGATGTTGCTCTTTCTCATTTGATATATATCGATCTGCTTGGATTCGTTCTTCCTGCTGTTGCTGGTGCTGGTGCTGGTACGGGTGCGTTGGTACTAGTGGTGGCGAGACCGGAGGTTGATTGATCGCATGCTGAGGCTGCACATCTAGACCAGAGTCCACGGGTAAAGGTGGAATTGAAGGCCCCGGAAGCTGACTTCCAGCATGCATTTCCAGAGGAGTTTCGATAAAGGAGTATCTTTCGTTCCGGTTTTGAACAACCTGGGTGTCCAGGTATAGTTGCTGATGCATCTTGACGCCTAGCACTCCAAGCGACCTCTGTATAGGCGAGAAGGAAGCGTAATGTTTTGCCCATTCGCAGCTTGAAAAAGATTCATATGTAACCTTCACAGCTCCGAAGCAAATGCATACCAGATCAAACTGTCAGGGTAGTTGTACCGCCTCGAAAGCTTTCCCCCCTGATCAGCACATGCAGTGGAAGCTTAATTCACAGATTGTCCGTCGGTCAGCCACTGTGCGACATGCCAGTTCAAATTTATGGTAGGAAACGAGTAAATTCCAAGCTCACAGGAGATGCGTAGGTAGAAAAAAGAGGCGCATCACGGGGGGGAGGAAAATCAGAGGATTAAACGATCAAAGTGGAGATCGAAATTGATCTGAGGGGGACTAGGTCAGAGCTCCGCGGGGATGGGGCGCAACGAGTGGCTTGAGAGCTCCAGGTTCGCAGCAAAGCTGGTTGTTAGGGTGGCCCCCGGCGCCCTAATGCAATGTCTTCACATCGCCAGCGACTCTGGTTGGGTTAGGGCCCGCCCGGCTCCTCCCGTTGGCGTAAGCCCCTTTCTCATCACACGTAGGCGATCACACCAAAAGGACGATATCACCTGTTTGGTGCAGTCCACACGGATAGATACGGGGAGAATCATTCGAAATTGGGTATCACTTTTGGCGCTTGGTGGCTATTAGGTTCTAGGGACATCTCGGGATCTTCTACCTGTTTATTCTGGAAGTATGTATGGCCGTTGTTGGGTTCGTTGGTGGTCAAAGCAGCTTCGAGATCTACGGAAACTTCTTTCGTATGTACAGCGACGAACAACCTTAAATCTAGGAATTTTTATGTGGTCGTGTGCCCTTTGACCTGTATTCTTTTCGTTCGTAGATATAACAATGCCCACTTTCCCGCTTTGTTGTTGCACTGCTTGCTGCCAAATTGCCGCCGCCCCAACGCGCCTACTTGACGGGCCGTCAACTAGCGTAGTGTGATGGATCAGTATGGAGAACGAACTCATGATGATAATAATACCAATAATAATCGAAATGGGTATATTGTAGTATTCGGAGTGCTTTCAAGAGCGTTCCATGATGTCAATGTGCGAGGCCTAGGGAATGAACTGGAAGCTAAGCTGGTTGATCATTTTTGAGATTAGGCAACTACTGGGCAATCGACGCCAAGGACATGGAGTTGCTTTTCGGCATTCTCTCCGGTCAGCACTCCTCCTTGAGCTTCCTAGGAGATCGGGGAACCTACTTCGTTTTCTTATTCTACCCTTTTTTGCCTCTTCAAGTTCAAGTTCAGGCTCTTTCCTTATTCGGCTCCTTCTGCGATCAGTCGGTGTGTGTCGTGGATTACTTACCTAGTATGGCAGACGGGGTTTAAGGGTTGGCATCCACGACCGCTCCAAGGTAGCAAAAGTATATACTGACGGCCGATCGCCCACGCCGGCGTCTACTGACTCGATGGCCAACTAATGAAGGATACTACCATCCAGGCTGGTCCAGATGCATATGAAGAAATCAAGTTGTCCACCGCCCGTAAATACCCCATACCCCCTAGTGTATGATGACACACACAATTGCTCGCCTTTTTGTTCAACCGCGGGTGGAATGAATCCGGTCGTGATACCCCGGATGAGCTACTTCAGACTCGTCGGCAATAAAGTCCACTCGAGGGTTGTGATAATTGCTCAATGAGGTGGTTAACTTATACCACGGGCGATCTCCCCGGGCACTGTTCAACACCATCAAGGGGTTAATCACGAATCAAGCTGGCCGCCCCTGGCTCTGGGCACCCGTTTGCTCCGCGATGCGATGGAACAAGGAACTATCCAGCAAGGATAGCAAAGCATGAATCGTCCCGAATTGCAAAGAATGGTGGAGGTGACACCTATGACTGATCGTAAAGAGTGCACGCTATGAGCGGAGCCCGATGATTGGTAGAGACAGTCAAGAAAGAGTGTTCCAAGAACCAGAAGATTGATCGGCCCGAGAACTTTGGTATCCCTTGCCCCCACAGCGCAATTTATGGTCTTGCACTATGTTTACAGGAGCAGCAGCAGTAGTCACTGGTCAGTAGGTACAGTAGGAGTAAGAGTGCTCGGTGAACTCTAGTCGATAATTCCTCGAAGCTAGATTAACGAATACTGGCAAATCATCGTGTGTGCAAGATAGTTTTCGGCATGAGCCTAACGACGAGCATGTGTCGATCAATTACCTATCCGTCAAGCATTCTGAGATCTCCGGCTGGTGAGTTACAGGCGCTATGGTGTCAGGTGAAGCTGCTATCTGAAGATCGGCTCAACTCCCTTTTTGTGGGGCCCGCTCAAGGGAGGGAATATCGCTGCTGCGAGAGATATAAACTTCGCGAATCAGCAGCGGCCGAGGACCCCGTGGGACAGGCAGAGGATCCGCACGATGCATATTTGAAGAGAACGAGCCTCGTTCACCGTCGATGACTGGATTAGGTCGAATCAGAGGTTATCGTGTCTGACATTGTCCCTTGCAGCATACAGGTAGACGATAGAATCGGAAACATTGCAAGTGATGGTTGGAGGGTCCGGGGTAAGTAGAAAGAGACGAGGGCACGAAGGTTCGTCTTTCTGGTGACTTCATTGGTCTTCGTCCCAACTATTCGGTCACAGGACCACCGTGGACTTGCCACTTCTCTCTTGTTCGCTCTTCCTAGTAAAATAGATTCCGATACCTTTCCTTCGCGAACCCTCTAGGATCACATTCTGATCGAGGACGTCGAGACTCCAAGGCGGTGACGGACGATCGGCGTCACTGTGTTACCAGCCCGAACCACCTTCTTCCCATTTGGGTTCGCTCCTCGATCCTTTAACTTATCTTTCCAAATCC